TTCCGGTTGTACTTATCTTAGTATTTTGTCAAAAATAAAGTACTTTGTTGATCCGCTAGATAGGAAGCTTGTACGGTGATAACAAGAACAAATATTTAACCTCAGAGTCAGTGAAAGGGTAGGATATCTACATCTACCTCTCGCTTGATGCGAAATTGTTAAATAATCTCTCATTTTGGTAAATCAATGGTCTGAGAAAAACTTACTTTTGAAATGACACCTAAAATTGAGAGAAAGCGGATTTGAAGCATAAATCTGGAAGGCAAAATCTGGAAAGCTGCAAAAAGGAAACACATTTTGCCTGAGATTAGAAAAAAATAAGCACAGTTGTGCATATAAATTGAAATTGAAAGCCATGAAGTACGTATCTAACAAGTAAGAACTATTGAGTAAACTAGACGAGTTTGATTTCACCCGTATCAGGGATGGGTACTTAGTTTAAATCAGTGTTGTAGGAACTTAAAGATAATAATAATGATAGTAATAACATAACAATATATTCAAAATAGAACGTCTAGGATTGCGTGGACGAGCGCAGTTAATCAATTTAAACTGTAACAACCCTAAGAAAGATTTTCAAGTTAACATTTGTAACGATGAATAAAAGGATTTTTCCTTGTCACCGCTTTGTGGATATCTTAATTTTTCTACAATCATATCCGAACAACTCGGTCAAGATCTCATAGTATTTATTTGTTTTTATTACTTCCTATTGTTTGGATGATTGGCATATCTTCGTCCTGTGTGAAACGCTCTAAGTTTGCTGATTACCGAGGGTGAATACAAAAACCAAAAAACACTCGCAGTTGGATAAAGTCATGAAAAAATTGTAAATGAATCATCATTGCAGAGAACGTAGAGGTCCAAACCAGCGTAATAAACGATTACATACCAAACGAACAACGCTTCATTTTGTTGTTAAAAACGAACAACTTTTCCCTTTGCTTTTTGGGAACGAAAAACGCTTTTAGAATCTTCATGGTGTTGTCGGAAACAAAGAGCGCTTTAGTGATAAAAATTTCTCAAATTATTGCCTATTTACAGTCTGATATTCTGATCTTTTAAGTATTTTATTCTTCGGACGACTTGACTTTTTTTCGGGCGACATAACCATAATTTCTTACGGTCAAGTCGCAATCTCGCCCAAAGTCATGTCGCCCGAAACCTGAGTCATGTTACCCGAAAAAAAAAATAATGTGCGAGAAATCGTCAGTATCTGGGAGCTGTATTTCCGTTGCAGGTTGCTCGGGCCATGGGTTCATTTGGGTCATTTCTACCGGAGAGGTTCGATCATAAACACCATCTCGATCTCCAACGAAAGTGTACGACACTTTCACGAAGCCAAGGACACAACGATAATTACTACCTACAGCGAAACCAAGGACTGCAAGATACGCAATAGAATGAAATTATAAAATTAGCAAGGTAGGCCCGATGTAACACAACACAACTTATCCGTAAAATGACAACTTTGCTTATGCAAATTTTATGCTTATCTGTTACTCATCTTCCAAGGTTGTAAAGCAAATTTAACTTTTATGGCATTGCAGGTCATGGTATTTTGGGTTGTGACGTCAAATCTTAGGTACGATCTCGCAGAAAAACCCGCGTGGGGAGCTTTCCCTAGGCAGTCTAAAGATAAATTCTCTAAGAGATGAAGATGAAAAACAATAACAAAACTAAAACATTAAGAAGATGACTTTGCATCCGGTTTTATTTCAATCGCTAGATTTTGCCCTTATCTACGTCAAAAAGCTGTGGTCAAGTGGTTTTCCAGTGATTTAGTTTCAAGTGACTTCTAAAAATTTCCTTCTCCGCTAGAGTTCCGCGACACGTTACCCACAGAGGAAGCAATCGATTCTAGACTCTTCAGCAAAGTATATTCAAGAATGAAGACATGTTTTGCCGCTGTCAGCGAACGTTTCTCAAAAGTTTAATTTACCCATATGAGGGGTGAAATATTTTGAATTTATTCAAGCACTGATTTTAGATCCGGTGCTCGAGGTACTAATCACACAAACTACCCATCTTTTCGTTGGTATATGATTACATTCTGTCTACTATTTTAGTTCCTGATCTTTTCAATATCAATTTCCATACACATTTTACAGCTCTTTTTCTGTTTATAATTTTCAGTGACGTCCGTTTAATTTGAAATGAAACAACGTCATCAGATATCGAAATATTGGCCTGAATTTGTGAAAACGATCACGGATTTTTAACATTCTGCAGTTTCAGAACGTCTCATACCAGTTCAGCATTGCTAGAAAAAGTTCTGTCTTAAAAACAATATGATCTTCCTGTTTAAAAATCGACAAAGAAATAGTGTTTTCCGTTTAGCATTGACGCACAGAAGGAGTTCCGCCTTGGAGTTATTGTACCATGACATTTGACGCGAGGACTCCAATAACAAAGAGATGTCAAGACTTTTTATGCCTCCGAGCAGATTGAGACTTAAAAATGTTTAATAATTTAACCGTTTTTGAAAATGCAAAATATCACCCACAGTTTGAACTAAGAGAGCGCAATTAGAATAATTATACGACATACACCTTCCAAACTCGATTGACAGACCAAACATTGCTCTTGTTCGCGGAAGTTTCTTAATCATCTTTTGATCAATGCTATGTCTAACACCCATAGTTGGAACTAAGAGCGCGAAATTTCAGAACAGTCATATGACATACGCCTTCCAAACTCGATCGACAATCCTAACATTGCTTTTGTTCGCGGAAGATTCTAAATCATCTTTGGATCAATGCTATTGATAATATTTTGCTCAGATAAACTAACTCAACCTTGATGCTTTGTAACAGAACATCGATTCAGGCGGCTAGAATTTTCTTAACTGATAGAACAAGTTATTTCTCACAGTTTAAGTAGCCTGTTAGAAAGACTGACCTCTCATTATAAACAGTTGACAGGTGAAGCTATCTCACGCAGATCTCAAAGCTTCCTCATCTGGAAGGCTAATTTGTGGCAGGCAAGATGGAATTTGTTTCGTATATTCGCTGACATGTGGGCTCTTTATTCCTCTTTTCTTGCAGAGTCGCCGCAGAAGACCAAGGTGCAACTGTGAGCCACAAATAAAAACGGTCAAAATACTTTCAACAAATTGATTTGAGTAAGAAAGGTGCTTTGGAGTTAGGAATACATTCTAATTAAAAAAAAGAATAATTGCATCACGCAAGTTCGCCCCAGGCTACCGCCTGGTCGAGTTCGCCCCTTAAAGTAACACTCTTTTCATTTTCTATCGAAATCATAATATATTTCGATCAACATGCAATTTTATTTTTTTCTCAATCAAGCACTTGACTACGGAAACAAGCTCATTTACTGTGAAACAATGGGATAAATCAGCACTTGTACATTTTTTAAGACTACAAATTGCACTCGCCCTACGGGCTCATGCAATTTGTTTCACCTTCGAAAAATTTATTCGTGCTTGTTTATCCCAAATTGCATTCGAAATCATGTAATTACCTATAAATGGCACCGTTTACAGATTACAGCGCCGGACATTTGGGAGTGATATCGTTAAATATACAACGGTTTTCTTCTTTTTTCCTGATTTTTTGTTTTGTAAGCAATGTGTAAAGAGAAACTGTGTTATTGATTCGAGATCATCGGTGTATCCTCAACTTTCAGAAATCTCTCGTTTTTAAATATCCTTCAGTTTATCTCCTGCCTTAATATGACTTTTTGTGTACGAATGAGCATCGCACAGCAACATTCGTCCAAATAGATTTCCGGTTGTACCGGCTTATCTTAGTATTTTGTCAAAAAGAAACTCATTTTCATGATCCGTTTATTGTCCTCCGCCTAATTAATACTTACAAGTTACTTCTAAATTTCAAGTTATCAGTTTAAACTTTGTAAAACTGTTAGTGTTTATGTGGAACGAATTGACTATTGCGTGGAATGAAACGACTTTTTGGTGGAACGAAATTATTTTGACTTACTTTGACTTGGAACGAAACGACTTGGAAAGAAACGATCATGGAACGAAACGACGGTAAACCCCCAGCCGGTGGCGTCATTTTGTACCCAGCTCGGTCGTATCGTACCCAAACAAATAAAGTATGTTTTCCATGGCAAGTATGTTTAAATTAAGGTCGCTTTTTTTAATTGTGAATTGCAATATTGCATGCGTTAAATACGTTTTGTTGACCTGGTGTTCATTTTTGAAGCGCGACTACTTTGTGAGTCCAATTTACATTATCAACCAGGCGATAAAACCAAATCATGCAAGGGAAGGGGAAATGAATCATGGAAGGGTTAACAATCAGGTTAGAATCGATCAGCGGTTTTGGCAAGAAACCACAAGTGATTTGGGTACGAAACGATTCAAACGTGGGTACAAATTGACCGAATATCATTTTGAGGAGCGCGCGCACGATTATGTATCATGACGATGTCATTCACTGACATTGTAAACGTATCGTGGTGGCTTAAACACGTATTTTTCACAAAGATGCTCAAAGGGGCTGATCAATGCTCTGAGGGAGTAAGTGCCTTTCTGAGTATAATAACACAGGATCGTGAAGAAAATTCAGTAGTGTGAAGTCCGCCCATCGAGAAGTTTCATTCGAGCACAGCGGGAAGCTATAGATGTACTTCTTGATCCTGGATTTCTCGAAGTTTTCAAAGTGAAAGAGGAGCAGGAAAACGGATCACAACTATAATCACTTCATTTTGCCAATATTGAGAGAAAGTGCTCCGAAATATCAAGTCACCGACCCTCGCGATCGCTCTCTCACGATTATTACAAGCCTGATAACCAAGCAATTTGTGTAAAGGGGTGAAGGATGGAGAATTTCTGGAGAAAGAACAACTGGGAGAAGTAGGTGGTGAAGTCAGCGCTGAGGTAACTCAGAGAGTAGATGGTCAGCAATTGAAATCTCTCTACTGGAGATCGCTGAACCAGAGGCATAACTGCAGTGGTGATTCTTGTGAGAAATGCAAGCGAGTTCTTTTGGAAAAAAAAGCTGCGGATAGATTTGAAATCTTTCCACTGGAGATCGCTGAACCAGAGGCATAACTGCAATAATGATTCTTGTGAGAAATGCAAGCGAGCTCTTGAGGTTAAAAAGGTGGCGGACAGATTTGAAGTAATTAGAGCTGCAAAACAAGTACTCCAAGAAAGCCGGAGTAACGAGAAGACCGAAGACGAAGAAAGTGACGAGTTTGGAGAGAGCTTGGAAAAAATCAAACGGGAAGATTTTGCAGGAGTATGGCGCTCGCACTGAACGCGTGAACTGTGGTTCAGAAATCCAAGACCCCAGCTGCGCAGGATGTCAGCCGTGTTCTCACAGGTGATATTTGTAAGTGGGATCAACTGGTGCTAAGTGAAATGTCTGCAGGTGTATATAAGGGGCGTGCTTTTAATAACAAATCGCGCAGTTCAACTCCTAAACCTAACGAAGGGGATTTGGGGATGGAAAGAGAAAGGCGCATTAGCCTTACTTGTGCCTCTAAACTTAAATTTATACGCGAGTATTTGGATGATGAGCCTGACTGCGAGTCCGAGGAGATAACTTCAGCTGATCTAGCTCCCAGGTCTCAGACAGACATCGTGTTCACTCTTCCCTGTTCGTATGAGCGACGATTTGTTCGACCCAAGCCTCTAAATCCAAGAATTGTACTTCTAGACATGGTAGGTAAGGAAATCGATGAAAAGCCGACAACCAGTTTTGAGAAGGGAGGCAGAATAACATTCCTCAGAAAGTTTATTACTGTCAAGTCCTTAGTTCGAAGATTAAATAGCACAGAATCCGACAGCTGGAGTGAGAGGACTATTCCTAATCAGGATCTGGACGAAAAAAGGACTGCGTCATAAAATCTTAGTATTTTTAACTACTAAGAAAATTTTGAGTTCGGTTGGTTCTGACAGTTTAATTGAATAAACCTATTTGCTAAATGTTGCACTTCATCTTGAGTATGTTTTTTTTATTGAAATTAATTATAAAAAAAATATATCTTATTCATCATCCCTTGAAGTATGGCGAAGCTGTAAAAATATTGACTCCAGAAAACAAAGCGCCTTCACAGAAACTTTTGTCGCGCTGCTTAGCACAAAAGAGCAATTGAGCAAAGAAACTTATAATTGCTTTGTTACCCCTTCGACGGATGTAGCCTGCTCTAAAGAGCGAACAGTTTATCACAAAAAGTCACGGACTAAAACAACTTATCGTCTTCATCGTCGTCTCCTTCGACGTTGGCATCAAGTTTCTTGACGACTCCCGCCAGCATCTTATGTAACCCCTCCAGGTTACACTGCATTGTTTTCAAGCGATTCCTCATTCCTAACACAGACTCTTGGAGTTCATCCGTTCGGTCTGACAACACTTCAAGGGACGACTACAACAAGATAGCAGCAAAGGAAAATCAAAAGTCAGAGGTTTAAGTTGAGAGTCAAATACCAAAGAAGTGAGTACAAGTCTCCCTGCAGAGAGCAACTGTTCTACACTATTTCTTTTTTCTGAGTTCTCAATTCCATTTTAAGAAAAACTCCCGCCTGACTGTGACCATGAGCCTGCTCTTGATGGCGAAATATTAGTCGTTCATCAAAACAGTCCTCTTGTGATAAAATTCACTCTCACCCTCAGTCTAAATATGAAGCCTAAATACTCCAACTATTCCGGTTACTCAGCCATTTTCGTGGAAAGATAAATAACCATGCAAAATAATGATCAAATTTTGATGCATTTTGCCCTTCACCGAGGGAGAATAAAAATTGGGGAGTGAATTTGTCTGTAGAGAAATTTTCAAATGATTGTCAAAAAACACGAGAAGCAGGATTGTTTTAGTTTGGCTATCTCCGCTCTGTGATTGGCCCAAAAAACTCACGGAAATTCTCAACCAATCAGATTGAAAACTAAAAGAAACTGCGATCTGATCAATGGCGTTTTCCCGCGCTTCATAGTTTGTTATGATTGGCTGTTGTTATCCCTTTGGTTTTAAGACACTTATCGAAGTGCACTCTGTGATCCCACTCAAGTTTTTTCTAGACTCAAGGTATCTTGACACCCCCTTAATCATATCACATGAACCTTGAATGTGACTCGAATTCTTCAGTTGCCGGCAAAATTACGCCCCACGGGACATGATCGGTTATTTCTGGATCCATAAGGGGATCTCCCAAAAATGAAAGGTAAAACCACAAAAATTATGGATATTATTACAAGTATTACAAGCAGAATTAAGTATCTCAGCTTGATCCTTTCTTGTTGCAAATGGATTAATTTGCACTTACCTTGTTCGGCTTCAACGCTTCTTGGACTTCCTTTGCAGAGATGGGGGGACTGTACCAGTAACCTTTGAACCCTTCATACTGGTTTGGTCGAACGACTTCCGTTTCTGGTACAAGCCGCTTCCGAATTCTTCTGGGCAAAGCTTTCTCTACATCCATTGCTAAATCAACCTTCAGTAAGAAAGAAAGAAACAGTCGGTCAGCTAAACGAATTGCCATTATTACAGAGGGTACCACATTCAAGAGTGAAGTAAAACATTTGCATGGATTGAAAGCGAGAAATGTCTTTCAAGGCTGCGCTAGGGGTGGGTGTCAAACTTCATTCTTCGATCTCGACGTGTTTTGCTCGTTTCTGTGAGACGCAGCCGATTAATCAAACAATCAACTAGTCATTTACTTCAACAGTCAGTCAGACAGTCCGTTGGTCAGTTAGTCAGTCAGTGAGTCAGTCGGTCAATCAGTCGGACGATCAGTCAGTCCATCGGTCAATCAATCACTCAGACAGATAATCAATCAGTCAGACATTCAGTCAGTTTGTGAGTCAGTCAATCAGTCCCTCAGTCCGTCAGTCGGTCAGTCAGTCGGTCAGTCTGTCAGTCATTCAGTCAGTCCGTCCATCAATTAGTCAGTCCATCCCTCAATCAGTCGGTCAGTCCATAAATCAGTCAATCCATTTATCATTCAGTTAGTCCATCCCTCAATCATTTAGACCGTCCATCAATCAGTCAGTCCGTCCATCAATCAGTCAGTCAGCCAGCTAATCAGTCAGACAGACAATCAGTCCGTCAATCAGTTTTTTAAAGATTTACGTCCAGGTAACCATCAAACAGATAAACTATAGGTAAGTGAGAGTAACGTCATTTCGATGGAACATTCCTTAATATCAATCCCAAGCCGTTCTCGTGAAAGAGAGAAGAGGAAAGGAGCTGGGCGTATACGGGGGGGTCTGTGTAGGAATTTGAGTTTCTATAAGGCTACTGGCTTTATCCGTACCAACATGGCTTGGCGCTCGAGTACAGCCTGGTCCTGGACACCTTTGATGTCGTCCACAGCCAAACCAATCTTAGGAGAGAATAACACAGAGAATCATCAAAACAGATCATACTCGCAGCCAAACGCAGGTTTTGAAAACATCTACCCTGAAGCGTCAGCATTAATATATCAAGTATTTAATTTAAGTTGGTTTTGTCCTATCGATGATGCAAAATTGAGCTTTACTAAGGTTGACCATCGTATACTGAAGGCAACACGGTATCTGTGATATGATGTAATTTTAATTTTTACTTATTTCACAATTGTAAATGTAGCAAGACAAAACTAACCACATTACTCAAAGTTGACGAAGATCTCATTTGACGTGTTATGCGGATACTTAGGCTTTACAGAAGGATGATTCAGTCTACAGAGCATCATACTTTGCGTGATAAAAGGCCGTTTCCAAGTTAAAAATCCCTTTTATAAATAAATCAGAGTGAAGCGAATAAAGCGCGCGTATGGGCCTGGTGGAATCGCACGCGTGTTATACAGACTGTTCTTGTGAAAATAAAAAAGGATTCGGTTGTAATTTAGTTGACACTTCTAGGATACACCCTGTTCTAGTGGAGAATGGGCATGTCAAGCAAGCCCTGAGTATAATCAAGAGTGGTCAGAATTAATCAAGACGAAGACGAGGAAACTCACCAATAAGTTCATCAAGATGAGAGTCATGATAATCAAGAAGACAATAAAAATAAACCACGCGACATCAGGAACATCCTGGTCTGGCGAGTTGAATAAGTCGTCGAAGTCAAACTCTCCAATCATCATCACTGCTGTCTTCACGATAGCACGGCCGGGCTCCCCAAACGCACGGATGCTTTGCTGTGCAAGGGATAATTTGTGTGAGTACTGAATGATTTTGGAAGGTGAGGGAAGAGGGTCCTTGTCACGAAGTGGCTTTATTTGAGCCAGATAGGATTTTAGCCCCTAAAGGCAGATTTACATGATGAAAACTCAAAATTTCGGGTAAGACGTTTATTGCATTTTTCTGAAAAAATTGTTTATTCCTTAAGAATTAATATGTCAGAGCATACTCCTTCATTGCGCCAATAGAACATTAAACATTTTGACGTAACTTAAGTGAATGTTTGAGCCTTGCCGCAATTCAGTAGGAACGAAATAATAAATAACGAAGGGGAAAGAAAACGAAAAAACTTAAATTACAACTTTCATTAATGTATAAAGTGAGACCTGCTCAACTACTTCATTACACTGTTCAAAAAATAATAATAAACAGACCGTAGGAAGTGGCTAAGAGCTTCCCAGTTGACTGTACAAAGCACAAGGATTTTTTTCTTAATTTCACTGTTACTGAAGAAATTCTCGCGAGCTTATCATTGACGAAAGTGTCTACCATAAAAATGACGTAATTTCCTCCCTTACAATCTTGTATCATGATTTGATGTACCTGAGGTCCATAGATGAATGACATAAAATTCATTTTGTTTTGGATGAAGTAACTACGCTTTTATTTCCGTGTTTGGAAACCAGGTTTAGACTAAGTCTTACTGGTTATTGCAGGACTAGCGGCCCAGCTTGTACTGCAAACTGTCCGAAACATGTACGAAAAGAGTACGAACCGTCCAAATTAGGGTTTAACCGTCTGGAATCGGACGGAAACACAAAATCCGAAAATCGCTGTTGAAAATTGTAGTACACATCGACGGGCGTGCGAAAACTTCTATAACTGTTGTGAAAGATTAAAAGTTATTACTGTTAAATGACACACTCCAACGCCTGTATGTATCTGTGTGGATTTGGAAGAGATCTAGCTCACCTGAGGATCATAGAACAGCGTAAAAAACGAAAGCGCAAAGGCGACGAGGAACAGCACAAAGATCATGAAGAATTTCGTGAATGTGTAGAGAATGCTTGTAAACATCACCACGTAAATACCAAGCTTTGGAAACTTTCTGATAAATAACACCAAAGCCATCCAAGCTAGAAAGATTGATAAGGCTCCGATGGTTTTTTTCGCCTTCGAACAGCTGCAAAGTGAAGCAAAGAAACTGGCAAGTTTGAGCACGTCGAGTCAAGAATTGAGGTGGGGGGGGGGGTTGGGGGAGAAATGCTGTCCATTTTTCGGTTTTGGACACTAGAAGTTAGAACACTTGAGTTACAATTTTACAACACGAAATCAAAAAGCGTTCACTAACAAAGTACAACAGGGTTTTTAAGTGCAGACCATGTCAACATGTGATTCTGAAACTTCACCCAACCTTGGATTATCTCTGACACGTACCTCCTGACTAAATCCACTTGAAAATCATCAGCTACGTTGACAACGGCTAGCGCATACACACCCCACTCCAAAAGGTTCTCCCAAGAGAAATACCGCCTGAGCTGATACACGAGTTGGAACAACTGTAGGGGGCCACGAATATCGAATTAGAAGATGCAAAAGAAAAAAAGAGAAAAAACTAATATATTTACATCACTGACCTACTTTCGATATGTAGGAGACCTGTCACTATTCATCACCAGGAGGGGGGTGTGGAGGATTTGAGGGAGGATCACTTAGTTCTCAGGGGGGGGACAGTCTTCGCCAACAGAGTATAGAGGGAAGGTTGCCGCCAAAATTATTTGACTTTAGTCATTAAGAATTGGCATTTTTGCTCTTGGTCGCATTTTCATTAAATTCTTTTGTTTTCACTTTCTTTACTTTCATCGATATTCTGTAACTCTTTGTTTGCATAATATTCCTTTGGTTGTGTCATTCGTAGAATTCCTTAACCCACAAGTTACGTTTATCTACAAATTGAAGATTCACTTTACTTCAAAAGTCGTCGTGCTTTAAGACTAAAGCCTCGTTCAAACGGTCATGATTCTTGATGATAGTTTCAACTATCACTCACTATCATTGACTAACATGTTGGCGTTCAAACGGTTCACGATAGTCGGTGATAGCTGACAAAATCAGTCAAGAGATCGTGTAATTGTGAATAAATATGGTGCGCGCTGAGGTCAGCAATTTCAGTGACATTTTGAAATTTTAGACATGAGGTTGCGAGTTGAAGATACTGAAGCCTACCAGGAAATGATGAGAATGAACCACGAGACATTCTGCGAAATTTTTACGGCTGCTTTAGTCATTTTACCATTTTCCATATCGGTTTAAGCCCGTTTTTGGCAAAACTGTTGACGGAAAAACAATCATTCACTATCATCTGCTCGTTCAAACGGCAATAAATATCATCATGTAAAATTTGAACATGCCCAAACTACATAATAGTTGATAATTGTTCGTGTTAAAACGCATGTGATAGTTGAAACTATCATCAACTGTCATGACTGTTTGAACGGGGCTTAAGTAACAAGAAATCCTCGCTTTCTTACGTTTCATGCACGGAGTGTGCCACTTACCATTACAGAAACGAACTTTAGCTCGACAATTTGAGACCACAGGCTTGACGCGAGGAGGATTAGAAAATTACAACTAGAGGCATACGTAGGAGGGGGGGAAGGGGGAATGAGGAACCTTAAATTACATTTCTATTTATCAATTTTGCTTACTTTAAAATTCTAATACTGCTTTAAACAATCAGTAACAAGTATCCTACCTCAGAAAGAATATGCATCGATGCTAGCGCCAGTATCACTATACGCCCGACGCTTATCCACAAGATGTAACGAGCAGAGCTCTCGTCCGCAGTCCCTTTGTCAACAACAGTTTCATTGGCACAAACTGGGCCATGCTCAGTCATGTAAACAGTGTAACCAGTCAAAAACAACAGGAACAAGCCATAGAGGGCCAGCTTGAAGTAATAAATGTACCTGCCAAACGTCTTCCATTTGTAATCTAACAGAAACGTGACAAGAGGATGGCCAAGCAACTGTTCACGTTTGTTCTTCACCTAAAATTAACAATTTAAGGTCATCAGATTAATCAAAGGGACTAAAAAAACCTTCCCTTCCTTTTTTTCCTCCCCCTCCCTTCTTTCTACTCTTTTCTTTCCACCCCTCCTTCCCTCCCTCTCGGACTCCCTGCCTCCCTTTAATTCTTGCTCTTTTCCTTCCTTCCTTTCTTCCTTCCTTCCTTTCTTCCTTTATCCATCCATCCAGTCCACTTGTGCATCTTTCCTTTCTTCCCTCCATTCCTTATCCCTAAAATGTTTGCTTCTTTGCATTATTCCTTCATCCCTATAACTCCCGCCATTTCTTCTTTACTGGTCCATGCACACAACAGAAAAGCTTCCTCTTGAGCCAAACTAAGCATTATCAACGACGCCGTTAGGGAATAAACATGCTTTCTAGTTGGTTATTCTTTCTTCCTCCGGATAACTCCCAGTCCCCTCTTTCTACCCCTTCCTTACCCCTTTCATTGAACCTCCTTCCTTTCCGCTGCACACCAACCATGTCTTGCACTACTATACGAAGACAAACAACTCATTTAAAAGAACACAGAAAGGCGTAAATTTACCATAATCATAAGAGGATGACTATCCTTCTTCTCCAACTGAGTCACAGCTTCAACCACACCAGCTGACCCTTGAATCTTTCTAAACTCCTCATTCTCTTCGACGTCTTCTATTAAAAAGCTCGCTACACTGGACATCTCCGAAGCTGCATCGCCCCCATCTGACCAGTCCAAGAAGATATCTTCTAAAAACCCATAGTAAAATGTCAACTCGTACTTCTTGTCTTCGACATGGTGGTTACTTTCTTTGACACAACGGTTGAAGACTGCTTCTGCCACAGCTGAGTGTAGAAAGGGAAAGTTCAGAAGAATTTCTTTAATTGTAATACACTCCTTTTTTGTTTACATTTATAAATATCGTTGATATTTATCTACCCTTCATCACTTGTATTCCTTGCAAACACCAAATCAAAATATTTCAACGAAACTACAAAATTCCTCATAAACGACTATCAACAAGGTTAGCATTCACAAAATCACAAGTGTCAAGATTTCTTCAGCACTGCAAGTAAGTCGCACATTCCATCGGTTTACCGACCAAAGAGCCTCTGCGGGAGCTCAGAGGAAGAACATGAGAAGGTTTGAAAGTCCTGAACCGAACTGAACGCAAATAAAGAAAACGTTCTTTTGTAGCTTGTTTACACCCTGCTTAAAGATCTGAATAAGATTAAGAGTCGACGTACAAGGAAGTTTAATGATCAGTTTTCTCAATGAAGTGGTGACGTGACTCTGTTCCCATGATTTGTTCTTTAGAACATCGATCCAATTTTCATCGTTGACAATGGCCATGGCTGCTTCCCTGTTGGACACAAGGAAACAGGTACATTTGTAATAACAAAACAACAGAAACATTAGATCAATGGCCATGAATTACCATAGACAAACTATGGCCACGCTGGGCGCGAAATCATCAGCAGGAAGGCAAGTTGAGCGGCTGCAGGAGTTCTTCAGAATTTACATTATAATGCTTCATTGCAGCTTTCTGTCTGATGGTTACGTAACTCATAATCCCTTTAAAAAAATTGATTCCATGTCGCCATGCTTCTGTTAAGTAAAAGATCACGGATGACGTCAAAGTGTGGTAAGAAGAAAAGAACGTCACACGAAGCGCATCCGAGTGTGCCACTTCACATATACAGTGCCGCTTGCGAGTAAAGTAGCTCCTATCTGCGCGTCAAGCGCGCGTAATGTGTGAGAATGTGCGCGCGAAAAAAAATACACGAGACTGCGTGCGAACCCATGTCATTTGATTTTTATTAAGTTAAAAAAGCATTGGTTCTCACTTGCGGCTGTGATCTGCTGCTAAGTCGAGGCAGTTTCTTCCACTCAGGTCTGTTAGTGTAATGTCAGCACCTTTGGACAGCAGGAGTGTCACCATATCAGCATGGCCCTCTTTTGCGGCCAAATGTAAAGGTGTGGTCTGTAAAAGAAACACGAGTCACATAAAGCAGAGTGTACGTGGGCAATGAATGAGTACTTTTCTAAAACGATAAAGAGATTCTTAAGTGGCCTTTTTACCCTCATGGGGTGCTGAGAGTTTTAAAGTCATTACAATAAGGACTCCACTTCCTTGAGGAAAATCATAGTTATTTTTAACAGTTCAACCCTTCATGGTCTAACATCAGTATGAATATTCTCTATACTGTTCTCCATTTCCTAAGGTGCTCACAAGGAAAATTTGTTCAACAATCAAAAGCTTCTTTCGATGGTAATCATTTCCTTAATTCTCTGACCTAACTATGTGATTGATGGGGTAATATTGTTAGGAGAATTTAGATGCTAGTCACTCTCAGAGGTCAGAGGGTGACCTTGAATATAAAATTAAGAAATCTATTTTTTTGTAAAACTTAAGAAACAAACTTGACAAAAAGATTAATGGTTGCTTAGAATGTTTCTTTGTTTTAACATTATCCTTTACCTTGATCTTATCAATAGGATCGACAGGTGAATCAGAGTCCAACAGGATGTTTGCTACTTTTAAGTGACCTTTAGCTGCTGCACAATCCAGGGGCGTCCACAATGTGGCGTTCCTTGAGGAAGATAAAACACTTGTTTATGTGACTATATTCGGTAAATAAAAAGGAGAGAATGAAAAGGGTCACCTTGCTTAAGGATGTAAATCAAAGGTTTTAGCCTCACTTTCAGTATTCCGGTCAAATTTCTTGAAGTTTAAACTGTTAAAATATCTATAAAGTTTTCCAAACAAAGAGTATTTAAAAAATTCTTTCATTCTAGTTTGAAGCAAGTTTATCAGAAAGAAGCGGGCGGCAACAACTCTTACCGAGTTGTGAGTCTCACTGAGTACTCCAACTCTCTAACCATAATTGGCGAGTAAGAAAAAATGTTTTAGTTGATCGAGGTGAGCTTGACAAAAAGAAAAGAAAATTTTTTCTCGGCGCAAGCAACTCTGGGCACGAAACGACTGGTAACCTCTGGACTCATGGTATTTCTACACACCTAGCATCCACTTCAGCTCCATTTTCTAACAGAGCGTTGCAGCACTTTATGTGACCCTCTATGGCTGCCAAGTGAAGGGCTGTGTTTGATGCTTCATCTCGGTCGTTTATAACGTTACGATCTCTATTTATCAGCTCGAGAACAGTCCTAGGAGAGGGAAGATCATTATCATTTTAATTCAGAGCAATTTTTTTCAATTGAGTGTCAAAAGTAATCTAACATTGCATTGATTTTGTCTCACTTCACTCCGTGATTGATCCAGAAACCTCGCGCCACTCTGTCAACCAATCAGAAGCAAAACTAAAACCAATCATGACTTGTTCACTCACGTTTTCCCGCGCTTTAGGAAGTTTGCTTTTTTTCAACTTAATTGGCTCTTTTAGGCTTTTTTTTTTCTTCTGATTGGCCAAAGTGGTTACTTTGGTTTTGGTTTTACAGCACACAAAAAACACAAAAGACTCCCTAATATAACAAATATATTTACTTGAACCACAAAAGTTTCACATTGTGTGCCACAATGTCCGTGGAAAAATCGATGCTCTTGAAAGAGTAACCTCAATAACAACAATAATTATAAAATTGTATTTAAAACAGGCATAACAAAATATAGTTAATCCAAAGAAACATATTCCTACCAAAACCTACCGAAATGGAAGAAATTTTTTTTAAATTGCTGTGTGTATACCTTATTTTTCCATTTTTTGCAGCTAGATGTAGAGGGGTGTCTTCATCTTCATTCCTTGCATTTATCTTTGCTTTATTATCCAATAATGCCTATTCAATGTTGTGAAGAGTCATCATAAAAAAGTTAAAAAAAAAAATCAAAATTAAGGTAATAATAACTATGTCACAGCTCGATCACCTACATGTACATCAACCTAAAAACATAATGTACTCTTACCTACATGTACACTTGTGTAGTCTACACTAAACAGAGTTGAATTAGCAGAGACTACGCAGCCCAAGCAAGAGGGCTTTTCTCAAAAATACAGTACAAAAATGATAAACTACTCGATCAAAAATGTAAGTAAATGTCAGTTAGTGTTGGCTACACACAGAACTTAGTCTCACCTGAACAACAGAGGCATAACCATTCATAGCAGCAACGTGGAGTGGAGTGTTTTCATGTTGATCACTCTCATTGATCAAAGATTTGGCGTTTTCGTTCTCTAGGATTACCTAACAAAAAGTTGTGAAATTATTCACGGTTATTGTATATACCTCTCGGTTAAAAAATGTAACAATCAATGGCACAATTCAGAGGGTTAGTGTTGTTTCTTTTTAAAACAGTAAACAAAAAATATTAAGTAAAGGAGAGGAGATTGAGAATGAGGAAAAAAATTCATTAATTTGTGACAGATGACAAGTTCAAAGCTACAGACCATAGAATATTAGTGCTGCAGCAAAACTAATGATAAAACATGAACATTAGAAACATTATATAATCCTGGTGAAGCTTGATTCTCTGATTCGATCTACCAGAAAAATATTGATAAAGAAATAAAAGTTAAATTAAGCTAAACATGCTAAGCTGCGATAAAATGTATAAAACATACCTTTAAGGTGTTAACTCTGTTTTTCTCAGCAGCCAAAAAAATAGCAGTTTTATCATGGATGTCCTTTACTTGTAAATCTGCACCTTCATGTAACAGTTTTGACACAACGTCTGTATGTCCTTCTGATGCAGCAACCAACAAGGGAGTGTAGTTATCCTTGTCAAGGCAATCAATATCAGCACCTCTGTACCAAGAGAAAGATTTAAATTGTTCTCATTTAAGTTGGGTTTCTAAAAACCTTTTGGTACATGTATTGTTCAATAAAGTAATTTAACCTGGTGCAATTAGACAAAAATGTGATAACTAAAGCTATACCATGTCCAGCAGGCACAGGTCTCTGTTTACACATGTGCTCCACCTCAAATTCTGACCCACTGCAAAGATTAGCCTCCTTTTGTATAGTGCCATTAATGACACTGTGACCCTTCAATGCAGTTATAAGCCAAACATAAATCTAAAATTTCTCTAAATGACCCAATTTTAATCATCATGTTGATTATAACTACTCCAGGGGATTATTATCAAGATGTGCATGTTTGGATGTAGAATTTCCTTTAGTTTAAAACTTTCAGGCTACACTGTAGTTTAAGTTTCTTTCCTATGTCACAAGTAATGGTAATAGATCTGAGAAACAGCAAAATCAATTTACTGGTTTGGAAAAGTTTTCATCAAGGAAATATGAAACAGACATGGTTTGATGCTTCTCTGGTTTGCAGATTTAATGAATGTAACCGAAGAAGTTACAATTCATAGACCCAACGTTTCGACACTCCTGTCTAGTGCCTTCATCAGGGGTGATCTAAACGCTGCAACAAGAGGTCCTTTTATATGATCACTAATTAGCGGCCTTTTCTCTGACGAGGTGTAAATAGGCGTCAGGAAGCAAACCGCCATCGTCACGATTTAAAGGAGTGTAGGCGGATTTAATATGCCAAGCCTCCAAACAAAGGCGCTGGTGGTAACGCCGATTAGTGGTGATAATTTTAGAATTATCCCACCCAATTGTATGGTTAGGCATGTGTGCTCCGATAAAGCCGAATTTTCCTTTTTGCAAAAGAAAACCGCTTTTTGATGCTCTTTTAAACGTGTACCAAACTGACGTTTGATCTGTCCGATGTATTCGTTATCACAGTCATTGCAAGGAATAGAATAAATGGCGTCGGTTCGTTGTTCTTTCGTGACAGGATCCTTAGGTTTAGCGAAAATATGCCCCAAAGTCCGAAAAGGTTTTTTGAGCAACTTTAACGTTGTGGCTATTCAAAATTCTCTTGATGGTTTCCGTAACACCCTTAATGTAAGGAATAACAGCAAAACCAGTGGCTGGTTCCCTTTCATCAAGAGCATTACTGGTTGTAACTGGTTTTTGGCAGTTACGGAGAAAGGTTTTCGTATAGCCATTTGCCTTTGGGTCATTGGAAACATATTTCCTCTCCTCAGCCTTCGAATCGAGTGAAGATGGTAGACAGTCAGCCCTCCTAAGTAAAGTTTTGGCTACAGACTTTTTATGGCAAATAGGGTGGTGAGAATCGAAAGCGAGGTATTTGTCGGTGTGGGTAGGTTTACAGTAGACACTTGTCTCTAAATTACCCTGAACCCCTCTGGACACATTTAAATCAAGAAAGGGCAAACTTCTATCCTTTTCACGCTCAAGGGTGAATTGGATCGACGGCTCCACTGAATTCAAATGTGACAGGAGGCGCTTCGCTTCATTTCCGCGTATCCGATTTGGTACACGTTTAAAAGAGCATCAAAAAGCGGTTTTCTTTTGCAAAAAGGAAAATTCGGCTTTATCGGAGCACACATGCCTAACTAACCATACAATTGGATGGGATATTTCTAAAATTATCACCACTAATCGGCGTTACCACCAGCGCTTTTGTTTGGAGGCTTGGCATATTAACTCCGCCCACGCTCCTTTATGGCTGTTTGCTTCCTGACGCCTATTTACACCTCGTCAGAAAAAAGGCCGCTAATTAGTGATCATATAAAAGGACCTCCTGTTGCAGCGTTTAGATCACCCCTGATGAAGGCACTAGACAGGAGTGTCGAGACATTGGGTCTATGAATTGTAACTTCTTCGGTTACATTCATTAAATCTGCAAACCAGAGTAGCATCAAACCATGTCTGATTGTCCACCTGGTTGCCGTGTGAACTTTAATATGAAATATGAAACGTTTATATACTTTACATATCTATTAACCTTTCTTAATCTTACTTTTCAAGAAGAAAAGCCACCATCTCAATCTTATTAAAGGCAGCAGCTTTGTGTAATGGAGTCACATGGTATGCATTCCTTGCTTCAATCTTGGCCCTATGAGCGACCAATAATTCTGCAATGTTGACATATCCATTGATGGCAGCAATGTGTAATGGCTGTGCAAGGTTACCCCGTCTTGCTTTCACCTTTGCTCCTTTCTTCAAACACATTTCAACAATTTTAATGTGACCACCTCCCACTGCAGAATGAAGTGCTGTTTCACCTTCTCTGTTTCTGTCCTCTAACATCTCAAGTAGATCACCCTTTCTTTCTGCATGCTCAAATAGAAGTTCCACAGTCTCTAGATTCCCATAAGTGCAGGCGAAATGAATTGGTGTCATTCCCTCATAATCCTTTGCCCTCGGATCAGATCCTACTTCCAGTAATGCCTTGACAATTTCTACATTACCTTCAGTAGCAGCACAATGAAGAGGTGTGGATCCACTGGCATCTGCCGCCTGTCAGTATGTAAGATATAGACATACAATAATTTAGAACTTTCTGTCACATAGAACTTTATGCTTACCAGAGGTTGTGTCTTACAAGCCAAGTGGCCTAGACTGTCAAAACTGATCAATTCCAAAACCCTAAATCCAAGTAATCTTCTTCCACATTTGTCTATTAAGTTACACAACATAAAAAAACATTTACATGAACATGTCCAGAAAAACTTACATCAACATTTATCCCATCACTATTCAACAGTTCTTTTATAGCAGTTACATTGCTTTTTGATGCCGCATAATGAAGAGGGGTGCTTCCATAGGAATCTTTAATATTGACATCCCCTTTGCGTTCATTCACAAAAAAATGAATTAGAGATTCATCCACTGAAGAAATCTGTAAGAAGAGAAAACATTTCAGTATCAAATTTCTAAGTTACTATTACCAGAGTCAACATACAATAGTTAAAATTGATGAATATGTCAGTATTTAATAGTGGTGTGCTTATCCTGAGAAAAAGATTGTTCATTTCAGGGGTGAGTGTACTTTCAACAACCTTGCTTCTCCTTTTACACTAAGTAAACTGGTTAAACCTTTATTTGAGCCAATTGGCTCACCCTGCTTGAGCTTATCCCAGTTTCCTTAGCATTAAGCAATGAGAAGTTTCATTACTCCCCTCTGGATGGGATGTTAGTATATCACAAGATCACCCCCAGCATTTCGTCAGGCTGCCCTGACCGTTAACACTTCTGAGTGAAAAGGGGCACTGTGAGAGTAAAATCTTTTGCCCAAGACTGGATTAAAAGAGGCACTGTGAGAGTAAAATCTTTTGCCCAAGACTGGATGAAAAGGGGCACTGTGAGAGTAAAATATTTTGCCCAAGAACCACCGACCACTGGTCAGATTTTGTCTCATCCATAAACACAGTTGCACTTGAGACAGTGTTGATTACGCAAATTTTTAAAACTCATTTCAACTCTATATTCAAACTTGCCTGAAAGTCACAATTATCAAGATTTAGATTTTTTAGTTCTTTTTTTTCATAAAAAAATAACTCTATGTCAGCGTATAAAGTGGTATGTTACTCACACTTATCAGATCGCTGCATTAGGGTATGTATCTCGCACCCATCAGATCGCTGCATTAGAGTTTGTATCTTGATCACCAATCAGATTGCCGTATTAAGATATTATCTCACACCAATCATATATCATAGCATTTGAGTATCTTGCACCAATCACAGCATTTGGGCATAGGGTATGTATCCTATCTTGGTCATAGGGTATGTATCTCGCACCCATCAGATTGCTGCATTAAGGTTTGTATCTCGATCTCACCAATCAGATTGCTGTATTAAGGTATGTATCTCACACCAATCATATATCATAGTATTTGAATATCTTGCACCAATCACAGCATTTGGGCATAATTTTTTAGTTATTTTTTATTATAAAATAACTATGTTTGCGTATAGAGTGGTATGTTGCTATCACCAATCAGACTGCTGCATTTAAATATCATGCACCAATCACAGCATTTGGGTATTGTTTTCTCATAAATGATGTCATGTGCACAAAGAATGACATCAACCAGAAATTTTGGACTCATTGGATACGTGTAATAGTAATTGTGGCCTTCGTGAGAGCCTCGTTGATTAAGGTCAAGATTCATTAGGATATGAAAGGTAAAATTTAAATTCTTTACTCACAACGCACACGCCAAACAACTTACATTTTATCACATACCATGAAAACAACGTCCATTAGTCCAATCAGAACATATGCAATCATTGCACTACATGAACATTAGGTAATTTTTCATGTGCTTGAATTGTATTCCACCAATAAAATTCCATTTTGCCACATTGGACTTCGCTCTATCACGCGTCATTTTCTTGTAAACAACCTGCATTTTATCACATATTCTAACTGCATTGTCCAGCCCCACTGGAAAAAATTCACATGGAACAAAATGCTACTGATATTGAGTTTTCAATGCATTTCCACGTTTAACTTTTTCTATGATTTAAAGTCACTTTAAGCTTACCTTGGACTTAACCCAATTGCATGTTAATTCCTTGTAAAACAACCTGCATTTTATCACGTATTTCACACTTAGAGGGCAAAGTTCAGTTAGGCAACAACCAATCAAGGAGCCCTCTTTGAAATATTTTCCTTTTCTTTTGTTTAATGTATCTTCACCCATGCGAGATCGCAATGTATCTTTGGCTAAGGTCTATTAGAGCTTCAACAGAGTTTCAGTTTGCTTTATGTAGTAATTGATATTACGTGAAATAATATTTTTGAGGTAACTAACTATAGACGAATAGTTTTGATTTTCTCTCTGTTGGAGGATTTGGATTTTCTCTCTTTTCCAACCAGTATTTGGTCTCGTCACACAATGCCCGCTCTCTCTCAAAGGGGGAATAGAGGGCGTTGTGTGACAGGACCAAACAAAGGTTGCAAAGGAGGCAACATACAGTAAGTGTGGTACCATTGCATTTCATTTTAAGTTAGAAATATTTAGACAATAGAGACAATAGAAAATTCAATTTTAGGGGTTATTTCTTTGGTAATCTTTTTCTTTCATCCTATTCATAAGCATGAAGTTTATTAACAAGTAAGCTGAGTGCCCCCTTGTGTTTCAGTGGGCTCATATTAACATAGCATGAAGGCCCATATTGAGTAAATAAAAGAGTCACTGATGAAAATACTTTGATACAAAACATATTTCAAAACGTGGGCTTTTCAACAATGGCTTTTGTGGCCAAGAGATCGTCATGGCATTTTTGCCACCTGGATATTGCAGGTTGTTTGCTCAGATAAAGGCTTACCTTGGGATCACCGGCACCACAAGAACCCCTCTTGGCTGTGCCCTTCCACCTGTGTTGTGTGGTTTATTAACTAACAAAACATATTAAATTGATGGTGTACATGCATGTCAAGATATTTACCACTCACTGTCCATCATAAAAATTTTATCCAAAATTCATTTGAATCAACTACAACATATACTCTTCAGACCTGTGACATAGCTTGGTTCACTTCTACAAGAAGACTACTGGAGCTGATGGCATGTGTCAGAGGTGCAGCTACAACACCTATGTTACTTTCTACTACTCCATCAGGAACTGTTCCATTTTCGCCACCAGCATTCACTTGTGACACTTGTAAGTTTGCTCGGAATCTTGCAGCGTAATGCAAGGGAGATGCTCCATCTTCTCCAGGGATGTTAATATCTATCAAAAAGATAAGATTAGGATGGTGAGAACCTACTTGTTAGAGCAGGGGCATACATGTAGATAAGGAAGTCCTAAGGTGATTAAGACCTACACTCCTTAATTAATTAAAAACTATTTGTCTGAGGCAAAGTGAATATTATTGAATAATTCTCAAGATGAAGTCCATGGGAATGCTAAAAAAATCATTTTGCCTTTTACAAATAATTGTTCTTAACTATTATAATTGCTTAGGGGCTTTCAAATTCTTTTTTAAATATTCTGATGATGAAACCATTCCGTTTCTGTTGTTCGAATTACCCTTCTTGAGAAAAAGAGCCAATTTCCATTTTTATTTAACAGCGCCTGTTTAATTTAATTCAATCAGCAAAAACTTTATATTGTTCTTTTGAAAAACGTTACTCCAAACTTAATGGCATCTTTTGTGCTCGTCAGTAATCAATTTTCTTCGTTGGATTCATGAATTCCTCAATGATACTGACAAAATGCGAGGTAGCCATTTCAAAATAAAGCCCTCCTACTACAATCACCTTGAAGTGATAATAACAAGATATGACACAATCCTTAGAGCATGTGCATTTCTAATCAAAGGAGCAATTATTCTAAATGAATGTAAGACAACTCTTTCTTACATTAGTAACATACAAAGCGTATACTTCAGGTCCCTGTTGTTTGAAGGTCGGATATTACTATCCACAAGATAAATCTCTAAATGGTGGATAACACCATACATTTTGCCATCACTTATTCGCTGAATAGCAATTTACCCATTGGATAACATTACCTGCCCTTTATACAACTGGACCTAGGTCTGTGAAAAACGTAAGCACAACACATGCTGTCCAATCACAGTAAAGTTAAGAACAAGCAAGGAAACCTCAAAACTCCAAAATAATCACTGTTGCCATTTTCAGGTAAGTTTTCTCATGCCTGATGGCCTTTATCTTTGGAAAACAATAAAATTCCATCAAAGTTATCAGTTTCTGCAGTTCTCTAAGTCTCATGATAATTTCCAAATTTCAATTGCTGGTCCTCATGCCATACGTAGAAAACTTAATAAAAATTACCCGCTCCAAGCTCTACCAACACTTTGACAACCTCCTCCTGTCCATATCGTACAGCATAGTGTAAAGGTGTGGTGTTATCCTCATCTCTCTTGTTTATTACTTTTTTATATCTTGCTGGGTTTTTTGATGCAAGTTTGGTAAGTCTTTGCGTGATGATGTTAGTTTTACCATCTCTTGCAGCCTGTAAATGAATACAACACACTATTCATAATAATTAAAATTAACTCTAATAATTTTGCGCAAAAGTGAATGTGGAATATCAATCATTCTTTGATTCCAATCTTCTGTTTTAGCTCCTTGCTTTCTACTCACAGGTAAGGCTTAGGCAAGGCCCTAAAAAGTTGCCGCTCGATTTTGTACCCGCTGCTGAGCTTTAACTAATGTAAGGCTTAAAATTTTTTAAAACAGTTTGGCTTTTATCTTTTTCAGTGTTCTCCCTTATTTCAAGTATGACAGGTTGTTCGAACTTTCAAGAACTCCAAGAGATTTAAAACGGAATAAGAGGTAGTACATGTGATAAATTGAAATAGTCACTGTCTCAAAAGGAGAGCACTGCTTTCGTTTCACATAAGAATAACGAACACAAGAAAAAGAAAACTAAATAAAAGTGGTAATGAAAATTCTTGTAGAACTTTGACATACAGATATCCACACATTAAGTGTTTTTCAAATTTGTTCTAGACACTGTAGCAACAAGCATTGCATGAGAGATAAGGAATTTAAGTTGGGCGACAGACTAAGAGAGGCATACTCAGAAACAATTTTTTAACTTCCTCCTCAATATGGACATTTGAGGTCTGGTCTGTGCAAGAGTTATACAAACGAAAATCGCCGAATTTTGTCAATTATTCTTTCGAAATAGAAATGGAAATAGTTCTTGCTCTTTTTAAAATTTGTCGTAATGAATTTAACCGTAATCAACGCCGGCTATGAAAATGTGTGTTAGCCCACCTTCACACGTGGTCGATCAAGTCACGCTTGTCTCACTTTTCTCCGTGTTGAAATTTAAAGTTAAGAGCTTTACATCGTTTTGCAGTGGTTAGTGCGGTTTCATTACTTAGTTTGACTTAAAGCTTTCTGGAATATGGCTTCTATAGTTTTCTGCCGGATTTACTCTGAGTTAATTTCTGATGCGTGACCTTTGAAGTCGTGGCGTTACGGCATCTTGCGCTATAGGGTTTGCGTTAACAATGAAGTGCAAATTTTCTCCGAAAAGATCCTCGAAATTTCGGGACTCACTAAGGTTCCCATTGAATTTATCCGCGAAATTTCGGATGAAACCAATCAATAGCTGCTTCGAAAGTTCGTCGAAGTGTCGCGCAAATTTCGTTTCGGACCAAAGTTCCTTGAATAGCTAGGAATTTCGTCGACAACTTTTGCATAATATAATACTGTACCACATGATTAGTAGAACACTGTTTTCAGTCACATCACGCAAAAATCTCTTTCTTATTTGAAATCAGCTATAGCAAGTCCACCCACCCAATTGTCTCTTCAGAAGGAGAGCCTAGGCCCAAATCAAGTCTTCAGTATCATTCATCAAAATAGCACATCTTTCACTGTAACCACTAAGCTTAAAATATACCAAGTCCTCCTTTCCTAGGACAGATTTGGATGTTTTCATCCCTTCTTCAGATTGAATAGTTTTTTTGCCTAACTGGTATGTTAACTCAGGCCTTTTAGCATCAGTGTACAAGGTACTTGAATGTGGTGGGATGGCCAGTTTATTTGGCGAAAGTGCTATCTGAGTGACTAGCATCCACTTCCTCCTTACAGTGTCGCTGCTAACTCAAAAGTTACGGTCTTGATAATAAGAAAAATTGCCAACCTAAAAACACCTTGATTTTCAAACCATTTCTTCTTCTCAGTACCATAGGAGGCATTAATCAATTATACACTTTTACAAAATATAGACAAATTTTCACGTTCAAGGTGATATTTGGCAATTATTTAAAACGAATCAAATACCAAATAGCACAGAAGGGTTACAACTAGTATTAGAAAACATCCTTCCTGACAATTGTTTTTGTCTTGCAAAAATAGTAGCAAATAATCTGTTATCCTTAAAAAACGGTAGAATGTAATTTTAGTCAGTGCAAAAATGCAGTACCTAGGTTGCCTTGACAACTGAGGTGTCAATAAAAAAATGGTCTTTAGTTAATAAAACAATAGAGTTTATTCGCGGGCATAAACATCTTTGGGACCTGACTCAGAGTCATTTTAGATGAAGATTAAAACGACTCTGAGAAGAAAATAAAAAACTAAAAGAAAATGTTCCATTATACCCAAGAAGTGATAAGAAATAATCTATGCCGTGATAAATCAATACTAATTTTTTAATGTTACAAGTTGGCTTTGAATACAAGACTTTCTACTGTGAATGGATAGCATTATTATTATTATTATTATTATTATTATTATTTTAATTATATCATCAGTATAAGTGAACAAAACAAAAACAAGGAACTTGGAGGAAAAAATTGAGAAGTAAAATTAGGTAAGATGCTTCACACGTGCTGAACGGAATATTACACACTGCGGCTTGGTATGTTAAAGAGTTTTTATTATATAGATACTGATGAAATACCACGACTTTTCCTTTTACTAAAAAAATAAAATCTTCATCGCGCGCAGGCGGAAGATACTATTTTTATCTTTCACGTGAGAGGATATCGGTGTCGCCGTAGTTACTAACATGATTAGCCAATTACAAGAGAGCTTCCCGTTCAGGCACGCGGCCGGTTTTTTTGAAATTTCATTCACAAAATGGCTTCGAGGTGCGAAGACAGTACAGTTACCGGTGACTTTCTCGATAAGCTGCCAAATTTTCACATCGATACTTTTTAAGAGCGATAGGTGACCACTTTAATTGCACTATTTTGCTGTTTCAAAGATGAATACAAAAAAAAGTTGTCTTTTATGTAGGAATTTCATCAGTATCTATAACATAAACAGAACATTACATGACCGCTTGGGGATACGAATTTTATCTTCTCGTGCTGAAAGTATCTCTCATACAGAGAAGTATACAAGTCTACTTTCAGCACGAGAAGATAAAATTCGTATCCTCAAGCGGCCATGTAATATCCTCTATTTATTGAAGTGATGTACTACAATTATTGTGTTTACATTCTTTTTTCGTCTGAGAACAATTTAAACAAAAATACGAGCCGCTCGTAGATCACCTGATTTTCATTCAGCATGAGATTACGCTTCGAGAAAAAAGTTTGGAAACCTATTTAAAAGAGGTCAAATCTTATTGCTCGTCAGGTTTGTTTGAGGTATAATCCCTTGTTTGCTAATAGCGTAAATCATGAAATCGACCATCAAAAAAACAGTTGAACAAAAATGTACTAAGGTAACTCATTATGTTGAAGAACCTTTTATCTCGAAAATGATCAGTGCTAAGAACGAAGGACGTATTTCTTTTCCGTCATGGAAAGCTTTAAATTCAGTCAATTCACGTTTTTGGAACACAGCTTGTTTGCATGAGATTAATTAAACAAGAAGAGAGTTAAATTTCAAATGCATATTTTTTACCTGATGAAGCGTAATGTGCGAGATATCGTCGATATCTGGGAGCTGTATTTCGGTTGCAGGTTGCACGGGCTGTGGGTACACTTGGGTCATCTCTAGTGGAGAGGTTCGATCATAAACACCATCTCGATTTCCAACGAAAGTGTCTGTCATTTTTCCACGAAGCCAAGGACACAACGATTATTACTACCTACAGCGAGACCAAGGATTGCAAGATACACAAAATAGAATTATATATTAGTAGGCCCGGAATTTCCGATGTAACACAACAAAACTTCATTGTTAAATAATAATCTCACTTATGCAAATACACACTACCTTTGTTACAAACCTGCGTGAAGGGCTTTCACGAGGTAGTCCAAAGGTAAATAACGAAACGAAACGAAATGAAAATCGGTAATTTGCGATAAGGAAATATGCCAATGATTTGCAAAACGTTCCAAGGAAAACTTTCAACTGTTTGTTTATTACTCTGTTACGGGCTGTTCGAAGTATCAATCTTACGTTCGCTCGATACTCGCCGATTCTTGAAATGCAGAATGACCGTATCTTATTTTGGCTTTATCTTTTCCGTGATCATAGAGAGCGAGTAATCGTCGCATACTTGGACAAACGAGTTAAGTTAAAATATCCGTTTGCACAAACGTAGAGCATCGAGAGTCAATGAAGTCATTCATTTGACTATGATCCCGCCACCGATCTTGTTTTAACAGTGCGCCTCAGATCTTGTTTACAGATTGGTGAAATCGAGTTAACCCTGTCTTGGTTCCCGTGTCATGGTTTTGGTTTTGCTAAATCGGCTACTTTCTATCTGTTTCTATCATCTTAATTCATCTTTCCTGGTTTTATTGACAGTTATTTCAACAGCCCCGCTTAGTGCGTGACACTGATTCGACCTTTTATTTGCTATATTTCGTGAAACTTCAAAGCAAAAAAACATGAAGTTTATTTTCAATAATAATTAGAATAAACAAAGGAGGATGTTGTGAGTTTCTCGCAATAGCCGTTTAGGGTATTTGGCAGTGAAACTATTCTCAGTAAATTGCGCTTATTTCATAAATGTTACACGAAAACGGAAGTAGTTTACCCGGAAGTAAAATGCACTAGTGTATCCTAGTTATTGTTTTTCAAATTATAATGCTCAATGTTTTCGCTTCAAGATAATTATCCGTTGTTGCTCGGAAAGTTTTTCCGCAAAAGATCTCACCGGCTCAACCACAACCATTTACATTGATTTTTAGCTCTCCGTTTGTCAATTTTGGTCAACTGTTTGTTTCTCGGTTTAAGCTATCCGTTTTTTATTTTATTTTTGGTCAACCGTTTCACATTGTTAGCTATCCGTTTTTGGACTTTGGTAAACCGTTTAACGTTTCGTGCAATCCTTATTTATTTTTGGTCAACCGTTTGAGGGCCTAAGCTATCCGTTTTTGGACTTTTGTCAACCGTTTAAATTTTTGGCCATCCGTTTAAGCGGTTATGGAAACCGTTTAAACGCTTGAGTTAGCCGTTCGTTAACGAAAAAGCGTTAGTGTCCGTTTTCCCATGGAGGGTCATATGTGAACTTCCTGATTAATAATCACAAGAGATATAATGTTTTCCTGTCAGCATTGACGCCCAGAAAGAGTTCCGCTTTAATTGGAAACAATTGCAATGATGAAGTGTGAAGTTATTGCACTGTGACATTTGACGCGAAGACTCCAATGACGCCCAGAAAGAGTTCCGCTTTGGAAACAATTGCAATGGTGAACAGACATGGATTAATGCTACTCTGGTTGAAAGATTTAATTAATGTAACCGAGAAGTTACAATTCATAGACTCAACGATCCTTTTATACACTCAAAAAGGACCTCTTGTTGCAGCGTTTAGATCACCCTTGATGAAGGCACTAGACAGGTGTCGAAACGTTGGGTCTTTGAAACCAAACCATGTCTGATTGTCCACCTGGTTGCCATGTGAACTTTAATTTATGCAATGGTGAAGTATGAAGTTACTGCACCATGACATTCGACGCGAAGACTCCAATAACAAAAAGCCCCCAAGCAAATTGAGACTGAAGAATGTTTAACAATTTAACCGTTTTTTAAAATGAAAAATTAAATATCATCCACAGTTAGAACTAAGAGAGCGCAATTAGAATAATTATACGACATACACCTTCCAGACTCTTTTGACAGACCAAACACTGCTCTTGTTCGCGAAAGTTTCCTAATCATCTTTGGATCAGTGTAATGTCTAACACCCATAGTTGGAACTAAGAGCGAAATTTCAGAAGAGTCATACGACATACATCTTCCAAACTCGATTGACAATTCTAACATTTCTCTTGTTCGCGGAAGATTCTTAATCGTATTTAGATCAATGCTAGCTTTGTCTAACATTTTCGCTCAGATAAACTAATTCAACCTTGATGCCGTGCAACAAAACATCGATTCAGGTGATAGAACAAGTTATTTCTCACAGTTTAAGAAGTCTGTTAGATAGACTTACCTCTCATTATAAACAGTGGACAGGAAACGCAATCCTATGCAGATTTTAACAATTGCTGCTTCTTAGAGTGTGACTGAGGGAACACCTTTCAATTTGGTTTTATTACCACTGTTGCTATGGTGGCAAACACATCCTCCCTCTTTTTTTCTAAATAAACTTATAATAAAGTTCGGATATAACGCGCGCTGTCATTGGTTGAAAGAGCGTGCTCTATGAGAGTATAGAGCATAGAACTGAGCTAAAGCTGTCACGCCATCTGCCAAATTGTACTATGTTCGAGCTTTTCCGGGACTTCTTTTTAGCTTTTTTCCGATAATTGAAAGTGAAATTTCGGAACAAGCGAGCCGGCAAGTAGCAACAGAAGAACCAAACAAAGGTTTGTAAACATATCAGGCGCCGTAATTTACATTATTAAAACGTGAGCAGATACGAAAATCCTCAGAGGAAAAACAAAATAGACATTCCGAGTTTTAATGATTTTCACGCTCAGTTAGATTGCAAGCTTACGAACGGGAATAAAAATCAAACACAGCTAACACTCGTTTAGTATATAAAGTTATGAGTTCAAAAACAAAACAGAACAAAACAGAAATTATGAAAAATATAAACAAACTGACATAACTGTTAAAATTAATACTAATCATGACGGTGTCTGAGCAAATATGATCATGCTGAAGTCCATCGCGGCTCGCTTAGCATGGCGATCTCCGATCATTACAGTAATGCAAGCCTCAGAAACTACATCGGCCGGCCTTCGAGTGAAAAAAAATAAGAGCTCGCTCTGATATCCTTTCCGATGCGTTGAGTAGAAAGTCACTTCAGTCACTGCAGCCGAGTTTTGCGGCGCTGTCTTCCCGAGCGATCTTCATGTTCCGGTGAATTCGGCTGTCGTTAATTTAAAAAACACTCGCCTTGAACAGTTTGTTTTCTACCTTGTCATGTGAAAAAACTCGCGTGTTTTTTATGAGCCATAATTCGGCTGAAGTTCACTGAACATTTCACTTGAAGATTCTGTATTAAAAACTTCAGGCAAAAGTGTTAAAATCGACCTGCCGAACTATTTTAGTTTGCAAACGATCGCAGATTGTGAGCTTTGAAGGTTTTTGAACTTTGATGGTTTGACACTTTTGACAGCTTTTGTCTTGTAGAGCCAATCAGATTCTTTGAACCATTCTAACAGGGATTCTGATTGGCTTATTGTGGCGTGCTCTATGAGAGTATAGAGCATGCTGACGACATTGCTGTTCGCTTTGGAAATAAAGTTTGTTTTGAAAATTGAAAGTAATGCATGGGGAATTTGACGGATTCTTTATTATAAAACAAATAGAGAAGCCTTGACTGTGCTCTGTTCTGTTATGTTATTAAGCACTTAGGAAGCGGCTTGAGTGCTCTAGCCGCTTCCTTCGTGCTTTATAACAGAACAGAGCACAGTCAAGGCTTCTCTATTTGTTAAATAATTTATGCAACCTCGGTATTAATAGTTTAGTAACGGAGACAATTACTTTTGAAGTTTATACGTTTATCTTAATTTGATCACAAAGCATCATCGTCTGGAAGGATCATTTGTTGCAGGCAAGATGGAATTTGTTTCGTATGTTTACTAACATGTGAGCTCGTTATTCTTCGTTTCTTGCAGAGGAATTGTGTTATTAATGCGAGATCATCAGTGTATCCTCAAATTTCCGAAATCTCTCGTTTTTAAACACCCTTTTCTATCTCTTGTCTAATATGACTTTTTGTGCACGAATGAGCATTGCCGGGCAACATTTGTCCAAATATATCTCCGGTTGTACTTATCTTAGTATTTTGTAAAAACTACAGTCATTTTCTTGATCCGCTAGATAGGAGGCTTGTACGGTGATAACCAGAACAAATATTTAACCTCAGAGTCGGTGAAAGGGTAGGATATCTACATGTATCTCTCGCTTGATGAGAAATTATTAAATAATCTTTCACTTTCGTAAATCAATGGTCTGAGAAAAACTAATATTTGGAATTTCACCTAAAATTGAGAGAAAGCGGATTTGAAGGATAAATCTGGAAGACAAATTTGGAATGTTACCGATAGGAAACACATTTTGCCTCAGATTAGAAAAATTAAGCACAATTAAATATGTAAATTAAAATTGAAAGCCATGAAGTACGTATCTGAAAAGTAAGAACTAGAACTACGAAGTAAACTAGAAGAGTTTGATGTCACTCAGACGGGTACTTAGTTCAAATGTCGTAGGAACTCAAAGATAATAATGATGATAGTTATAATATTACAAATTATTCAAAATAGAACGTCTAGGATTGCGTGGACGAGTGCAGTTAATCAATTTAAACTGTAAAACCCCCTGAGAAAGATTTTCAAGTTAACATTTGTAAAAACAAATAAAAGGATTTTTCCGCGTTACTGCCTTGTGGTAATACTTAACTTTTTTACAATCATATCCGAACAACTCTGTCAAGATCTCATAATTTTGATTTATTTTATTTCTTTCCATTGTTTGGCTGGTTGGCATATATTTCTCACGTGTAAAGCGCTCTCAGCTTGCTTATCACTGATGGTTAATACAAAAACCAAAAAACACTCGCAGTTGGATAAAATCATGTAAAAAGTGTAAATGAATCATAATTGCAGAGAACCAAGAGGTTCAAACCAATGTTCCTCATAGAGTAGGTAAGTAGGTTTTAACCCCTTTTTGATGCTCCACTCGTCAGCAAGAAACATTTTTTACGCGGTCTCCTTCACCTTAAAAATGACTCTCACTCACGGTATCCTTTACCTCCCCCTTTTGCCCATATCCTCAACGTTATAGAAACTAGGAATAAACAGGACGAATATGTCATCACATAGATATTCTCGATTCTCCTTTATTCCTGCGGTCAGAGAATTGGCCAGAATGGTGTACCGAAAAGGAGCACGTGCTCCACTAAGCCATGGATTCAGTTTTTCTTATTTTTTCGTCATATGTACCAAAAAACATCATTATTTTATTTCTGTAGATGTTTTAATTTCCATAAAAAAAAAATCACAGTGCGGTACGAATGGATTTTTCCGTATGATCCTTGGACTTCAGTAAAATAGGACGATCATCTTTGAAGATACCACAGCTTCCTTCTTGCTAGCTTGTTTTTTTTTTCTTAGGTCATGTCATGTAAATGCAAGCCAATTTGGAGCGATAAAAATGAACGTTTCAGTGATAACAATAAGCGCACATAGATATGTACGCATATAAATTTCAGGATCATCTTGCATCTCAGAGATCGACATTCTCACCTGGAATCAGTATGAGAAGAGAGTAGGAAAATTGTTTTTCACCGTGAAAAAATGCTTTGACTTAATGTTTCCTCGTGCTTTAAATCAAGATTCGTAGTCAATTTCCCAAGAGAAAGTACTCGCACGATACGCAAACTTTCTTCTTTGTGGCTTAAATTTTTTTGATTGGATTTTATTTTTCTCTCTCTTTCTGAGTGTAAAAGAAATTAGCTTGTTTGTTGTGTGGTGCCATTTTGCAAAAACAACTCCACATAAGTTCATGTCTCATATTCGTGGCCCACGAATCCTCCCTGGGAAACGTGGGAACTTCATATGCACAACAAATTAACCATTAAAATCCCAAGACCCGATTGTAAATTTCCCCCTCCAGCTGCTACATATTTCCTCGTATTTAATTACGAGAATTCGGTGCTAGATCACGATAACAACTTCTACCTGATACGTTTTAGTTTTCTCGTCACTTTTTGTAGGATAATTTGTTGATATCACAGGGAGAAATTACATGTTAATCACCTCTGGGATTATAAGGATTAAACGGGTCTTATATAACTTTTCTTTTATCTTTTTAGTATCTAGAACCATTGTGAGTAATATGCAAATATGAATTCGACAAATGTTTCATCGAATGCTTCGACGACTGTTTCCTCTGCTGCGCCAGCAAGCGAAGTGAAGATTGGAAGATCACTATACACTCAGACAACGTGCTTTATTATTGCCACGATGGCCTTTCTTGGGAATCTGCTTGTAATTCTCCTCATCCTCGTGAAAAAAGGAAAATTTTTGAAGAAATCTTACAACATTTTGATTCTATCCTTGGCCATGTCTGATATTCTCACCGCTTTGATGCTTGTCACAAACCCAGCTATGGTCCTTGGTGACGCGTTTCCTTATCCTAACAATCACGTCTTGGGCGATGTCTTCTGTCGAGTTATTTGGAGTCGTACGTTTCTCTTCCAGTTGTTGGTTTTCTCTGCCTACATCTGTGTGGCTTTGGCAACGGAGCGTTGGTTTGCAGTGGTTAAGCCTCAACAGTACAACCAGGTCTTCAACAAGAAGCGCACGCTCGTTTACATCTTCCTCGTGTGGCTGTGGTCGGTTATCCTTTGTGCTTCAAATTCGTTTCAGCTCTCCTACGTATCGTCGAATCCCCCAAATAGCCGATGCAAATGGAACTTTGGCTCGGCTACTCAAACAGTCCGCATCATTATCGCAGTCATTCAAACCTTCTTCAAAATGGCGTTTCCGTGTCTGACCATGTTGTTCCTGTTCATTCACATGGTTTACAGAGCAAGCAAACCCACAGTCACCTCAGTTGAGAGCAAGGCTAAATTGCGCGGAAAAATAACGCGGATGGTTGGTGCGGCTTCTTTGGCATTAATAATCTGTTTCGCACCGTCTCAGATTAACTACACCCTGGCAGTGGCGGGAAAAACAAGACTAGATAACACCGTACACCACGTTCTCTCGCTCTTGGCGTTGGTCAACAGCTGTTTGAACCCGTTCATCTACGGGCTGAGCAACAGAAATTACCGCCAAGGTTATCAGCAGATTCTACTTTCACTGTACCCTTGGTGCATCAAGAGACATGAAAACAGAGTGGTGTCACGTCCGATAAGTCGCCGGACCGATTTAACCAGGCCGGGTACTTCGAGTTAGAGCTGAGAGTATACCATGTCGTTACTGTTCTTGTTTCAAAGAAGATGCTGCCATGTAATTTAGCATGCTAAGTGTCTTTCCTTTTGGTATCTTTAACGAAACGTCAAAGAGCAAGCCCAAAAAACACACCCACCTAACTTCTGTCAAAAATATTGTATTTTATGTACAAAAGTGAGTGGCGAGAAGAATCCTATCGAAATCAATTACATTTACTTAACCATGATAAACATTTCGCCAAAGTACAAAGTAATAAATTATGGTCTCAGACTTAAGAGCAATGAATAATCTTTTGATGTAAAAAAAAAAAACAAAAAAAACAAATCGAACGCTCCGGAACATCTGGTGTGAACAAAGTGCGAATCATGCTGATGAGCATGAATGTTCAATTTTGTTTTAACTGCACTGTTCCTGTTTTTCAGTTATGCTAATTAACCTCTCACTCTGGCACACAAATTTGTCTGCTTAAAATGACGTAACAATAAACGACTGCTAGAATTTGGTTAATGAACTCGTTGGTGCTAACGTTTGTAACAGTCACCAACACATGAACAATTGAGCAGAGTAAAGAACCAGAGGAATAGACCAGCACAATAAAACGACCTCTGGAATATAACGGAAGTAATTATTTAAAGAACTCAGAAAGGTTCTACTTCAAATGAGGTCATTAGTGCATAAATTTCAAGTGTCTACGGAAGGCACTTAAAAAGGTCTCACTGTACTAGAAAGTCCCCTGAGGGGCCAGCGCGTGGAAGGAACATCTTTGTTATCCACGTCCAAAAGCATAACAGGCTCTCGCTGACAAATCCTGGACGAGTAGCATGGGCACGAGTAAGACACAGCGGCACGCACGGGATCATTCAAGGAGGCTTTCTCAGTCTGAGGAAGAGCAACAATGTGTACCACAGGGAGAGGGGTTGGGCCTGACTTTGGAGGAGCGTCCAAAAGGTCCCCGGTGGTTTTCTCCCAGGCACAGCCCCACAAGTAGATACCGTACACGAACATTCCGTCTAGTGGTGGTTCTCTCAACTAAAAGGTAAAATTCAATAAAACAGCAATTTGTGATTTCAAGCTGTTAAAACGATTAAAATAAAGTGATTTACTGGACATGTAATTTTGAATTAAGCGTGAGCGAAGGGCAACAATCGGAGTTGCACCACAATTGAGTCTCAGGGATCTGACGGCCCGCTGAACGATGTACAAAGAAACCATTCCTGTATACTGCTAGGATCAGTCAAATCAAAACTATCCTGAATTTGGTACGACGCTCTTCAGAAACAGAAAAAGGAACAGACTAAACAAGAACCAGAAGTGTTAGTCATAGCTGCTTGGTTCAGTTTTCTACAAAATAAATTCAGTTGTAATTTGTATTAAAACGCCTGCACGGCGCTATACAAGGAACAGCCAAGTGGCTTAGGACAGAAGAGCTTAAGATCTAGGAGACAATAATATTTTAAAACAACATTCTAGGTCATCGAATGTACACTTTTTCTCCTAAATAGAAAAAGAAGGCTTGCTTACGTGATCTTTATCTCTTCCAGTGATTTCTGTTTGATACACAAACGGTTCTGTTCCTGAAACTCTTCCTTCATAGTTTCTGACAGCCTCCTATGGAAGACCATTAGGTATCAATAAATGAGATCAAAACGCAGACCCAATATTTACAAATGAAGCGTTTGCTGTTTTACTGTTACCTGTTTGATGATGGAGAGAAAACGCCGTGGGTTAAAGAAGGCTCCAAGCCAATATGCCGGTACTCTTTCACGACTCTAATAAACGAAGAGGAAGTACTTCAGCCGATTATTAAGATAAATAAGAACATCAAACCGCCTTAGCATAGATTATTATTTACCTGCACAATAATTCGGTCAATATGCGAAAATCGGTTTCCAAGGTCGGTAAACCAGGCGGCTAAACTCCACGTGGGGGGAGGGGAGGATTCTCCTCCTAGCTGACTCCATTTGCTAGGAATTCTCATGTGATACAGGTCATCAGCAGAGTCCAGCAACTCCTCGCTGATACGGTCACCACAGAGACTCTCCTCAGTAGCAGCCTTGATTGACTGCAACAAACAGATCAGCATATTAGCGGCAAAGAAAATACCAGACCGAAAAAACTCAGAGCACTTAAATTCTCTACAGTAGAATTGAAACGAAAAACGAACGAACGTAAACTGATTTGCAATGGTTAAGATTTCCGTGTGCTTCATTTGGCTCTTTGAATTTATTGTACATTTATGGGAGGAGCGCTCAAGAAAAGGTATTTTCAAAGTTTTCATCACTTTACTTGTGCTCCTTACTGCTACTCAATTGTTGTTGTTTCCTGATGATATCAGAGGGAGAAAAGGTAGTAAAACCTCTTTGGTTCCCGTTCCATCAGAAAGTGAATACGGAAAATGTCTAGAGAATTGTCAAGGGATTACGGGAAATTCACTCAAACGAATGGAATTAAGAAGAAGGCCACCAATTTTTAATTAGAAAATATACTATTTTTTCGGAAACTAACTGATACGTCAGATTCTAGCAGAAATTCAACCAAGACTTACATACATACAGTCTCATAGTAGCACAGAAAAAGTGAATAAAACAAAAGTCGTTTACCAATAAAGTTTCGCGAACACACGCCAATAGTCTATGCATACATTCCATCTCAGCTATGACGAAGAGGTTAAAGGAGTTTGGACCTCCAGTCTTCTTCATCCGTTCGTAGACACTCTCCTGTAAATTAAAAATAAAACAAAATTCTTGCAATCGAATGTTTAATAAAACCTCTGCGGGAAACGTTTAGAGAGAAGAAGGGGAGCGAGAATGTTCATACTGTAGTGGGCGTACAAGTTTGTCACACTACTGCGAAGAAAGCTTTCTGTCGCTGGCTTTCGTCCTCTCCAAAATACTAAGCTAAGGTTCCTGTGGCTTTTCTTTTTTAGACAGCAGCTTTAATTTGGTTTGTCCGTCGTCAGACAAGATAGTGTTAATTTTGATAGAAAAAAGGCCTATTTAATTTGATATATCAGCAAAGAAAGGGTTTGACAGGAACAAAAACAGTAGAAAAAACAGAAACTTCAGAAGAATACAAGTCACCTTCGACCAAACTTTTGGAATCTTCGCCAGCATTGTCGTGCATACTTCGTTTAGATCAACTTCCTTCCGACTACGAAACGAAACTAGACTGGCACTAGCGAACACTCCCGCCCCAGCAATACTAATTGACCCTGCCCCAGTGGTGTGCGCAGCTGAACTCTGCTGAATAACACCTGAGGAGGGCAAGAGCGTGGATGGCTCCGTAACAGCGTGTGTGAGCGTGTCGGACGAGGCCATACGATCCAGTAGGTAGTTTAAACGAGTGAAAACGTACTGTTCGTCTCCCAGCTGAGTCTGAAACAACAAACCAATCATATTCGTTATAATGTTTCGATGTTACTGTGGTTTGAATGAGGTAGCTGCGTGCAAAATTAGAAGTCAATCCCAGAAATTTTCGAGGGAGTGTAGAATTTAATCTCATCTAATCCCCTGCAACCTTGGCCATCCCTGCTCTGTCTCGGTTGGTGATTTGTTTCCTGCGTTTTCTATCCCACAAGGTAAATATTCTGCTGTGTTAAACACTCAAGATTTTTTTTAGTTAGTGATCATTTCCATTGTTCTCGTGGCCATCATGAGTGGTTCAGGGGCGATATGGTAAAGAAATTAGATGCTAGTCACTATTTAGTGTCTAAGGATTTAAAGTAGTCTTTACAACAGATCATTTTAGAAAAACCATCCTGTTTTGCATGCTCCACTTGTATAATAGTCAGTTTATCTTACCTCAGGAGAGGGGTGTAGGCCACATGCTTCGGGAACTTCAAGACCTTCACCAGCAAGCCCCTCAAGCGCTGACCACACGCTGTTTAGTTTCACGTTGCTACTGAATAAAGCTGATGGTAGTTTGTACTTGACTATGGAAAAAAGAACGCAAGACAAAATACGTTGAAATACAATTAAAAGCCTAAACAGGACCATTGTCAAAAATGTGAATAAAATAAAAATCAAACAAAAACAAAAACACATACTCTTTGAAGCTTCAAATTCCCGTTTGACTGCGGCTGGACTGATCCAGTAATCAATCATGGCACTCAAGCCCTGGCGGTCAAATTCATCACTCACACCTCTGCCGTATACAACCTGCATTTTCCCACAACACAAGTAATTATGATTCGCAATGAGCAAAGATAAATGGAGAAAAATACATAGGCACGCGTAGATACGGAATTTCTCCTCAATACGGCTTTTCTCAGGACTGGAAATCCTTTCATAACACCGCAGTTTACATGATGAAAACTGATATCAACGAAAAACAACATCTCCTAATTGTCATCATCATCTTCCACGACAACAGAAAAAACCATGACAACCAAAACAACAACAACAATAACAACAAAATCACTTTAATGGTTAAATTAAAATTTGTTTCACCGCTCTTGAACATTATCAGAATTTCACAGCCACGCGACTTTCGCCACCAAACGTCACCGTAAATAATGAAAATATATGCGCAATGTAAAAGGATTCCCTTATCACAAAATAGTTCGTCGAAATTGATGCAGATGAACTTTTCTGGTCGGTGCTATGACAGCTCACAGCTTTCTCTCATTTACGAAAATCTCAGTGAATAACATTCAGAGTTAGCGCAACAGGAAGCAGTTCCGTCGGTCAAAAGGTACAAAGTACAAAAGCTCAGTTGTAATATATTACAACTCCTGGTTAACGATACCATTCAAATTGTAGTGATATTAAGCTTAGGCTTAATAATTTCGCCCACACGAATAATGTCCATTCATTTTCTCAGGTCACGGGGGCGGGGGAAGAGGGTTGTTGGGGGAGGGCGTACCTCTGTTAACATATACCGTAATCCATTCCACTGGATAGGCCTCGTTGATCCAGCCCCTTGCCATGCCATATCTGCATTGTCTTGAAACTCGCGTACAGCCAGATCCAACCCTTGCTGCGGGAAAAAAATTGTTTACGTCAAATTATTAAATCTGCCACTGTGAACAACCGAAATCGACCACATAAATGATCCGTGATACTTACCCAAAGTTCCGCAGTCCCTATGTTCCTGAGGTCCATAGGCTTGTTCCAGCCAGTCAAGCCAAACCTTGTTCGTAACCGGACCAAACTGTGTAACATACACAGATTATGAAGCAGAGCAGGCCACTCTGGACGCGTGCTCACTCGCATCAGTTCGCTATCAACCCACTGAAGGGACCGCTGCAAGCTGTCTTTTGTGTTCTGTCAAAGAAAATGAAAGGCAATTTGTATTAGATATTACTCCTGGTATATAAGTATAATATAAATCTTCCCCCCCCCCCCGAAGGTAATGAGAATTCTCAAAACCTTTGAGGAAGTACGCCACGATAATTTTAATGTCCCTTGGTGAACTGAAGAAGTTGAGACTGTCAAAACTTTGGCTCGACAAGTAGTTCACGACCACTCTAATTTCTTACATCAGCTTTAATGAAGCAATTAGAGGGACTCACAACATAAAGAGGATCAATGTCAGAGAGAATTGCATTTGAAAATAAAATAAAACCTTCAATAATCGTTTGTTAGGGCAGATGGAGCAGTTTTCAGTTGAGAGCCTAAAGTAGTCCAAGATTGCTTTGGTTTCGGGTTACTTCGTGATTGGTCCCGAAAACTTGCTTCGGGTTACTTCGTGATTGGTCCCGAAAAACTTGCGCAACTTTCTCAAAACATCCAAACCTTACATCAATTGCGACACTCATGTTTTGCCCGCTTTTTACAATTTTCTTGTTTCAAAATTTGAGTTCATAGGCTCCTTGTAGTATTTTTTTTACTCTGTTATGACTGGCTGTTGTGAATACTTTAGTTTTGGTATTACGACACTCGATCGAAACTCGAGGAATGTAAGAATAAACTTTAAAGAATCGAATGTGACTGAGGATGGCTAACGCAGATTACAAGCAACGTGATTAAAGACTTTGCCTAAAGTTTATAAAGATTTACAAACTGTTAGCTATCTTCTTAACCCTCTTTAACTTCGTTATATCTAAAGCGGTACCTTTGGTGAGTCAGCTACAACCTTTACAGCAGATTGCAGAAGAGAGGAAGGTATGTCTGGGTGTGGCTGGACGGACACCCACAGTCTAAACTCGCTGTCCACTGTCTTGGTCTCCTGCATGAACGAGTCAAGTGCTGCCAGGAGACGGGGTGAATTGTGTGCGTTATGAAGAAGAACCCAGTGACCCTGGATAAAGAAAACAAGTTAGAAAAAATTTTGTTTGCAAAGAAAGTAAGTAAACACAAGAAACACTAGAAAGTAGAAAACGTGCAGCACTCTCGTAGCACATCAGCAGCAAATTTAAATCAACCACGTGTTGGTCATTCACGTCTCCGCGCTTGAATCGTATACAACTAATAACGTTTTCTTTGAATTACCTCCCTGAAATATTAACCTTTGCATTGGTTGGGCTTTACGATTACAATCACTATCAAATAGCAAGAAGGAGCACCTCTACCTTACTATAGGGCAAATGTTAACAAGTTTCACTGCTGAAGTTTACACACCTGTACCATGGCCTTGTGGATCGTCTTTCTTGCCGCACGTTCTTCGCCAATTCCAACATTTGCTAGAGCAAGAACATGCAACTCCACCTGCCGAGAAACAAATTGGAAGCGAGAAATCCATAAAGTCTAGTATTAACAAAGAAAATTTGAAACACAAACAAACAAAGAAATCGTTACACTTTTGACACCAACTATTCTTACAAACAAACGACTTGCACACCTGTTTCCTTTGCGCTCCTTCAATAACCAACTTTTCCACCATATTGGCTTCTTGGGTATACAGCAGCACAATTGGTGTGCGACTCTCGCTCTGACGATACGCAAACGGTAAGTCCAGTGGCACTTCCGTAGTGTATCTGTCGGGAATAAAGTAATGAAAAGAACGATAAACATGCCTCTTCAAATTTCTTAAAACTGCCAAAATCGTCAACAAGTATAACAAATCATTATCCATGAATCAGTTACGCTGTGCAAATTCATAGTCAAGACCATTACATGCAATAAGAATCTGTGCCTTCTGAAACTGCGATACAGTCTTAAAGATTCCAGGAGCAGAATGAGAGGTGATAAGTCGAAGACTCTGGTGACTTAGGCTCGACAACCCATCTGTGTTCGGAATGCGATCCCTTTTGCGTTCCTTACGAGACTAAAAGTTCCCTCTTACGAAGATCAACGACCGGAGTCGCGAAAATGACGGAAATCGAACCTAGTGAGACCTTGAGTGGAACGCAAAATAAGATCATCCATTATTCAATTTACGGTTTTAAGTGAGAAAAGTTTGACACTTAAGGCGGAGGAACGTCCTCGTGATGTTTTCAAAATGTTTTCGTAAATGAAACGAAACATGTTTTTTTTTTTTAAGCGGACATTGAAGACGACGATGTGAGAAAACGTCAAACTTCAACCAATAGGTTGGAAACTTACTTCTTTCCCAAAACAGACGTAATAAAACACGTTGCAGCTGGCATCAAGCGGTCTCCACGGAGGGATCGGATCACCATGAACCTCTGAATCAGAGTAAATCTGAAAACCGTGCAGAAAGAACTCATATCAAGACAGTTCTGACAGGTATAGAACGCAACCGCAACAGTTTATCATGCTATCCAAAGGCTTAAAACAAATGAGCTGTACGTTTTAACTGTTGAGGTGTTCGTAAGAAAAACTGTTTATCACATGGCCATAATCATTCGCAACCTACTTATCGTCCAGGCCGTCTGGAAGGGCAACCAGCTCAGGTTTTTCATGTTCCGTAATTTGCCTCCATTGTGTTTCACGTCCATCTTTTGTCATCTTTTCGAAAGCGTCCTGAAACCACTCAAAATGGGTTGCTAAAAGCTAAAAGCAGAGAAATATGTATCAGTTCAACAACGCAGTTTATCTTGAGGAAAATAACTGAGGTTGGAAAATAGACCTTAACCGTGTATCACGACTCACGAGCGCAGCACGCGATTAATGTGGATTGTCGTTACCAGAATATTTCCCTACCGTATCCCCCCTGCCTTGTTAAGAATGAGATGTTTATTAATTTTTTGAGTAGCTGTTTGTATCATTTATTGAAGTCATTGATGAAAATAGTCAGACTTCTTGCCTCAAAGAGACCAGGAAGGCAAAGCTCTCTCTTATCTCCTGAATTCGCTTCGAGACAAGGTTTCTTGTCCTCAAGTGGCGCTACTTGACACTCACCTGAAGATAAGAATACTGCTCGTCTAACAACCAATCAAAAGGCTTCTTAGAAAGAGTGCGAGACGCAGCTTCAGACATGGCGCTGGGTTGAAGCGCGGTTTTCACAGCCGCACCGAATGATGGGTGAATCAAGAACTCGCGGTCACCAGGGCCCACACGACCACTCGAGTCTTCAACCTACAAGTGGACACAACGAAGAAGAAGGTGATGTAAACGAGAAGTTTCTTCCTTCCGTCAATAATTATTTAAACTAGCTTTCACTGATTTAACACTAGGAGCGAACTGGGCCTCTCTAGGTTACATGCTACTGTGAGTATTTTCACTACTCCAACCCGTCGCTTCGTTTCCGACAGGTCGCTGCCACCCATTTAAGCTCCTGGGAGGCAAGAAATGATGTGGAGTGAAAGCATGTCGCTCAACTCAATGACTCGGGTAGCCACGAGAAAGAAAGTTATGACTCAATTTATGAGTCAATGCACCGACCACAAGCCCATCTCAACTCATCTCATATCATCATTGCAAATAGAGCTGTCTCAATCAAAAGATTTAATCATTTTCGAACTTTTCTTTTTTTTTTCCAATTTCCATCTTCAAAGACATCTCTCCATACTAAAATAACCAATGCTGGTGACAGGCTCTATCACTATCCGTGGGAAAGAAAGGGGCAGGAGGATGTGACAAAATGAAGAATTAACAGTTCCACCAGCAAGAAATAATAATTAAGCAAGCCTGTTATGACAGAGTTGAGTTTACCTCAATAGCACAAAGTAAGGAAAAAAGAGGCCTGTCCCGTTCAAACAGAGCTCGAGCTGCCGTGTAGAACGCGCTTTGGGTTAACCTCTCCACCACTGCTTTTACAGCAGTTCTGAAAGAGAAAGAAAAGAGTAAAACCTTCAAACGTTTGTTAAAAGTTCTTCTTGAGAATATCGGGCGTGGTTCGGAAGCTTTCGTCAATTCACGCGATCATTTTGTCCTATTTCTCGGAGAACAGTAGCTCGTGGTCTCGGCCAATGTAGCGGATCTACGCCAAAAAACAGTTTGAAGACCATCACAGAAAAAAGAATATCACTATATTAATGAAAATTAAAGTTTCTGTAAGCATGAACCAAATTGGGAAAGTTACACCTCCAATGGGCAGAATATCATTCTTCTTTAGATAACCCCTTCGCCATTTCCCATACTGTCCCTTTATCATTTGCTTGCACCCATTTACAAGCTTGTAGGCGATATGACAAACCCTGGTCGCTTCAGCTAGAGTACACGTGACCTTAGGCCTAAAGCCATCATAAAATTCACCCTGACCTTGGCATATCTCTTGGCTAATTTCACACAGGTTTACCTTTCTGAGTGTTTTATAGCAGCATCAAACACCGTCAGAAACTGGGCGAGAGAGGTCTGGTAAGAAGTATTGATCTCAGCCATGATCCTGGCAACATCAAACATCACTGCTGCACGGCGAGCGATTGGTCGATATCCCTCACGTGATTGTAGAATAGAGTTTTCAATGCCTCGAGACCGTGTTTGGCTTCAGAAAAATAAAAGAAAGGTTGGTTGTTAACATACACAATTTTTGAGACATAGACAATTGAGAGGTATTGAAGAGTCACTTGTAAACATATGAAAATGAATCTTTTAATAAATTTTGGTCAGGAAACAATCAGAACAGTTTTCTTCCCTGGTGTGGTTTTTTGTTTTAAAATCTTTGTAACAAGTTGAAAACACCCAAATGGTGTTCCTTTACAGAGAACAGACGTAACCCTTCCCTCCCCAGGGGTGACTAAAAAACAATTTCTCTTTATGATATCTTTGCCTTTTCAAGCAAAGAGTTTATTAGAGATAAAAAGTATCACTTCTAAGATATCATTTGATTAGGCAGAAATTTCTCAGAGGAAAAAAAACGACAAGGAGGAAAAAATTACATTTCGATCGCGGGAATGAAAGAATTAATACCAACCCTTCAACAATCTCCTCGTGCTGTTTCTTTATAGAGGCAAGTTTCTTGGTGGCTGCTAAGTTGTAAAGAAGGCGATGTCCACTTCCTAAACATTCTAAAATGTTCTCTTCTGCTTCGCGCAAACCTTCCATAAGAGTCACCATTTCCTGTTACAAAAGGCAATGGCCAAATTAAAAAGAGAAAGACTTCCATCAGTGTTATCTTTAAACTTCACACAGATGAGATTGTAAGTAACGACACAAGCGCACACATTCTTGACTAAGCCGCTCAAAAAAGCCTTTCGCGGGCGAAATCCATTCATGCGGTACATTTTTTTAACAGTCCCTCCATATAATACTGTAGTCCTATCATTTGTCTCACGATGTAGTCTCTTCCGCAGTAGTTCACCACGTATCGACCACAAAATGTTGGTCTTCTGCAAGCAAGCTCCGCTGTGATTGATGCATTTCAAACAATCACAGCATAGTGCTTAATCAGGCGACGCGTACCCTGTTGACTATTGTAATCAATCAAGATGAATATGCAAAACAAGCCATAAAATGTTATTAGTATCAACTATTCGGGACGGTTTAGTGCAGCGCAATCATATGAGTATAGTTTGGACACACTGAAAAAGTTCAGAAAATTCAATTTTGATGAAAGTTTTCATACTACAGCTTCGCCTCCACTTTCACTGTAACACCTTTCTGAAGATCTAGCTCTCTATTCTAAGCAGTTTTAACAGTTGTTGCTGTTCTACTTACATCCACTACTTGTGTCCTTGTTTCCTGCATCCGTGGTTTTTCAAGTCTCATGAACCTATCCAGGAACATCTCCTCCAAGCCGTCTCGTGACTGACTAAATTCAACTACATTCACATAAGCCGCTATGCTAGATGGGACAGATTTACTCGAAAACGTCGTAGCTAATACCAACCTAAGAGCGGAGATAAGATTTGATAAGGAAATTCCAAAGGCGGCTCTAAGCTATTTCTAAGATAGAGAGCAATTGGTTAACTGAAAGAGTTTGCTAACCCACTCGATCGTTAGTTTGCGCAAGAAGAGACCTTTCTTTCGAGAGTTTCTTAACATCTATGGAATTAGCATGGGTGACAACATGATTTCGAGTGCAATTTGGTGTTGATAAGCAAGAGACAACAAAATTGCACGAGCCCGTAGGGTAATTGTAATATGTAGTCTTTGAAAAATTTACTGGTGGTTATTACACCAAAGTCCAGGAAAAATCATGTTAATACTTGTTAATAACGTACATGAGAAAACATTGCAGAAAGTCAAGGCAGACGAATTTTGAAGGCGTGCGCGCGCTATTTGTTACAATTTTGCACTCGTGTTACAACTTTGCACTAGTGTTACAGCTTTGCACTCGAGTTATATGAGAATGCACTCGTTTTCAGCCAATCAGAAGCTCGTAATTTTTTCATATAGATTATTACAATCGGAATAGGGGGTACAATCAGTAAAAAAATTGTATAATCACCAGGGGGAGTTGTGACTAATGAATGCACCTATGGTCTGGCCGGCCAGTTCAGTATGTTCACGAAAAAAAAAATGACAATGAGAATAACTGTTGCTGAACTGTACTGATAGTTCATACAATTGAGTCTGAATTTGTTCAACGTAAGTTGCAAGCCATAACTGCTTGTCAAATCTGCATGGTTAGCAGATTACATTTTTTTTCATTTGACGCGCAAAATGTTGCATAACTTACCTGAAACCTGGTTGGCACTCAATTTCATGCTCACCAACCTGGAACAGAATTGTGTGAATACCACGATTAATGAAAACAACAATACGCGAGGGCAGCATAACCGAGAGGTCTGAAGTACCCAACATCAAGAAAGTCACTTTGGGTTCAAATCCCGTTCTTGTTATCAGCTGGAGTTGTTTGTGGTGATCTCAATGTCTACTTCTAGGTCTTGCCTATGACTAATCAGCTTGTTTGTCTCTTTCCAAACAAATATTTATATAAAAACAAACTGATAAGTCACCAGTACAGATAAACAGGTGCTATGAGAAGTCTCAAGAGAGAATTTTTCTCGTTTGTCACAAACACTTGTCTGTCAATAATGTTTAGGCGCATCACAAAACCGGCGACGATACTACTACTTGCTATAATTATCCGTCTTTATCAGCTATCGATTATCTTTCAAAGTACTTCAGTAGAACAGAATTCTGGTCAGCGGCTTGTTTCAACCAATTCATTACGCTACAACAGCAATCTTAGATTGCTGGCATTCCTTAGTAAGATCTTACCATGAGTTTGAATGGTGTACTTGATGTAAGGAATCTGTAGCGACTTCGGAGTATGAAGTAGAATCGACTATCAAACTCTAACTCGTTCACATCCACGTCAGTTACTACAAGAGTGGTGCCCTCCATTAAACATGTCTCCAGATGACCACGAAGTTCCTGTCGAGATACACACAGAAAGCCGATTAGCGCAATGCTTAATGAACTACTTCTCTGAATCCCTCAGACCTCAATTGGGAGTATCAGGGGCTCTACTGCTTGACTTTGAAAGAGGCAACAAACAAGAGAGTCAGAAACACATAGTTATTTTGACGGCGTTTTTCAATAATCATAAACAATTCAAACTAAAAAGACAACGGATACAAACAAAAGAGGGAAATAGAGCAGCTGAACCGTCAAACCCGATAAAACAACAGAACCAAAAGCGAACCTTTACAGGCCTTATAATGCCGCTATAGTTTTGCAAGAGAATATTCACCAGATTCAATAATATCACCAAAATCTGTCATATCCTTGCACGATGCCAGAAAAAAAAGGAACTACCTCTCCGAAAGAGCTCACACAAAATAGGCCACTTACTTTATTTCAAAGTGTTCATTAAACAATTTTTTTTATCACTCCGGTCAAGATTTGTCACCTTGTACTTGACGAGTGTCGATTGTCCTAACATGGTCAATACCCAAGTGATAGCGATTCTCTGAGGATCACACAACAAAGCCCATGAGTCCGAACTCTCTTCCTGTGAGAAGATGCATATAGTATCCATGGAGATGGGGTCTGTTGGAAGCTGCAGGTTCTCCCATGTCTTCAGAACAATCTGTTGAGTTGTATCACAAAATACGATCGATTCGCACTTTACTACAGCTTTATCTGTCGTGGAAAACAATATTGAGTAAAATCGAGACTGCTAAATATAACACTCCCTACTATCGATACATTTCCTAGATTTAAATACATCGCAACACTATGACATCACAATGAAGCTAACAAACCTTTCCCTTTAGGAACTCTGGAAGGGTATGACGATCAAAGAGATGCTGATACTGGACTTTCAAACCATTATCCCTGCACACTTGCATGAAAAACTTGCCCATCCGTTTCCTGAGAGGGAAAACAAAGTAATGGGTTACTGATACATAAATAGCACGCAGATCACTGAGGGTATGAAAAAAAATTCGTCAAGTTAAAATTGAATGTATTTACTGTCACTACTAATCATAAATCACTCTGGTCACTTTTAACCCTTTTCACTATAACATCAATATGCGTATTCTCCATACTGTTCTTTATACATTCCCTTAGGTGGTGACACGGAGAATTTGTTTATCAATCAAGAGCTTCTTTAATTGGTGATAATCTCCTTTATCCTCGTATCCTCGTGACCTCTGTGATCCAGAAATGATCACGAGGGAAGAATTTAGATGCCAGTCACTCTAAAGGGCCAAAGAGAGAAAAGAAACCGAGGGTTTCTTGCGTAAATAGAAAAATTGGTGTTTTTAAAGCTCTATTGAATTCAGCAAATTGCCCTACGCGTTCCTTGAAATCTTTGAGCTCAAGATCAACTGATTTGGTTACCTCCTGTCGACTCCCATTGCACCACAGTAAGTTAGAAAAGCTGCTGCAGCGATACAATTGGACAGAAGAATTTCAGATGAGGTGTACTCGTCAACATACGCTTTCCATTCTCGCTCCATATATTTCAGGCTACATGAAGTAATAATTATTCAAAAATAAGATGACATTATTAATAATAATAATAGTGATGATGACGATAAACGGACGAAAATTTTACCAAACACAACCCATGTAACAAGAAAGGAAGGGAAGTAATTCTTTTCGTTTTCAGCTAGAAATCTGCTATATGTTCTACTTCAAATTTTGTGTTTGTCACCTTGTAGATGGGGAGTACTCAACAACCTTTTTCAGGTACGAACTGGTGTATCATTTAGATTCCCAGAGTTCCAAATGTGTATGAGGAGAATTCGTTTTGATTTATTAATATCCATACAGAATAAGTAAGACTGTAGTTGGATTAGAATTCTTCGCACTGATGTTGCACTTGTGGTTACGACCCAGTCCTATTGTCTAAACTCATTTCAGACATGGTCAACTCTAATTTCCTATAAGAGTTCATTGCAGTGAGTAATTACAGATCATAATCAGGTGACACCACTATCGGTTGACGAGACAACTGCTTGCCCATGTCGACCACTAACCAACACAAATAACTTAATTGCCTCTACATTCCCATATCAAATTGTCAAACAGAGAGCGTGACAGACAAACACACGAGGAGACAGATAGACGAAAAGACGGACATAGAAATCAGCAGGCAGAAAAAAAAAGGCAGATAGACACCGACAGATACGCAGAGAAACAAACAAAGACCCAGACCGACAAACTGACCGACAAATGAACAGTCAGACAGATAGAGAGACACACAGACAGATGGGTAAAGACATAAAGAGACAGATAAATGAAAAGAGAAGAAATGCGGGCAGACAAGGCAAGGAAGACAGACAGATGGATAGACAGACAGATTGACAGTTCACAAGATATCTTTACCTATGCAATAAGTCGGTAGCAGCCTTGAGCCTCTCACTACATGACCTGACATCATTGCTAAGGTCATGTTTCACCACCACTGCATCATCATACTCTTTCTGCAGCTTTGTTACAGTTTCTTGGAGATCTGGCAAGTCAGCTTCGGTCAGCTCGACTTCTGGCTCAGGCGTGTTTACCTTCAAGTAACAAAATGAGCAATAAATGGCCATATTGCATCGATGAATGAATGCGAAGAAAAAGAAAGGTATTTCGTCGAACATTGCTGCTAAATGATTCTTTCCCTTGGAGCAGAGAGACCTTACGTCCTTATGTTAACTACTCAACCACGACTGCTAATTAAACCTATATCAATTATCCTTTCAGACTGCCAATATATTGAATTTACCAAGGTGATTTGAGCGTAATCCCACACGAGTTTGCCTACGAATTACAAAAGGTCAGAAACGCTACATCAGACAAGCCGCGTAACATTTTTCACAAGAATTTTATAATTCTGTCGGGTTTCCTTGATGTTCCTGTTTGGGGAAATGATTTTCAAAACCTTTCCTTGCCTTTTCCTTTTCTTTGTTTTCTGCATCTTGATCGATTTCAGCTCGTCTCTCGTCCTCTTCACGTTCCGTCATCAGCTCTTCCAAGTTATCGCAAGCCTTTTTGTAAGGATGGTACCGACTTGTGTACTCCACTAAAGCAACAGTGTACTCCACGAGAACCGCAGCATCCTCTGATGAATATTTAGCTGCTGTGATGGTGATTCCTTGTGGTTTCTTTTCTGTTTAAAAATAATAAGAAATTGGGAAAATTTATGGAGAAAAACAGACCACTGAAAAGCTTTTAACTACCAATCGTTATTTCGAGATTTTCCTTTAACAGATAATTTTTAACTTAAAAGTCTCTGATGTATTATGAAATTTCTACATTTCGTCATGGCCCTATCTTACATGCCTACTGGTCTCTTTCTATCAGAGTTTATCTCGCTTTCAATGTAAAGTGACTAGGAGTGTTTCTTCTGCGATAGGACGGGATGCTGCTCATCTATCGCCAGTAACCCCTCCCTCCCAATTCATGATGTTTCCATCAAAGTTCCCGACCATTCACTCAAACTTCTTGGTGGAGCGCGGCGCTCCACGAGTGAAGAAGTTTGCAAAAGATTAAATCAAATTGACCACACAAGGGCTCATATCTGAACCTTTTCATTAATAGTTAAGCGTACTTAATCCGCCGAATCCAGGAATGAAGGACCTTCAATAACTCTCTTACATCGAAATCTTCGGTTTACAAAGAGGCTTCGGTTTGAAGACACGTTAAAGAGAATAGTCAAAGAAAATGGTACGTGTTCTGCGTTATGCCTAACCTTCGCCGGCCTTTTCCTGCTAGCAAACTATAAACTCACTAACTCAAACTAATATTACCTGGGGTAATCATTGTTCGACCGGGGGAAGACTGGTAAGTACTCGCACTGGCACCTGGCGCAGCAGTGCGCAGGTCACTGTCAGAGACTTCTCCGCCGCTGGAAGTGGCCAAAAAGGACTGAACACCTTTGAGGATGTCGTCGGGTAGTCCTTCTTTCCAGGGAACGTGATGTAGAGATTCGACAAACTTCTGCGAGTCGTTCATAATTTGCTGGATAGCTTTCCATGTCGAGCGGTCAACCTTACCCTCGGCATTCACTCCTATGATTGAGAAAAGTGAAATATTGATGAAAGGAAGAAATCAAAGTGCTCTGTGAGCAAACTCGTGAATTGACACATGATTTTTTAGATTATGTTTAATGTTATCTGGTTTAGGGAATTTTGTGGTTGATTGTCATAGCTAGAGTACGAGCAGTAGTTCAGTGTTCGCTAATGTAGCAAAGAAACAAAGTAACGTTGGGATAAGAAGGCATTACAATTGAAATGATCATGCTATTACATTTGACAAGGTGGATGATGTCATGTGTTTTAAACGTCTATCATTTTTGTTTCTGGTTCAAAAGAAAAGGTTGGAAGTAAATGTGGGTGAAAAGTGAAATTTACTGTCTTTCGTTGTAAATATTAGAAAATCAAGGCAATACTGTCTTAATGAAAACACTAACGATTCCCTCTTTATCAAATGAGACAAACTGGAACGAGTTTTGAGTGATATAACTAAGCCAAGCCTGCCACCGTCATTTTGGATCTCCGCCTGGGTAGATTTAAGTCACGTGCTAGGCAACGTATAATCAACAACAAGATAGAATTTCATTTCAGGCCTATTTATCAATTTTGTGGTGTGTAACTTTCGCATTTTAGTACGTTGTATGTATGTTAAATCTTCAAATTGTCTTTAAACTTAAAAGAAAATTGTTCTTTAAAAATTCACTGAAAATCGGTTGCTAAAATTGTTTGTTTAGGTGTTATTTGATTTTCGTGTTAACTTGTAATTTCGTCAGTCGCCGGCATCTTCTGTTGCTTCACACAGGAAAAACACACGCGACGAAACGTAATAATCAATTTTGTCCTCAATCTCACGCCATAACAGAAAAAGCTTTTGAACATCTGTAAACTTCGAGCGCTTGGCAGTAAGTAATATTTTCAATGAATCTTCGGATTGTTTTCGAGTTCAAGGATTGTAAATTACAATTTTATGAAAAACGAAGGTTGTTCTGTTATTTCAGTGTGAATCCTTGCATGCCTGCCAGTCGCTGGCGCCGCTTGTTGAAACTAAAACGAAAAAAAAAAACTCTTTTAAGATTATCATTGGCTTCTTTTTCACCCCACCACTATTCTTAGCAACAAAGGTCGCCATTTCTTTTTTTTATTGCTCGCTAAAAACTATCAAATGCACTCAAAAGCCTAAAATCTAAAAAAAAGTTTACAGGAATCGACCAACCGAGCGAGCGAGCGAATGCCATTCCCCACATGGTATCTATAACTCGCTCTTGCGCATGCGCGCAATTCACGAGTTAAAAACGGAAAGGAAAGAAAGAAAGAAAGAAAGGCGATTTAGCAACAAATTTGAAAAATGACACAATTAAGATAAAAAGCTTAGCAAGTCAGACGCACATTTAGAAAAGAAATGATTTCATACCCAAGAGTGGAGCCTGTGCTCCTCCCTTCTGAGATTGTTCCTTAAAGCCCCGTTTCTTGTGTGGCGCGGAGCTCGCGCGAGACGCCTCATCTGACCCAGTCCCTAGAGAAGAACTATGATCTCCTCTCCGATCGTGCCTAGTCGGGGGTGGAAGGGTGGATCCCGCTCCTCCGATACCCGGAGCAAACTCCGGTCTACCCAGTAACACCATTACCATCACCATAACCATACCGGCCATAGGCGGGGGGCTTTGAAAAGCTCTGAGGCGCTCGCATAAAGATCTGTCAACCTTATGCATCCAGTGTTTAACCTACATACAACATAAATACGGTTAGATTATGTATTGCAAACCCAGCGACCCGTAGCTACCCAAGGATCATCGGTCATCCCAGTGGTTACTAGGAATATAGCTATCCCAGGAAATTCGACGGTAGCCATTAACTCTCCCGGATGGAGGGAGGCATTGTGTGAATCTATCCACCAAGGATTTACGACAGTCAATCAAGCGACTAAAAACTTTGCAGTGAATTTCTAAGGCTACTTTCGCCACCTATTTGTTGGAAAATAACATCACAATGGGCAAGTTCTTATCAAATTTGAGAGTCAATGGGAGGAATCACTTTTGCTGAACCAACCTGCTCCTCAGATTTCTTCAAAGCCACTTTAGTTTCCTTTACTTCATCCTCTGCGTGAGAAATCGCCTCCAGTACCTTCAATTGGCGGCTCTTTATGTTGGTTTTCTTCAGTTTCTCAAACTCTTCATCTAACTCGTCCGCTTCATCATCCTACCGCGCACAATCAAATGGAGACGAAATGTAAGAATAACGATGGTATTGGAGTACGAGTGAGGCCTTAAACTACCGCTAAAATCAAACGCTAACAATCGGAGTAATTGATAAACAAATATATGACTGAACAAACGAACAGACTGATTAATTAACAAAGGAACAAATTAAGGGGCTAAGTTTCTCAAAAAAACTGTGGTTCTGCTTTGGTGGGAGAGTATAACAAGGTACATACTATTATCAACTGAGTTGATAACGTAAATTGGCCACCGTTAAGAGTTTCAAAGCTGAGGTTTCAAGCGTTAGTCCTTCATCAGAGAGAATGATCGAACGAATGATTTCGTTCGAGCGAATGATTTCGCTCTAACGAAGGGCTTAAGCTCGAAACGTCGGCTTTGAAACTCTAAACGGTAGCCAATTAACGCTATCAGCTCTGTTGATAATTCCAAATTACCTTGTAATAAACGGACAGACGGACAGTTAACAAACGAACACAAAAACCAACGATTTTATGAATAACAGCGTGAGTCAAGAAAAGATTGAGCCAGCAAGAAGCAAATACCACAAACAGGGAGACTCAACATCCGTTTTACCATTCACAACGTCCTAAAATGCCTGCATTCTCACATCAGAAGCAAGCATAATCAAACACAAAAGGAAAAAGAAGGAGAAATATAGACAAGTAGAGAAATTGGCTTAGTTTCGGCTTTCCACCACATAACTGTTATAAAATGGAAATTTCTTTTACTTAAAAACACTACCCCTTTAACTATAGAGATAACAATAAAAGCAGCACAAGAGTATGAAACACTCAGCCGTTGAATAGGCTCCGGTTGAAAGGACCGGGGAGAAATTGGCTTCAAGTAAAGCGGCCGGCGGGGAAGAGGGTCAGGGGAAGAAGAGCGCCTACCCCACCCTACCCTTCTCTCGCTCTTTTTCGTCCTATTTTACTCTTCACCCCATCCTCGATTAAACAACCTGTTCACAGACTATAAACAATGAGAATCAAGAAACCTGCAATAGAGCTAAGTCATCGTCTTCAATCTCGCTATCAATGAGTGCAACAAACGCACTTAAAGTGGCACTGCCGATACCAAGTTTAGCTTTAAGTTTCTCTAGCGCTGTAGCTTTGGCAGTGAGGGCTTCCAGCAACTCATCTGATTTGACCGTAGCAACAGACAACTTCTTTTTGGTGTCTGAAATCACGTCCTTGATCACCACGGAATCTTGTCGTGTTAGCTCCAGGGTCGCCACGGCACGGCTGACGAAAATAGAGGAAGAGAAGGTAAGAATACGGAAATAATGAGTGAGCTGACTCACGTTAAGCAGATCAAAAGAAAGACAGGAATTAATACGAGTGTTTTTCCCCAAACTGTGAACATGCACAAATAACTTAATCAAATTAATGCAACCATTAGAGAAATTTGATTTAAGTGCGTGCAAAGATCAACGGTTGCTAAACTGAGGAAAGCGGAATCCTAAAAAAAAAAACAAAACAAAACAAAAAAACTCTGGCTATTCTGCTACGACAAGAGCTACCTTTAGGCAAGTCGTAAACATGATCGTATCCTTGTGTTTTTGTTTTGGTTTAAAATTTCGTGTCTATATTTAAAAGAATGTAATACGTACTACAAACTGAGATTTTTTTTTCAAACGTTCACATCAACTTACGTGAGTTGATCAACTCGTTCGTTTGCCTCCTTTCTCTTGTCTCTAAAGATGTGTCTAAAGCAGTGCATGAACTGTATATACGTGGTGGGCCCGACAAATACGTCCCCGATTATGTTGGATCCTCCGTTGTCTTGATGCTTCAAGTTAATCTTCTCCAGTAGGATTGACAGCGAGCGCGGTTCGCTTGCGCTGGGTTCTTCTGGAGGAGATTCGGCTCTGGTCAAGAGATGGTCGTCCCCGGCCCAGGGGATCTGGTGACACTCTCTTAACACGTGACCATGAATGGTGGATAGGGACACAACCACTTTGTCTCTGCAAAAGTATACGAGAACTTCTACACAGTGTTTCAAAGATATATAAGTACATACAGTGTATACCGTGACAAAACGCATCGAGGTATTTAGCGTGATCCGATCGAAATTACAGAATAGTCGCAAAAGGATGATAGAAGTGACCAATCAATTCTGTCAAAATTTCTTAAAGAGATTATCATGTGCTTCTTAAACACATTAAACATGCAGTGGGAAGACACAAAGTTATTTTGCGTTCCCAGAGAATGACACTAAGTTTTGAAAAAATGTTCCTTGACTTAGAAAAAGGATAGATTTCTATCATGGAAAAACATGTACAAATGTAGTTCTAACGTACTGGCTTGCTCAGAGACATATCAGGACGTACAACAAATACAGCTAAACGTTTTGATTGAATTAAAAAGCAGCCTAACACTTTCAAATGACTAATTTGTAATTCTTGTAAAAATTTGTCATCTTCTAGTTGAACCATTTCCCTCACGTTTGAACTATTCCTTTCATTTTTGTGTTTTCGTATTAATTTTATTACAGTTTTTCGCAGGTTTAGGAAAATTTTGCAAGTTACATAAAAATACTCAAAACATTGTGAAGAAGCTTTGTTAAGATCTTGTTAAAGATGTCGCTTTACGTACCTAGTTTGTTCAGAAATATCGTCAAGCACGTTGTATTTCTTAAGATAATGGCTAGCTTCTCCTTCCAATGCGTACTGAGGCCAGTCCTTGACAAAGTCCATTTGACAGCCATACAGGATACCAGGGTAACAACTATGAACATAAGGACAAATGTATCATATGATTAAACCCCAATAAGTGACAAGCATCTAATCTCCTTCCCCCCCTCCCAACAGAATCATCTCTGAATCAAACATCACAATCACGAATGAGAGAAAAGGAAATGATCATGAACTCAAGAAGCTCTTGATTGTTTCAAAGATTAGCCTTGTAAGCACCCTGTGAAAAGAATGAGGAACAGAATGGAGAATTTGCATACTGATGTTATGGCGTAAAGGGTAAATAATGGTCAAACGAACTCGTTTTCAAAGTTAGAACTAAGCGTGGGTGCGCTTTCTATTAATCAGGCCTGGCTTAGCTGGAAGGAGAGATCCTAAGTCGTTTGAAAAAAATGCAAGAGTACAACGAAATGCCGAGTTCGTCTGGAAATGGATCTGCCAGTTTTAAAAAGCGACCATCTATATTTATTGACAGGAAACTCTGACCGGTTAGTTTTTACTTCATGAGGCGGCCGAAGAGGTTAGGAAAATCCTGAAATTACTCAGCTTTATTTATTTTTATGTTTATCTCATGTCATACCTTGGGCCAATTCTAAGCAGCTTATGAGTGGGTGGAAGACAAAGGATGATGTGAAGATTGGCCTTCACACGAGTGATGAAAAATTTCATGGGGTCCGCCAAAAAGTTGGAGAATTTCTTCTTGATGGCTGGCATCAAAGCCTGTGAATAAAACATAAAAGAAACATTTAACACATGCGAATTTGACAAACAGGGACAATAATGGCATTAAAAAAAACCAAAAAGACTGAGGCAATATGTTAGAGGAAAACCTTACCTGCAGCAAGCTGTCTAATTCATCGACGGAAAACAATGGTGGATACTCTCCGCTGATAAGTAAACTGTTTAACGCGTCCAAATACATGTCATCCCTTAAATCTGGTGCCTGGATAAAAACAACATGATTTTCAAATCAAAATAACACCACCATTGAAAGAAATTATCTCACACTTAAATGGTAAACTATTTGAACAAAAAGATCTTTTGACTGTAAAGTTGATCTTAATATCTGAATTCCGCCCGAAAAGGCGATTTCGAAAATCAAAGATAACTTTTGCATCCCTGATTTCTTTTAGACAGTTTCAGGAGGCCTGAATGACCCTTTAGACCCTGACATTTGCATGTATCTCTAAGGTGTTAACAAGGAGAATTTGTTGAACAATTAGGAGCTTCTTCAGTTAAGGATCATTTCCTTCATTCTCGTGGCTTTAATGGGTGATTCGGGTGATATTGTAAGGAGACATTAGATGCTATTCACTCTCAGCTCAAACTAGAGCATTTAGGATTCTCCACCACTGAGATTTTTATAAAACTAGTTTACTCTGAATCTCGGTAAACAGAAACGATGTGAAATTGTTCTTCTGGAAGTTCAGGTCCACGTCTATACTTACAGTAAACAAGACAGTGGTGGTCTTTCCATCGCAGCCAGCTTGACGCACAGCAGATCTGAGTCCATCGAGGAACGTGTTTGGATAAGAACAGTCCACAGGGTGAATGGGATACTCCAGCATGTACAATGCTAAAGCTGCAAGGGAGTTGAGGTGAGTCCCTATCGACCCAATCAGTAATGCATTCCCTCTGTTAGAAAAGAATAAATCATTGAAAAAAGGAAGATTAGAGACTCACGTAAGACTAAAATCAGGAGAGAATGGTGTCCAGAGATTGAAACCCCCAAATAGGCCGTAAGTTAGATTCCTCGTGAGTTTTGGGTGAATACGATTACGAGCTTGAGATTTTCCAATACTGAAACAAAGGGCGCGCGAACCATGGGTTAGTTTAGCAGAAAAACACAACATCCGTGGACATTAGTGGTCGAGCGTTTTGGCGCAAACAATATCCCGATGCATCCACAGCTTTCATAGTTTTTTTCAGTCAGGAAAGAGCTTGATTGCGTCCAAAAATTACAAGTAACCAACTGTGTTGATCATAGAGATCACAATGAAGCCTTGCGAGTTTCTATTTCTATGTATTCCGCGCGAACTCAAATCGCCTATTCGTAGCTAACTCCTCCGAGGATCTAAAATTCTCTATTTCTAGATTACTTCCGTTTCCAGAGATCTCATGAGTGTCAAGAAATAATGAACCCCTTATCGCGAATTTTCCTCACGTGGAGATCCAACGCAGCATGCGAGGTATTTGTAACATAATAGGTCATTTTACAGTTGTGTACTTAGTTGCCAAGCCTTTGATTTAGAGTGAGGCTGAAGGTGACCTTGTTGTGAAATAGACCAAAATCTAGTTAGCACGATAACAAAGTAATTTACATTTGAAAAGCAACAACGTTTGTATCTCAACAATTTCACCCTTAGCCTCACTCCTGCTCACCGGAAACATGGTATGAGTCTACAAATAACTTTACAGGCACAACCAAGGAATAAGGCTAATTCAGTCTTTTCATCTCTTCTTCTCTTTGCTAAAATACAGTGGTTCTGAACTCACTCAACCAGATTTATCAAAATGAAGCGTATCAATTCCAGTATGACAAGATTTCGACATGATTTAATTCATCAGCTGTTTACCTGTTCTTGTAACTTAAGATTCTATGCAGACGGACAACATGAAACATGACATGAGATGAGATCATTAAATCCAGTCCGCTGAACTCGTCATTGTAACGCTTCAGATAGCTTTGTAAACAAGCGGACACGTCTTCAATGTTATTTATAGCTTGAAGAAGGATCTGCAACAACAAGCAAAACAAAAAGTCGAATATTCATCGCCAAATCCACGACGGAGATTGGTGCTGTCCACTACTTTAAATTAGGTTTATTTGCTTAGGATTTTCACCAAGCTTTTAACATTGCAAATGATGAGAAAGGAAAGTGTTAATAATGAGAGAAAACCTTATAAAAAACATTCATAATATTCATAAAAATGTCTACCCCTCTTATCTCAATAAATCTACAGCAAGGTTGGTGAATCCAGACCCCAAACTCATGTTTGGTCACAAATTCCTATCTACCTGGTACGGCTCCTTTGGAGGGCTGCTGCAGTGTTAAATTTACAGTACTTCATTTCACGTGATTTGGTTTTACTTTGAAATCTTTTCTACAACAAACCTTTGGCGCAACACGTCCCTGAGTCACAGGGCGTTGAGCGTAAAGTCCTGCATCCAGTGGAAAAGTAATAAACAGAGGAGACGGAGAATTGGCAGGAAGCTCTGGAAAGTTCTGAAGCAAAACAAAAAGAATAAGCTAATCTGCTCTGTACATAAACTACTAAGTCCATCAAAACAACTTTTTTGCAGTTGTACCTCTTTAATAATTGTTTTGAGAGTTTTCTCAAACCATTTAATATCTAATGATCGGCATATGCGGTCCTTAATCACTCGTGTTACTTCATGCTGCCACAGGGATACCACGTATTCCTCATCAGCCTGCATCTCCTCTGAACAATTTTTTAACCCCTGAAATTAAAACATCCAGTAATCACAACAAAGAAAATGCAAGTCTACTTCAACCTTATCACTCCCAGAATCTCAAGGAAAGTTCTTTCAACTAGTAACAATACACCCCAAAATTAATAATATACCTGATTCGTATCACCTGCCTGCTTGCCAGTGCATTAGCACTGGGGGACTATTTTTTGCGAAGTTCTGACACACAAAAAACAAATCTTCAACCGACGTGCTTTCACTATGCATTTTAACTTTTTTCTTAAAGAGGATCGAGTCAACAGACTGAAACATCATTTCAATTGCCTCATTTCCAAAAGTATCTAAATCTATTTAGCGATCGACACCGTTTTCGGAGATCTCAGGAGGATCAAGAGGAATTTTACCCAGATAGAAATCCCACGGCACGTCCATTTGTGCCCCTTCCCGTGACTCTCTCCCTCGATTCGATCAAAGCGTCAAGTATTTTTTAAAAACAATTTGGTAGCAGCAGACCAGTGTAAGATAACGGTAGGAGAAAATTGTCCACGCCTGAGTAAAACATATCTAAGGCTATCGAGGTTTAGACGGAGTATTATCCAATGTCCATTCAATCGGCCCAATCACCACCCATGTAATACGTTTTGTTTCCAAACTCTCTCATAAAAGACGTGAACTTTTATGAAATACTAGTTATATGATGAACTAAATTTTGATTGGCTTTTACTTACGATCTTTTGGGAGACAAACGCTTAAATGACGTCATCGTTAACAACATTTTACACATTTTTTATCATTAAAAAAAAAACAGATTCTATGTTTCCGTGAGTCTGTTCAGTAACAGATCACATATGACGTCAAAATGTGGTAAGAACATCAGTGACACACTCGGCTGCACATCACGTGCCACTTTTTCGTTCATATCCCATTTTGAAGCCATTACGAAACAGATGTAAAGCAACATGGAATTCCCTTGTTAATTAGCTAGCAACCTCTACATGTACAGTTCAAGTTGCGATTAATTTCTGAGCATGTAAGCTACCTGAAACACCCTCGTGATTTCCCTGAGATTGAACAGGTAATGACACCTTCCAGGAGTTGGCGAAGGTCTTAGTACATCCTGCAAACTGTTGAGCAGCATACACGACGCCATCACTATCTGCTCGTGAAACTCTTGTGGCAAACCCATGCCTTGATTCTGAGCCATGTTAGCCTAAACAAATGAAACATTCGAAAAGAGTCAAAATAGTAACATAGCAGATGAATGATAGACTAATTTTTTTTCTCAGCCAAGCTTTGAAGTTAGTCTTGAAAACCTTTAGTTTTGTTCTGCTGCGCGTTCTTGATGAAGTTAAACAGAGAGCCATGGCTGTACTCACCTCCAATACGGAAGTAACAATAGTGAAGAGCGACTCTTCTAACGGAGCTGGTAAACGGAATACAGCAAAATGGCGCTGCAAGACAAGTTAATGTAAGTTAACAAGTAAAAAAAAAGGTCACCAGAAAAAGTAAGCATGTCTAAAGTAAAAGGGTAAAGATCAACAGGAGGTAAAAATGGCGTGCAAATGAAATAATACCTCCTTACTAGAGAGATTTTTATCGATGTTGTAAAATCGTTATTAATACACACCTTTAGTCTCTCAGGAATTTGCTGGCTGGTGACCAGTTCTGACTGCATGTTCATAGCCGCCGTAACGACGACACCCTCTAAAACACGACGGTCAAAAGGCTTTTTGGTGTTAAACAGGACTTTTTCATCGAGAACTTGTCGTAACAGCTAATACATACAAGAGTCAAGAGACAAGAGACAGGAAACCACATGTCATAGAATGGAATCAAAATATTTCGGGTTTTGTGGAAAGTCATCGATCCACAAAAAATCAGTTATTATAAATAATAAACTGCGACATGGACGGTCTTAAGTCATGTCTAGATTCAGAGGTTTCGATAAAAGCCGGTTGCTGACAGTCCACTACCGCCTATAAGACCTCTTAACCTTTCATTCCTAAAATCTCACTAGTAGTTCCCCATTACTGTTTGCACTACAATTCATGTGAAATAACTTTGGAGAATTTGGTACTGGATCAACTAATAATCCCCTAGCTGATTTTTTCTTAATTCCCATCTCCTTTCTTCATGAAGTTATATTGAAATTGTAACGAGAAATTCTGTCTTGGTCACTCATGGGAGCTGAAGGGTCACCGCTGACTGATTAGCCTGCGAGCAGGCTCTCCTGTTTGGGTTGCGCCTTAGGCGCCACTTGTGGGAAAAGTTAATGAAACCCCTGCAGATTCACTCCTAAAGGAACCATCGATCTTGTAGCTGCTCTGTAAATTACTCAAAAGGTTAGAAAAATTTGCACATATTAAGTTTGTTTCTTTCTAAATGTTAGGCTGTTTAAACGGAGAATCGCTGGTCGCAACACTTTGTTCGCGAAAACACAAAAAACCGACATTCCGCAAGTATTTTTTTGTGCCTCACGGTATATTCCAGGCGCATTTCAGTCGCAAAGATAGGATCAAGAGGAAAAAGATGCAAGGTTAAACTCACCTCGTTGACCTCCTGAGTTCCATATTGATCTCGCTGAGGAAGGCTAAGATCATCTATAAACATGTTGAGTATTTTTCCACTCTTGGCACCATACACGAATCCTGTGTCACACAATAAGTAATGTCATCTAATTATGGGCTTATGGGAAATTATTTTTGTACTGCCCGAGTTTCGCCGCTCCGTGTGAAAAGTTGTTTACCTCCGTTTTAAAATTTTTAGTAACTAGATGACATTGTGCCTCTGATAACTGATATATCGATTGGCTTTTAAATGGTCTCTCCCGCGCCGTTTTCAAATCAATTTTAATATGTTTCAATGTGTTCAATCTTTCTTTTGCTAGTCCAACCGTTATCGTTATGGTCTCCATCACGTAGCTCTCTTAGAGGGAGAGGAAAAGTACATAAAGGAGGTAAAAATGGTAAAAGAAAAAAAAAATGATGATACAGTGTAGTAGGAAAATGGCCCGAAAACACAAAACAGTGTCGTACAATAATATCCTCTCTCGAGTGGTTGTCTTGAAGGGAAGGAGTACGTTGTATTGAGAAGGGGTCTGGACTGACCCCAGGCTGTACGAAACTGCGCACTCGGTTAGTGACAGGTACTGGGGTTAACTCACCTTGTCTATGGTAAATGTTATGTTCAATAAAATGCTGTAATGAAGCAGCTCCCGAGGTTCCTGAATAGACATAGCGTTTTACAATTTGGTTCTTGTCCTCTGAAAAACAGTAGAATGGAAAAACATAAATCTATCAGGAAAGACCATGTCGTTGTAAAGCAATATCGAGTCAAAATGTAATTTATTTAGCGTTTTATTATCCAGCCTAAAGAAAACGGGAAGTGCTGATTTTCATAACGATACATTGTTTTTGACGCTCACCTTGCTTGTCAAGGAAGTCGCTGATCAGTGATGTTTTTCCACATCCTGCAGGACCTGTCAGCAAAATGTTTCTGCCAGAAGCGCTGGCCAACTCCATGAACTGACGTGTACGGATCTATATGAAAAAAAAATCCCGGTGCTTAACAAATTAAATAAAAGCCTCTGTGCAGAAATCGTTCATTCGCTTTGTTGATTGAGCGTATGCGCTTCAACTGTGGGACTTTCTTAGTGTTTTTAAAATAGCTGTACATTGAAAAGGAATAATTGAAGAAAATGAAGAGGCAAGTTAAATTACAATCAGTAAAGCTAAAAATGTGATAATATTTATGAGATGTGAGGACTTACTGTGTCAACTGTGTCCACGAATACCTCTCCGAGGAGATCTGCTGCGTCAAAATAGCTTACTTCTGGAACTCTTTATCGAAAAAGAAAAAAAAACCAAAAGTGAATACATTTATCTGGCCACCTGGCTACGGGTATGTCGGTAACGATTGGGTTTAATTTCCCACAAATAATTGTTCAAGAGAGTGGCTCTGAATCGCTGTGACAAAACTCACCTTGACTGCCACGGGTCCCACTCTCCAGATTCATCAACATAATAATCAAACACGGAGATTTCTTGATCATAATCTGGCAAGGCACTTGTCAGGGACAGTAACAGCTCGCTGAACTTCTTCCTGTCTTGTTCATCCAAAAGGCCACCAAATGACCAAATAAGCGAGAACAAGTACAACCTCTCAATATGAAGCTCGCCACCAATGTCAGTGTTGCCCTAAAAAGAGGTGAGATCGAAACATTTGATCATAAACAGAAACACAGCAACTTGCATTATTTTTTACGTTCACTTATATGACTCTGCAGTGCAAATTGGTAAAGTTACTCTCCATTCTTCATTATAGAACACAGACTGAATGGAGAAACAGCACGCATTTTTCCCAGCTTTTGGAATTTATGAACTCCAAAAAAGCAATTATACACCTTCACAAAAGTACTAGGGTAACACAGAGTTAAGAAAGATCGTAAACTCTTTATTAGCGTGGCACTGCAAGCTCAGCAGTACCAACAGCAGGAAAGTCAACATAAGTCTCACGCTTACCTCGATCAATGCCTTTAACAGTGCGAGACACGTGTTAAACAGCCCCACCTCGCAAACTTTCATGAATGGTCTACAAAAGAGAAAACAAATAGGATTACAACCAGTAACGTAACAAACTCAGGAGGACTCTGATCGCGACTCAACAAGCAGAGCGACTTGGGGAGATATCGATACAAGCAAACATTTTGCAAGATTCCCGCTAGATTTAGATTCCCTCGTTTTCACAAGATTAAATTTGGTCATTCTTCCCTCTTGCTAATCCTCCCTGATAAGAATCCAGGCCACCCCTACCCTCCCCCCCTCTTATAAATGGATTATAAAGGCTGGCCCACTAAGAAGGTAAAACAAAAGCTAACCTTGCTTCATAGTGAACAAACTGCGAGATGACATCAACGGTCTTGTTAAAAGCTCGTTGCAGACACTAAGAAAGAGGAAGAAACAAAGCGTCAGCCTAAGAACTGCTCAAAGTTCTTCGCTATTATTCCCAAATTACAATAATTTCGTGGTTCGATCGATCTAAGAAACGCACTGTATTTATTTGTTGATAATAAACACCTACATGGCTTTCTTGTGGAGATCTGTTTGCCAGCCAGGCTTCAGCCAAAGGTCTCCAGCCCAACACAGTCTCATCCATGTAGACCACACCCTAAGGTCACAAATGAAATTAAAAATAAAAACCAGAGTAAACAAGGACACACTTCAATGTTGTTTGTGTGAAGTGCTGCTTCAAGGAGGCTCGTTTGAGTGAAGGGCGTTTAAAGTTAAACATCGTAACTGGAAATAATAGGTATCTTAAGCCAATTTACTGCACTTTTTTTCAGGCGACCACAGCAATATCAACACTTGTATGATCAAGCATAGACGCTTTTTCCCGATGGGTCAACCTTGGCTCAGTGGCCATCTCACTTTCGTCAGAGTGACTGGCGAAGGGCTAACGCTAATTTATCTTTATGTGTTATATTTGCACCCAGCGCACCAATAATGATGAGGAAGCGGTGACTTGGAACTTCTATTTGACAAAATGAAGCTGCAGTTTCAAGAATTCAAAACTGACTTCTTATAACAGCTAGAGGAACAATTGAGACAAACCATACTTACACATCTGGAGACAGTGGAAGGTGAAGCGTCTGTCAGATCATCTGTCTCAAAAATCAGTTTGACATATTCTGATAGATATAGCCTTTCACCGTTCAATAAGTTCAGATACTGAAACAACAAAAGGCACGGAGACAAAATCACAAACATTACTACTTTGAAAGTGCATAATTTCCGACAGAAGACAACATCCTTCAACGTGCTAGCGGCAATTAAACATAGTGCGCTGGCTTTCAACAACAATCCGCCCGTTTTATATGATTTCGCAAATTGACCACACGCACAGCGAGATGCGTGAAATCCTTTTTTCGGTAAACATGTTATAAACAGCAAAGGTGAAATTAAAAAAAAATGATTGTAAAATAAACGGTTGTTTGAAATGATCTTAAATCGTCTTACATAACTGAAAAAAAAATGAATGGCAAACTTTCCAGCAGTCATTTTACCCATTTCCCTTACATCTGGTCCCTTTAAGGAGAAACGAGCAGGGAGTTGAGGGGAGGAGAGGCAACAAATTACTAATGAGATATTGTGAGTGAAAAGGTTAAAAAAGACACATTGTGGTGCCTTGGATACGGGAAACGAATCTCATTTATGGCCAGTCCTGACAAAATCTACCCATTCTGCTACCCGTGCTTTAGAACCCATAAAAGCCGCGTTCTAACGAGTGAGGAAAGTTCTCTAGACATGTCATTACCTCTCCTTTATCCAACGCGCTGCTCAGAAACTCAGCCCATCCTTGATGCAAAGGAGCGTCTAAGCATAGCCAGGTGGTCATCTTATGCACACTATGGTCCTTGTTGGCCTTCCTGAAGTAAGCAGTGAAGATGCCATCCTCAAAATCTGAAGATGAGTTCACTTTACCAAACATCAGAGCTGGATCAGACACTGCTAATGGATTTATTCTCTGTAACTTGTGTGTATGCATCTGTGAACCTGTGTTCTTGTGTTTTGTCAGTGAACATTCACTGAGGGTCTCCACCAGTCCTGAGATACAGGAGGATTTGCCAGTACCGGGAGGTCCGGCGACAATGATTCCTAAGTGGTATAGGAATAGTGTGAGCAGAGAAAAAACCTTAGATATGTTCTTTCCTAGTCAATATGCCATTCGTAATCGTAACAGCTTGGTCTTTACCAACTTCAAATCGATAGCGAATTGAATTTGAATGTTACTTTATTGTTGAAGGAATTGGTCCAGGGAGACCGAAAAACATTTCAAAGATACGAAAACGCGACCCAAAAGTAAACTCCATTAATTTCTGACTCTATGTAGAAGACTGGTATTCTTGTTATAATGGTGTGAACCTAGCGCTGTCACCATTGTCAAATCCCCAATGCTCCGATAGCCTGCTCCAGGCGGCAAATTTGTGGAAACAAACGAAAAAGCGGGGACTGCGCCGCATGCTCTATGATTTGTCTCCACTGCGCAATTGGTTGACAAAGGCTAATAGGTAAAGAGTTTCCGCTGGAGCTGACGTTTCAAGCGTTAGCCCTTCGTCAAAGGGAATGACTAAGAGCTAACGCTCGAAACGTCAGCTTTAGAAAGTCTTTACAGTTGCCAATTTCCATTACCATCTCAGTTGATAAAACTAAATCATCTTATAATTTCCCCCACCGACGCAGCATCACGGTTTCTCTAAAAACTCTAAGAACAGGTATATGTTGTACGCGGGATAAATAAAATGATCACCTAACAACAATTTTAAGAAATAAATAACCTCGGTGAACTTTGGAGAGAGTCCAAAGTTGGTGTATCTTTGCAATCCAGGGCTGATGAGGGACAAAACCTTTCTCCCGTGTGTGCGCCAAGAGAACTGTCTCGAAATCTTGAACCACTTTGGTTATGTGGAATGCTGGGGCAGGAGGTTTAGGAAGACCATAGAAAACATCACGTAGGACCATGTTAAATACGTTAAGTTCCTGAAGGTAAACGAGAGGCTTAAAATGAATGATAGGTTGACAAAGAAGAAAAACAATAAATAGGAAATTATGCACCCTATCGACAGTGAGAATTTCAATGAGTCAGTCTTAGGAAGTGTTCCTGTGGCAATTGTTAATAAGATTTACCTCTGAGAATACACGATGGATTGCTAAAGCCACAAACGTGAAGTTTTCTTCAACTACTACCACTTTGTAAAGAGACAATAGTTACCTCGGGTGATAATCTTGGACCAATACAATCTTGCAGTGATTGCAAAACGAACGAATGCTCTAGTCTGGCAGCAGAAGTTAAAGCGGATGGAGTAGTAGGCTTTTTGTCTTTCTGACCAAACTGGCCTCCTCTGTCCTTTCCAGCTCCTGAGAAAAATTTAGACATCTATTCCATCATTTCCGTGATTATATTGTCTTCAAAAGCGTTCCAACACGCATATGAAAACAGCGAGACTAAATCCAGATTTAATGATAAGCAGTCACCTACAGAAATACGCAAGCTTTTTTAATTTCTAGGTCGCCGTTATTTGATAAAATAGTTTGTTCAACGGCCCATAGTCCTTTTTCAGGGGTGCCTGCACAAAGCCGTCTCACTTGACTGAGCAAAATATGTCTTTCGCACAATAAGCTGATTAAAAGACGCAAACCAGAAAAAAAATAAACAAACAACGCACTAAACAAGACAAACAAACACAACAAATCACATATAACATTTGAAAACATTCCGTAGGACTTCACTTCTGTCGAAAAACTTCGCAAAGGAGAGTGACAACTTTACAACATGATCCGCGCTTCACGCAACAGCATTTTGCGCCAAATCGTCTGTGCGTTTAACGCAAGGCCGTTTTACCGTCAGTTACGTTCTCTACGACTATTCTCGACCTTACTTACCAAACTGTGTGGCTACTGACTGCGTACTGGAGGGTCTCGCCAAATCAGCTTGCACGGCATTAAGTTTGCTTCCCAGAGGTCCCTGGGAGCTTTTCCTGTTGCCAGCATGTTGTATGACGCCCACAAAAGACGACAGGCTGAAGTTGTGATAACTCTTTCCACTTCTGTCGAGGAAGGATACACAGAAAACCAAACATGTAAAATATCTTTATGGAAAGTTATTCCGATTACCACGCTTTTGTTCGTCAAGGGTATACATATGTCGTTGATCAACGGGCGCAAACTGACGCAAGCACTAGCACATACTTTACTGCTACGCAACGTTGTTTCGGGTCCAGCGCTTTTATAGTCAAAATTACTTTCAACACAAAAGAAACCATAAAAAATAAGTTTGGTGAGAAAAGAAAAGCCGAAAAGAGAAGAATTCAACGAAAAATGGAACGGGGATGGCTTGGGATGGACCAGATTAAAACAGATTACCAACGACGAACTTGAGAATAAGACAAAACGAACAAGGATGGTTGAAAATAGAGACGATTGAAGGGATTGCAAACGACCACATTCACAGTCTAGCTTGAAATATTCAGGTAAGTGCTCTGCAGCTACAAGAATTATTCCCTTCCAAAAATTCTTAAATCGGGGTCGCTTCTTTATTGAAGGGTCTGTTATAATGTGGTGACTTACAGTTGCTCCTTGCAGACATCTGCGACAAGCTTGAGACGATCCGCTAAAATCTTGGGGGACTTAAAACCCTGCCCTGCGCAGTGAGCCCTCAGTATCAGAGATGTGTCTGGCATCACCATGGCAACAGAACGAAACAAAGCACGGACCTCAGGCGGGAATTCATAATTGTGTCCATTGGAACAAATGGTGAGGAAAATGGAAAAGTTGGGTTTAACAGTGACCTGCCATTAAAGACAAAACAAAGAAAAAAAGTCGTTAATGGTAGCTCTTGAATAGAAATAACGCTTAATTTTCGTCAGTATTTTCAATATACATAAGTGCTGCTCTTCAACTTTGATCTGAAATGTGTTTTCTGAGATTCTAAACTGTTTTTCTTTTTAACATCAAAGCGAAACTCGGCTAGGGGGTCCTGTGCCAATTAGTTGTTCTTGTTTCATTTTGATGTCAAGTGAGCAAAGAACCCTTCAACACATAGGTACCATTACCGGCGGAACATTTCTCGATTTTGGTGACACGTGGCGATTAGAAATATCTAGGAAGGTCAGTCGGTTGCATTTTACCACACGCATATAACCTAGAACTAGGTCATATGCCTCTGGTGTTACCTAACAGTTCCCTGATTGTTTGTTGTTAATATGCTTCTGGTGTTACCGAACAGCAATTCCTCAGCTGTCCCTGATAGCTTTTTGTTAATATGCTTCTGGTGTTACCGAACAGAAATTTTTCAGCTTTCCCAGATAGTTTGTTGTTAATATGCTTCTGGTGTTACCTAACAGTAATTTCTCAGCTTTCCCTGATAGCTTTTTGTGCTTCTGGTGTTACCTAACAGCAGTACTTCAGCTTTCCCTGATAGCTTTTTGTTAATATACTTCTGGTGTTGTCTAACAGCAATTTTTCAGCTTTCCCTGATAGTTTGTTGTTAATATGCTTCTGGTGTTACCTAACAGCAATTCCTCAGCTTTCCTTGAAAGCTTTTTGTTAATAGGCTTCTGGTGTTACCTAACAGCAATTTTTCAGCTTCCCTGGTAGTTTGGTGTTAATATGTTCCTGGCGTTACCTAATAGCATTTCTTCAACTTTCCCTGAAAGACTTTTGTTACTCTTTAACGCAAAAGGCGGAGAGAGGCCCTGTGACCGAGTGACTAAGGCCAGAGCTTGGACCAAGACTTCTCCACCTCGAGTCCAGCCCACTGCCCACTCTTATCTAGCTATCCCTATTATCTACCACATTGCAGCAATTTTTAAAATCACATACATCCTTTCCATCCTCCAAAGTGCAGGTAGAAAGTCCACCTCTCAAAGCGAGTAGCACAGCTTGGATCTCAAACAGCATAACTGAAAGACACTCTATGTTTATTTTGTGGAACTCATCCATCAGACCCCAGCAACCTTCCTGCAACAAAAAGACAGCAAGAATAAGGTCTTCAAGAAAAAAAAAAAAAAAAAAAAAAAAAAAAACCAAGAGCTCATAGATTTCTCACCTCTGCCAGACCTACAATAATCTTTCCTATCGCTGTTGAAGACATCTTTGGGGAACAACTCTGTGAGACCAGATAACGACCAAGCAAAGATGCTAGACCCTATGGAAACAAACATACCATTAAATAATGAATACTTGGGGGAAAAAAAGTTGCCGAACGTCCGTTTTTTAACCCACGACATCCAAATGGTACTTCAGATGTTCCTCAGGAGCACCTGATGCTAGTAACAAAAGGACAATTAGACAAGATGTAGATTCGTGTGGCGAAGACAGGAGAAAAGCAAGGGTAAGAGCAAGATTAAGGAGCAAAAGCAACAACTGCAAGAAAAAATTACCTTCACTGTCTCAGTTTTTCCTGTTCCTGTTGGTCCAACAAGCGAGCCCCCAAAGACATTCCATACGGCCTAAACATGATCAGAACAAAAAAGCGCTTTAATGAAGCTACTTTCCCGAAGATCCTTTCCTCTTTATGTATTTTAATATATCGGTAAGCACACGAGGCCCACAAAAAGCCCCCACTTCAACAAGCACATTTCGTCCCTAGGGAAAGCCCCAGATTACAACAAAGTCAGATATCTGCATTTTGCTCCCAAACCAAAACAGAAACAGTTCATTAACTATACAACTGTTCCGCTGATCAACAAATCGCATTACCTGTGTCAAACTCAGAAAGCACCTCTCTGTTATGGGAGTAAGGGCGAGGGAAACATCGCAGCCGTAGAATTCAAAGCCATAAGATAGCTGAGCGTCCAACATGTGAATATAAAGATCCTCATGCTCCTGAACACCAGCTGTAATCTTGGGAGGTTCCGAACTGGCAGCACGACTAACGGCTCCTTCCAGTGAAGGCAATAATGTAAGTGAAGGTGACCTCCCTAAAGAGTAACGCATAGTCAGTAACTGGATATTTTATAAGTAACAATTTTACAGTATCTACATTTTGAAAAATCGGGCTAAATGTTTTCGAGTTCGTTATTTTTTGATGCGTTTATTATTCTGTCTTTGGTGTCTTTCCATCATTTTGACTTGATATCATGTGGTTTCTTTCAAGTTAAATGCTCTTTTTTATCATATTCTAGAAGCATTTGTCTTATTTAAGTGCATGGTTAGTGTATATTCCTTTTGATACAGAAATGTCACTTCTACAGCTGTACGTGTAACTTCCAGAAAGTGGGTAGATGGTTGCCAATCTTTTTTTATATTTTACATTTCATGCGTTTTTTCTTCCTTCAAACTGTACAAATTAATACGAGTTTCAGAAGCGTTTTTATGCGAAGTTGAAAGTTCTCTAAGCAACATAATAGGCTAAAGATTCACTAACCAGGTGCTCTGCTATTGTCTGTTCCATAGAACCTGATATTTCTCTTCCATTCAAAGTCCACTACATCTCTAAGCTTGCGCCTACCGAGGTCTTCGAGAACATCTCTTAAGTACATTCCTTGCTGTGGAAAGTGAAGTTCTCATGAGGGACTGACTAGAATAGCTGCTTTAACTAGTTGCAGAGTCTGAAACAAATTGCGACTATTGCTTCGCGTTTTGGGTGGGTGCTGGTGTATTTTTTACCCAAAGCATTTCGTATTCAACCTTTTAACTCCCATGAGTGACCGAGAGAGAATTTCTCCTTACAATATTAATACAGTATCAGGCAGACAAGTGAGGAGAATAAAGAAGAAAACTTAATCAGGGGGCTACAAGTTGATCCAATACCAAATTCTCCCAATTGGCGTCATGAGTATTTTATGGCAGAAAGTAGGAAGAATTAGTAATGAGATCTTGGGAGTGGAAGGGTTAAAGGGTTAAAGATCAAGTGTGGAGGCAATGTAAGAGTGAAGAGTCTTCCTCGAGAAAACAAAACATACAACATGTAAATTATAACCCCGGCCTGGGCTCGAACCGTGACCTCTTCACCCCGAGTCTAGCAGGCTAGACACTGTATCGTTGTGTATTCCAGTGCCGTAATCCCACCAGTTGTAATGCTGGTGAGATTACGGTATTGATTGTGCATTAATTTTACTCACCGAGACCAAGGTCTCCAGTCGCAGTTTATGATAGGAAGTCATGGGAGAGTCAGTGTGTTTCCAAGAACCTCTGGCCAGGAGGTTTGGCAGCTTGCTGATAAGTGACCAAAACCGACGAGAGGCGTTGGGCATTGCTTTACGGTCAATACGAATATCTCCGATGCCCTAACAGAGAAAGACGTGAAAACGTGCTATGAAGTAAAATTCATACATGGAAATAATTACAGCTGCTTTTCAAGTTATTAGATAAACGTATACGAACCAATCCAATACTTATGCTTTATTTGTAACAAACGACCAATTATTTTAAACAACGCTATCTAACTGACAAACTTCGATTTGGCTTGAAATCCCCATATAAACCTGACACCAAGGCTAACTGATTCAGTCATCAATATGGATTCTCAATAAACGCTGACCAATCATCTTCAACACCCCACGATAACTTAAGCGATATACTTTTAGACTATGTCATATCCTAAACGAATGCAGTTTATATAGTATAGGCACGTACAACAGCACGTAGACACTTACAGCCTCACATTCCCTTGTCCAGATGTAAAGCAGTCCTAATCTACAGGCCTGTGAAGGATACTGGAAACAGAAAGTCATGTGAGAAACGCCAACTGTGAGAGACTATTATTCACGACCATACGACAGGCCCACCAACCACCACACAAAAGTAGTTACCTGTTCACGGCTAGCCAAGCTAAGGACATAACATGAGGCGTTACAGCTTTTCGTCTCACTGAGCGAAAATTAAGATGTGCGTGTGAATTACGGGCATCTGCGCTTTTAAGTGCAATTCTAAAATTGATATGGCTAATTCTTTTCCTTTTCAGCTGAACATCGTTGATACAATGAGAAGTTCAATTTCTCTTATGTATTCTCTAAAGACTCTTAGAAATAAGCCTTAGTCAATCAGGGAAAACACTGAGTTATTGATAATTTATGCCTTGACAAACCTTGAAAATCCACTCTTCTAGAATAAGTCCTGAGTCAATATCCTGAATACAATCTACGATGGAGGATCGCAGAGATTCAGTGATACTCCTCAACAACGCAGCCAACCACACGTCAACACTGGAGACAAGGGGAACCTAGAATCATTAACGATCAGAAAAGATACACAACATAAAAATGCTGTTCAAGCGCTTGAATATCATCAGACATACAATAAATACGGTTGCAAGGGGAGAACTAAAAGAAGTATCACTAAAGAAACAGCAACTGACACAACCTATTCTCCGTTTTTCTATTTGAAAAAACTATCAAGCACCCTTTATTTTCTTGTAATTTCTTCGATTAATACACTGCTAAAAACAATTGACGTGAGAAATGGACGCAGGTAAGAGAGCTGAGAGTGAGGAGACCACGTGGTGCCGCGCCCTTAAAATTCGTGCGAACACTTGGGTCACATAAGGATTAGCGATAAGAATGTTGGAAAGTAATAAGCAGGCTTGACATAGGGGGAATACTGAGCCAACAAAAAAGGGATAATGGTCGAGTAACATTCGAAATGATTTTCAACTTAACATCTAGCGTTCTTTGCAAAGGTGGTAAAGAGAAACACATCCTTTTGGTCAGCGAGCTAGAATACTACCTATCAATCTATCATGCCCTTTTCGATTTCCAGTTATTTTTAATCTAGTTACAGATGTCACCTTTGTGATAAGTTCTAGAGTTTCTCCCTGCTCTGAGGTTACAGCTACAGCGAGATTATTGGGAAGATGACTATGCCAATCGGGTTCAGCGTTTCGCGCATCTAGGGTCGAGGTCAAAATGCTTGGCTTCCGTACTCCCGGAACTGATTCTTTCGAAGCTTGGACAACAATGTCAGAAATCTTCCTGAAACGACTCCCAAATGTATCAGCATAAGGAAGTGGCGAGATTAGATCCTCCCTGCCACTCCTACTCCGCAATGAACTTAGCATAGAGCTCTTCTTCTGAGCCACTGTTTCTGGTTCTTGTTGAGTTAACATCACGTCACGTACACTGTTGAAGATGCATCTGGAAAAAAAATTGAAGAAAAGAAATTCGTGAGATGTTTGCTCAAACACAAAGCAACAAGGGGTGCAATCCTTACGTGAGCTGCTTAGTCCTCGAAAGTTATTTTCAATCAAAGTGAAAGTTTGAATTAACGTCTTCCGGGGTAGATAAATACCACAAGCAGGGGCACATGCAAGAAATTTTTGTTGGGGGAGGGTCCAAGCTTTGATCCAGAAAACACATTTTTTTAACACTAGAGCCTAAATAAGATATAAAATGTTTCATGTAGGTAAATTTCAAATACTTCATATCGAGTAGTAATTCGCGATTCTGTCTTTGGGAGAATTTTGGTTGGAGACAAGTAGTGGAAGAACCAAAGGCTTGATGGAAGGGGAGGGGGAATCCACCCCCGCATCTCCCCCCGGCCCCTAAGAACAGGCAAGAGTAAACCAAAAAGAATGGAGAAGTTTGGCACGGATAAAAATTTCTCTAAGAAAGGACCCAAATATTTACGAGAAATTGGAACAATTACCGGCTATTATTTAAGTTCGGTCCTACCTGAAGTATGGTTTCACAGAATCCAAACTGTAGGGTTGACTTAGAATTGCTAACAAAACTGGGTCATTTACAAAACAGAAGCGAGGGAAAACCTGTAAGGAACAAACGAAGATCAGTCCTTTACGCCACGTACAACAAGCACGACAATGTAACATTTCAGGTTTCGGTTTACCTTTCTTTTAGAGTCCAGGAATCCAACAAGCGACTTAAAACAGATCTCCAACTCCTCGCCAAGATGTTTTAACACTTGACTCTTCGGGACATCGCCACCAACACAGCACTAAATACCAACACATGAAATGTTAACATAACCCTTCGGGCTAAAAGCTAAATAAAGATTTCCATATATAAGATAAAATTGGGGTTGTCTGCAATATATGAGCCGCAAAACATGTAACGTGTAATTGGGGTCCAACGTTTACCTCAAATTCTACTTTGCCAGACCTCTACAGCTGAGTGTATCCATAGTCTCCATGCATCATTTATAATCTTGGTTAATCTCTCAACAAACGTGACGCTTTCTACATTGTTGAACCGAACAGTATAAAAGATGCCTTGTCACAGATGAACCTATTACATGACCTTGCTCACCAACAAATTGTTGGACCTTAGCGATAATATCGGACCACGAAATTCGAAGGTCCAAACGTCCATCCTCGTGAGATTGGCGAATGAAAAGCATTTTTCTTCAATGTCCATCGTTTTTCCCTTCATTGAAACGCTGCCGAGTGGACTACCGTTGCTCTTTAGAAAGGCGCACTATTGCTGACTCTTAAGGAAAAAATTTAAATTGACTCGCTTGCTTCAATACCTGTAAAACATTTCTTGTTTCATACGCTCTTTTCATCATCTTCATGTAGCTCTTGTCTACTCTTGCAAACCGATTATACTCTTGTGGAAGGTCCTGCATGAAAAGTGGAAAGGTATGTTACACGTGATAAACTCGTGCTTAACGAGCACTAGCGTCAACTGGCACTTACCTTAGCTGTTCCACCATGACTGAAGACCTCCTCGAGATGTTGCCACAAATCTTGTACAGTCAACCACTACAAAAAAAATTATGTAAGCAATTTCACGTTGGGAGTGCAAAAGCCATTTATTCACAAAGTCACGGACAAGTAACAGCAAGTTTCTTCGGAAATGGTCCACTCTAATTTTTTTCCAATTTCGCCCATCGTACATCTCCTCTTTGGTCCTATTATTTTTGGATGTACAGAGGCTTTGATACAGTTTGCATATCAAGTCCGTACTTTGAAAACTGTGTCACTATTCCCTATCGTTAACTATTTTCAAACATATATAATTATAATTCGCCGTTTCCTTAATCTGACGAGAGACTGCAGCGCAGAAAAAAAGCAATAGATCACCACTAACTGCTGCGTCCTATTTATAGTTCCAATAAAAAGCACAGAAAGTTACGTTCACGTACCTGCTCTAGGACCTCACTGATTTCTTTTAACTTAATGGCCCATGCTGCAGCCTCGTCACGAAGTGGTCCGATGTGGCGTGATGTCAGCATTAGAGCAAGAGTGGCTTGTGCATCCTCCAACAGGTCTAACAGATGTTCAGTGTTACTATGGCTCAGACACACCAAGCCTCTGTTCTTGAAATTTTCAAAGGTAAGGACCTGCAAATAGTGAGTCCGTTAGTAACAATGCCATAAACATCACTTAAAGAGCTGTGTTACCACATTTTATTTAAGGTATTTCAAATTACAAACTTAAGGAATAAAGGCCACCGTTTTCGAGAAGATGAAGCTCTTTAAACATTTACCTGTTCCGTCCACTCCTCCTCAGTACTTCTCATTTTGGCTTCCAACTCCAGCTCTCTACTAGCACATCGGCATATTTCCTCTATTGCCGCCTGGTGTCTAAACAAATATAAGTGGACACTTGGATTACGCCGAGACACGCTTGGCCACAAATTGCTGCAACACGACGGGGGAACCATTCGCAACGTTGATTCGCCACATGTGACATGAAAAATATTTGAGAAAATTTTGTCGCTGCGACTTATTTTTTGCTTACTGCTATTCAGAGTGGTTCGAATTTGCGCAAGGACAAGTCGCCTCAAGAATCCGCCTCGTGCGACATGAAAAACTTTTCGACAAAAATTTTATCGACGACGCGACTTAATTTTGTCAATGCTGTTGGTCGCACAAATTCAAACTAGCTTGAACATTCGACTCGTGACTGAAATTAACCGTCTAACTGTAATGGACGACCGATCTCATGATTTACTATTTAATTTTCTCTTTTCACCGACGACATTAATGCCTGAAACCTATATGGAGAGGCACCATTCGCAACCCAAACAACTTGCACTTACTGAAGTAATCCAATATCCAACAAGTGAACAAGTTTGAAGATGTGCGCTTCGAGCTGGAAAGACGAACCTGTAACACTCATCACCTGTAGCCAATGGCGATTACGAATCTCCTACAAAAGAGTAAAAGGAGAGTTCGCATGAGAACTATAGGAAGACACTCTAATAATAAAATTATTCTGCGGCGATCACCATCGCCACAACGTTGAAGGAAACAACGAAAAAAAGATTTCTCAGGATAGCAAATTTATGTAACAAATGAGGCTGGAATGTACCTAGCAGAAGTAAAGACGTTAATTGTACCAACCGAGAATAAAAAGAACTGTACCGCAAAAAAAAACAAATTTAACCCTTCGACTTTTAATTCATCACTACTATTAATAAGGGCATACTCAGACTTTCTTTCTTTCAAGCAGAGGACCGAGTCTTAATTGAAACTTAAGAAAGGAGATACTTGTTTCTAAAAAAACACTTCCTTCTGATCCGTATACAGAAGAACAAGAATGAATACTTTCAATTCTCTAAAACACCAGGAGGCAAAAACCGTGGGAAAAAAAGCTACCAGTACATACTTTTGAATTAAGTTTGTGCAACGTAGGGAAGACATCCAGGTAATGTTTTATGGCATCTCTCATTTCTTTGTAGGCATCCCACTCTTGTATTCTCTGAGGCAAACGAAGGCACTCTTGCCAATAATGCTCCATCTGCAACCAAACAAAACAAAAAAGGAAACATTCTCAGTATATGTGAGAGATGCGATCGCTTAATACTAGCGCTGGGCTCGGAATCTTGAATTGAAAGGACTGGATACCAGCTCCGGCCAGGGTCATTTTCTTGGTCAAGACACTTTATTTTTAAGAGTTCTCTCTCCACCCAACCGAGAGTAAAAATTGCTCCCGGCGGAATGTCACGGAAACTGGGTAAACTGCTGGGGATGGACTTTCATTCCATCCAGGCGGAAAAGCAATACTCCTGGTCGCTTCATGCCATGGAAACCGGGATAAGGTATGACATTAGTAAGCCAATGGTTTTGTAAGACTTAGCTTAACCTGATATCTAAAATAAAATTTGTGCTTGGAATTCTGTTCCTTCGAACAAAAGTCTCTTGTTTAACATGGATCAATAGGCGTAGACTTGAACTGACAGTGATCTTTAGATTCAGGGTCGAACAGAGGGAATATGTGTTCAGAATATTCCCTTAAAAGCGCAAGTGTAACACTGCCCAGGCCAGCTCCGTTTTTGTAAGAAAACGCAATGATTGTGGCCAGTCTTTTATGGACTTAGCTGAGAAGGAACGATGACAAACCAAATCAACCACAAGTTTGTAGTTTTCTGAAGTTGCTATCAGAAATGGTAAAAAGTAAAACGAAGCTTGTCAGGAGAAAATAAGATCTAAAAACCTAGTAGCATTTGTCCTTTAAGTTTAACTGTAACAGCTTTACCTCGGATATTTTAAACTCCTAAATCTTAAATTCTCCAGCTGGGTTATGTAGGAAGTGATTTGAGATAACGAGACTATCGTAATGTAGTTTTAAACATTACTGTACCTCCTGATTTGCGACAACCAGATCCACCTCTGACCACAAGGTATCCCTAAACCTGAAGAAGACACAGTTTGTTGGAACCTTAAACTTTGCGTAAAGTTTGAAAATAAAATTCTAAACAGTACCAGCTTGCTTTACTGGTAGTTTATTCTTTTCTTTACTCTTCCTATGTGAGACATAGACCAGTGCAGTTTTACACACTGCCGGCAAATTCGTGTTACCAAGCTGATCGTGACATGGCTACTAACCTTTGATCAAACGAGATGAACTGTTGAAACAGACCGTACAGCAAACCAAGAAGTTCGAGTTCCTATAGAAAAGAAAAGGTGAAATAACACTTTATATGTGAAGCTGTGTACACCATAGAGAACTGCCGAAAGCTGTTTAACTTGTTCATGTACTGCGCTATCAAAATTAATGAATAACTTGTTTCGTTCGGGGCCATCATCAAAGAGGTGTATTACTAGAGTGAAGAGAAACAACCGTCCGTTTACAACAAATTAATTATATTTGAAAATGCGCGTCAGAAATTATCTCACATCTATCGGCCAACATATCTTAGCGTGTCACCAACATAACCAACCTCTCCGGTTTTGTCCAGTTCTGCAAAAGGTGTAGGAACAATTCCGAACAGCATTTGAACAGAATCTAGTGTCTTTCGCTTGGCTTCAAACTGAGTATAGTGTTGTTGAAAGTCTTGTAATCTCATTACAGCTTCAGCTGGTCTCACACCCGGCACTCCTGGACCTTGAGAGTCAAAGCTGTTCCGGAACTGAATCACATTCACAACAAACGCCTAGAAGAAAGAATGTCATACGAAATTCATTTATATTTCAAGTATGCCATATCCTACCGGAATGCAAGACGCTTGTCTCTTACGGGCCTGGTAGGTGGCCTAACTTATCAACAAGTTCTGTTATCGAAGACTATCAGGTCGCAAAATTGAACGAAATCATCTTAGGAGAATCAGATCCTCCCGAGTCGAATAACAAGTTTTTTTGGTTTTTTGTTTGTTTGCTAATATTTCCTTAAATTTCATTGAAAGTGACTCATCATCAAAGAAATTTGAACATTTTTATTTTTGCACTGGAGAGATTACTTCAGCTCTTACCTTGACTTCTTTGTCTAGTTCCTGTTCAAACATCCCACGCTTTTGAACTAATAACTCGTCTCTGACCTATATATATTTCATAAAACAAAACGAAAAGAAGACATGAAAGACATCTTAAATAGATGTTTAGATAGTGTCTAAGATAAAAGAAAGTTATACATAAGGCTCAAGATTCTTTGGTGTGCAAAGAATTTTTTTAAGACTTATCTAATAGTTCCTTGCCAAGAATGAAGTAAAAATTGTCGAGCATACTTCGAAACATTAGACGACAGACTAAATTTAGTTATGTGCATAGGAAAAAGTTCGTAACATTTTGAAATCTGTTTTAAACTCAACAACATGTTGTGGCCGCAGGCTGCGTTACATAATGAAGATTGTAAATCAAATGAACGAGTCGCATGAAACAAAGTTGCACCTTGTTCATCAACCTTTACGTAATTTCTAGGCGGTGTTGGCGATGGAGTCGCAAAAAGCGGTAGAAGACAGTCAAAATAAAGAAAACATAAACGACTCTGGTGGGTTTGTTGTACTTCATAAACAGTTGGCTTTCTTTTCCATCTCTCGAAATAAGCAAGTCATTCTTGATTCTTGATAAAGCGAAATTTTTTTGTTATTGAATAAATCCTTTACTGAGTAAGCTTGTTCAGTCAATATAACTGGATATTAACCACGTTGTTGTTGTTGTTGTTGTTGTTGTTGTTGTTTATTCGCGAAAAGGAAAAGAATTTGGCCGATACCCAGCCATATTGACCTGAGCTTGGTCAATAACGCATGTATATCGCCCTACCTTTTCGGCAAGCTTTATTAGTTTGACCCATTCATCCCGTAGATTGTCCACTTCTTGTACTTCTATTCGTGGAAGACACAGGTTGTACTCTCTGATAAAGTGACAGGAAGAGTTTGAAGAAACGTACAGTTCACTTTGTCACGCAAAATATACGCACAAACAAAAATTCATTCCTTAAACATGTGAACTACTCTTACGGGGATCTTAAGCTGAGGTTGAATTAACTGATTATGACTTTGTTCACAACTTTACCAACGAGGTAATGTTCACAGATCAACAAAAGATTCCAAGGGCTATTAACCTTGAAGGCCTGTCAAGTTTTTAGGTTGACAGAGGTTTGAAATGTCGATGGATAGCTTCAGGTTTAAGACCATTTTGGATAAAATGTTATTAATGTAAACACCAAAGCTTTGCTCCTATTTCAAGTACCTCAGCTTTCCATACATGTTCTCCACAGGTAGGTAAATGTCATCAATGGTGTTCTCCATGTCTCCCAGTTCTTGGAGAAGTTGAAAGGCACTGTTGAGTTCATCTAAAGTGACAACAGGCTGTGAAAGTCGCTCATAGATGTTGTTACGGTGCGTAACTATCTTGTCCAATTCAATCTGAAAGCAAAATGACAGTAAGCAAAATGCACACGATCCAAAGTTTATAGGTGACATGAGTTCTTCGTGCGTTATTCATGTGCTAGGATCGTGAAAGTAGAAAGCGTCGAGAGTGAACACAAATTTGAATCTAACCCACCTTAGCTTCTTCGTGCAGCTGAGTAGAATATCTCATTTTCCACGCCACTGCAAATCCATGTAAGGAGTCCTTGATAGGCGAGGTGTTCAAACATACTGAGCCCACCATAAGTCTGTCAGGAATCTCCACCACATCATGCTCTATCGCCTGAAGTCTCTCTACCTCCAGCTTAAACATGGTAGTTCCGGGATCATTGTCGACAAACACCTGGTACAGTGCATGCATGTCATCCTTCCAAAGGAAGTCGTAACGACGGAAATTAAACAGCTGCCTTTCCACTGTTTGTTGGAGGCCTGGTTATAGTGCAATAAGAGTGTAACGATTTTTAAATTTGTTTACGACGTTATAGGGAAAAGAAGGGTCTTAATAGGATCTTGAGAGAGCAAGGGCGTACAAAGGGGGTTTCATAGTACAGGGGCGTCTAAGGTAAGGGGGCTTAATGGCGAAATGGGCTTATAAGATAGAGGCACAAGAAGACAAGGGCGTATAAGGCAAGGGGGCTTAATGGCAAAATGGGCTTATAAGATAGGTGCATAAGAGGACAAGGGCGTATAAGGCAAGGGGGCTTAATGGAGGGAGAGACTTATAAGATAGGGGAATAATAGGGCAGAGGCGTTTAAGGCCAGAGGTCGTAATGGAGGGAGCGGCTTTTTAGATGGGGGTTTAATAGAGCACAAGCGACTAAGGCAAGGGGGGCTTAAAAGAGCTGGGGCGTATTGGGCAAGGGTGCTTAATACAGTATACACGTACAATGAAAAAGAGAAATGAATTACTTGTGACTGAAGTAGAGAGCTCCTCTAATGTTTTATTCACTTGATGATCTTGTGCAACTGATCGATGGAAAGACTCATTGACATCTGCTGCCCACCACATGATCGTCCTAGAGACATCAACCAAATGTACAGCAACACGTTGAACGCCATCTTGGATAGTCTGAAGAGACGGCTTTATGACGATGTCTGGAATGTTGAATTGCACATTGACCTCAAACTGAAGCAGCTCTTCTTGGTTAGTCGTGCTCCACTCAGAATACTGAGAACTCACAGACTCAGCATAATCACTGTTTTCAGACCCGTTGTCTGATGAGTCATCCCAAGAAGATCTGCTCAAATAACACATAAAAACATGATTTTAGGGTGACACTATTATTTGAGGTCAGTTTCCTGACGTACAAGTACATTACACTTTCTTTTCCTTTATTTACCGTTAGAAACTAATTTTACAATTCGTTAGCAAAGAATTACAAACCCTGATATTTTTCTGCTCTCCACTTCAATTCCACTCTTTTTGCGCCCAGGAGGTTTTACACAATCACCAATGATCAGCAAGGAAGAGACTATACTCTCCAGCACGGCTTGGTAAACCAAACTGCAATAATGACCAAAGATATCACCGATGACTGACTCGTCAGTTAAGCCACTGACAGCAGTTGCAGCTCGCGTTCCTGGCGCTGAAGACATGATTGTGCCAATCCTGGTGAAGCGAGGTGTCATTGCACCAGTTCTGTCCAAACCAAGACTCATGCTTGGGCTAGGACTGATTTGAGGACTGGCAGGAGAAGAGATTCGCCTTTGATTTGCAGTGGCAACGACTTCCTGTAAAGCGAAAAGCGGAAGTTGATGAAAACCTGGTCTTTAAAAAACGATTATGCGAGAAATTGTAAAATATCCCATAAAAATCTTAGCAAGCTATACCCCTCGGTCATTGAATAGTACAGCATTACGATGCCGAATGGACACTACAACTGACAAACTTTAAAAAGATGCTTAAAGGGATGCCAAAAGATGCTAAAGAGACCAGTAATCAGAGAAATATTACAAACAGTAGGCTCTTCCCTTTACCTGCAGCGCATTCTCTACTTCCTTAACCATTTCATGTAATCTCTTCCCCTGCTGAGTCACTGCTTTGTTTTCTTCTTCCACAAACTTTTCCACATTCCAAACATGAGCAGTAGCCAACTTTTTATCAAAGAGAATCACCCTTCGGATTTCCTCAATCTTTCTCTCTATGCCTTCAGACACTACTTCTTTAACACTGTCCACAACTTCTTTGAGCCTAGAATTGGCAGAATGCACCTGATGTAGGTAAGCATCGATATTCATGCTGCTCCAGTTAAGGGTGGACACACCCGGCTGTAGGTAGTGCAAGACAGATTCCATGTGTGGTGTAAGCAACTTGTACAGGGCCGAGGGTACATTCTGACAAACCTTGTAGTAATCCTGTAGAACCAGCTCTAGTGATTGCTTGTATGACTTGAGTCGATGCTCCTATATGAAGAAATAAGTCTAAACGTGTTACTTCAGATGATATACACCTTTTTTATTTGACTATGACAAAAATAAATTAATCCAACGCATTTCAATCACGTGACGAAAGTGATTTTCGGGGTGTTGACTGTTCAAGGGAGATCATCTGACCAGAGAATCATCACTTTGTTAAGTAAGAGTGGCTCTAATTTGGTGACGTTACACATTTGAGAGCAAGTTCTAATTCGAGGATTTACGGTACAGCAGAACAAAACTGAAGACGCCTTTAGAGCTGGACTGATATCATAGGACCAAATCAAGGACGACACATACATCTCTGTAAGACAGCCTGCACCTACCTGTTTAAGGACGTCTAGGGCACTTTCTGGAAGTTGAATCCCCATCCTCATCAATGATTTGCTCTCCTGAATTAGTTCAAGAAGCCTACATGTAGGGTAATTGTAGAGAATAGAAACAAAGAAAATATAGATAACGTTAATTAAGCGGTTCAAAATCCACAGTATAAATTCCTACTCTGCTAATCTTTTGTACCCATTCTTAGACTCTAACAGTACTCTCTCGGTTCATTTGTTTGTGTTTTTCAGATAAGTTAAGGAAAGTGCGAGGCAACTGTAAAGGTTGACTTCCATGTAAGAGGAGAAATTCCTTTCATCATGCTACAAAGGCGCTTGCCTCTGCTTGCTTACAAACAACAATAATAATAAAAACAATAATAATAAATGCGCCTTAATAAAATAACAGAGAAAAGATATTGAATATTGCATTTTATTTATTACTACTATTTAATGTTTTTTATCGTTGTTGGCAGATTTTAAAGAGGAATTAGTGAAAAGATGTTAAATATTGGTAGTGATTGCTAATAGTAATAGTAATAATAATTAGTAGAGAAACATTTTCGTGGATTATAGTTCAAGAGATATTGAGACATTATGATTTTTTCTTTTCTTTCTAACAGATGTTAAGGTATAAATTTAATTCTTTTTAAGTGAAGCACTGTACATAGGTCTTTTTTATGAGTATTGAATAAAGATTACAGAGATTGTTAAATAATAAATGCGCCTATTCTGCAGGGTAGTACATCAAAACGAGTTGTTTTGCGCGAACACAGAACCACTGACAAGCTCCAGAAACCTGTATATTCTTTCAAGAACCATTTTCTCCTATTGGCCATGTCCTACCTTCCGTCAGCATTCACCACTAGCTGTTTTGTTTCAGGGTGAAATGCAAGAAGGGAAACTTTTAGTCCACTGCATGCGCTGTCAATACGGGACTTCCACAGGCTCAGCCATAAGTTCTCAAACTTTACTAAAGCTGTAGCAATGCGATTGTAAAACTTGACGATCCGACCAAAGTCCTGTTAACATGAGAGAGAACTTCCTTCAATTTTTTAAATTGTCTACCCACAATGAAAGTAAAGTAACATTCATAACATCTCTTTTTTTAACTTTTCCATATTATTGAATTATTGGATTAATAATTATTGACAGAAATGCATGACAATAACAAATTAAAAATAGTGACCCAGATTTTTGCAAGTTTCTCTGTGCAAGTTTTACAGAACCTGTTCAAAGCCCTGTGTGCTTGCTGGTGCTATGATCAATGACAATAATCAATAGGGTGGAAAGAGGCTCACTGAAAGTTAAGTACTACACTGTACAGTACATGTTGCCAAGCACCCCAACACAAATGAGCCAGGTCGCAAAGCTTACCATTGCAGCAGCTCATCAAGTATTTAAGTTTTCAGCTTTATTTAATTGCTTACCATTTTCAATTTAGTATCTCACCCTATAAGATGTCACAAATTTGTTTTCTTTAAAGATCTTCATAGGATCTTCAATCTTCTTTAACAAGCCTCTTGACCAGGTTATTGCTCCAGCAACAAGTGGAGAGTTGTGAACAAGAGGAGGGCTCTCCTGTTTTCAGTATTTAAATGCACATTATAAATAAATGTTGTGATTCATTTTTTGTCTTAGTTTACAAGTTTTCAGATCAGTTTGATTTTTACTTTTGTTTGTTATGTATCCATTGGCACAATATGAAAAAAAGAAAAATGATAATCAAACAGGTTTGAAAAATTTTTAAAAAAATTAAATTTACATTTTCATGTCTAGAAATTACACAGAATGAAACACATACTCATTATATTGAAAAAACATATCTTCACCAAAAGCTAACATGAACAATTCTAGCAATGAATGACACGAACCACAAAAAAAAATTCATCTCATAAAGTCCAGGGATCTACATGTATATTGTAAATCTCTAATGTCAGTATAAAATCAAAACAAAATTAGATTGGAGCTGGAACTACATAAATTTTACGTAAACATATGATTTTGCCTCTTTCTCAAAAATGGTGACCTTGTGGGCATTTTCCATCTAAGTGTTCCAAATCATGACATGCAAAATAGGTTAAATGTTTAAAACTTTAACTAAATGGATGACTTAACCTAACTACAATATTCATTGATATTCATTGTAAATACTGTAAAGGTAAGTAATCATACAGCACATATGTCTGACATCTACTGAATTAACAGAAAATTATTTCTTTCAACTGAAATTCCAATCAAACACGTGCGTTACTACACCTTTTGGCTCTCATAGATTTTCTGTACATTTTCCAAATCTGTTTCAAACCAGCCAAACACTTCAAGGAATTTTTCTGACAACACAGCTCTGAGACCAGGTCTGTTCATCACACAGTTAAAACTATAAACACAGAGAATAAACAGACAGTTAGGGTCTATTGTGAAGGCAACTTTTTTCCAACTTGGATTAAATGCTTTGAGTTTGAAGGCAACAAGTGCTTCATTACATGTATTAGGTTTAAACTTGTTGTAACATTTTCCATTTCAAGCCACTATCACAAAGTATTCTTTTTGGAAATAATAATTATTGTATTGGAAATAACAATAATTGTTCACTGATTTTAAATCCATATTAATCAAAAGAAAACACAACTGACACCCACAGCAAAACTGCATAAAAATTGTACCTTGTCAGAATTTCAAGAGCCCTCTTGATGTTCAACTTCAATTCAAAGACACCCTAAAACATGGACACAATCAAATGCCATCATCTGATCAATGCTTCTGTGATATAAAAATGTAAATGTAGATTATCGCAGTAAATTAAGGTAAGTTACTGCACAAGTACCATTGGGTATGTGATGCAAACACAAAACTATTAACTTGTGTTGTTTTCCAATTGCTTGATACCCTGTTAAAATATTCCAATGAATCTAAACCAGCCCTGCCCTACAACTTACACGTACAATTCAGTAAGTTTACAACCAAATACACAAATAATACAGGTAGAAGTCTATGTGTGTTTCAAAGACCTTGTGTTTAACTTCTTGCCAATGAAATAGAAACAGTTCTGCTCTCTCCTAGTTGGGTTGTCAAACTCTTCTTTTCATTAAATTTGTTTTATCTTTTAATTGATATTGCATCAAATCAAGTTTCTTTAATTTTGATATTAATAAAAAGCTACATGCTTTTAACATACAAAGTACCTTGAGATAATTACAAATGTAGCTCTCCATTTGTTGTACACCAGCAACAAAAGATGTATACTGTTCTTCAAATCTTTCTTTGCCTTTGCCTTCCACATCAAGGAAGGTCTCTGTTGTAACAACACCCTCCATTGGGGATCTTATAGAATGGATCGTATCCAGCAGAATTTGGGAAATGCTCTGAAACTCAGTGCCTGAATTGTATACTTCTTTCACTTCCTCTTCCTCTTCATCTAAGCTCTCTAGCATGCTCTTTAGCACATCTGGTTTGTTGCTACCATGGGAACCTTAAATAAAAACATCAAGGCCATACGATAGCTTTGTGTAAAGCTCATACATGTTGCTACTACAAGGTAGTTCAGCAATAAGCAAACTAACACTAGAAAATTTAGATAATCTGGTTTTATCAACTGACTTGATAATGTTAATTGGCCACTGTAGAGAGTTTCTAAAGATGACTTTTCAAGCATTAGCCCTTCATCAGAGTGAATGACAAAGGGCTTACACTGGAAATGTCAGCGCTAGAAACTCTTCCTGGTGGCCAATGCACATTATCAACTAAGGTGATAGAATCAAATTATCTTCAAATTGTAATCCCCCCAACAATGCTGCACCGCAGTTTCTTTGGAATCTTACCCATGTATTCAACACGATAAATTATTGTACATTTTTAGCAACCTTGAAACCTCAAATAATAAACATACAGGCTGCACAGTAATTCTGAGTGATGCCCTAAGATACAACTATAACTATATTGTAGTTCAATTTCCTCCTTCAATTAAAAATCCATTTCCTTTGTTTTAGGGTGTAATAATGTTTAAACAAAAGGTTAAAATGGCTCTATTTAAGCATGGTACACACAGTCATGTACCTTTTTTAGGGGTGTTGGTTCTCGTAACTTTGTCACAGTTCAAATAAATGTAAAAATACAGAACACAATTGAAATTTATCCATTTTGACTAGACAAGCTTGATCAGTGGGGGAAATAAATTCATCTTGTCCCCTAGGGTAGCCATACATAAATCCAATCACCTTTTGATCTTCAATGTTCACTTTTGAGACCAGTTTAGTTCATGGGAAATGTAAATGTACAGTAATGGTATCAATTTTATTTTTCATAGACATTATACCTGGATAGCTGTGTTCAGAGCCACTTCCTATGGAAGCGGCTGCTTCAGCAGGCCTAAGTCCACCAGCATCTGTCTTCAAGTGCATCTCACTAGTGACCTGATCATCTTCCATAGCATGACTGTTTGTTATAACATCCACGGTGACACGAGGCAAGTTCTGCACTTCATTGGCAAGTTTGGAGAACTGCGACAAAGTGTGAATGACATCAATCATGCTGCGGATGTGGTTACAAAAATTATCCAAGTGTGCTATAATTGATTCTTCATCAGTAAAGGCAATGCCACTGCTTCCATGACTGGTTATACTCTCATGATCTCCCTTCATTTTTGTGCCTGGAGCATAAACACAAACATGGTTATTACATTCTAAACAAGTACAGTATTATATTCAAAACAAGTATTAACCTTTAACTCCCAGATCAAATTTGTAATTCTCCTTACTGTCAACCAGACAATTCTTATAAAGTTAGTTCAAAGAATTTAGTATTGAATCAACTAATTATCCACAAATTTATATTTTTCTTTATTCCCATCACCTATCTGGTTGATATTGTTTTGATATTGTAAGGAGAAATTCTGTCTTGGTCACTCATGGGAGTTAAAGGGTTAAGGCTCATTCAATGGCACTACATATACTAACTTTTTTGCAAGTAAAGGCTCTTAGTTTAACAAACAATACATGATTGTCCTAAAGATTGGTATTCCATTGACACATTTTGCAGGATACTTTGTCTAATTTATACTATAGTGCAATTTACACAATTCAGATGTACAGAATGTACCTTGCAAAGTTAATGTTTCAATCTTGGTTCGAAAATAGATATCATATCCAAAATTTTAGGGATTATAGAGACAAACAAATGCTTTCTTATACAAAAATAAATTAAAGTACATAGCAGAAAAATTAAAGTAATTTGAATAGGGAAAATAGCATCGCAACATATGGTTCCCAATATTAAAGATTTATGGGTTGAACAAACAAAGACATTATTTCTCAACCTACTTTGAGAAAATGAGAGCCTGATGGGGCTGCCAGCAGCAATTGGTGACATCAAGTTTGAATTACTGTTGGTGATCACAGACCGTTTTGCACCACCAGGCTGCAGGACACTGGGTGTCATAGAAAGAGAGTGAGACCCACCAAGACCCTCCCTTAAACTCCTGATCATATCACGGTACTGTTTATGCATGGAGAGACAAACATTAAGCCGTGAAAGAAACCCATCATCACTGCCAAACAAGATCTCTTTGTTTGCCTTTCTTTTACCCTTCAATTTTGTTAGGTGAGCTGAATGGCTTGAGGAGGAGTCTATTTCTTCTTGAATCTTTGTCCAAAGTTTGTCTTCTTCCAAGATTGTAGTGCTGGATTCTATGTAATCTCTTGCAGCCAGCACTAGCTGATTGGTGATCTGACGATTCAACAATCCACAACAAACTTGTTGTCATACATGTACAATTATTAGCAGTTCATTGACATAATAGTCGCTGAAGATCATTCATTGCTCTGTAAAATTTTATTCTCAATAAAATCAATGATAACAATAGCAGTAACCACATATGCAAATCAAATTTGTACTAGATAAGTTCAGACTATGCACAGTGCAGAAATTACCTTAGAAAACAGCAGCCCAAGATATCCATTTCTGGCATAGTATCGTGAAATTGCATCCATTTGTCTCACACTTGCCATCAGTCCAGGAAGAGTATGGCCACAGATGTTGACCAGTGAGTTACCCACATTTAGTTGATCAAAGTACTTACGTAGTGACTCCAAGTACTTCACTTTATCTTTAGTCTCATTGAAGGCATCAGTAATGCTGAATAAACAAAATTAATTAATATGAGCCATTTAATACTCCTTAAAATTTCAAAGACATCCACACTAAAGAGAGGCCATTTTAATTGAAGGAGAACCTGATAAAATGTAAAAAAAAAAAAACTGAAACACATATTGTGAACAATTTGAAAAGGTGATCTAATGTGTGTACTAGTCAAAGGACGAGGTTAGTCCTTTAACCCTTTAACTTCCAAGACCTGATTGTTAATTCTCTCGTTTAGCTGCTACACATCTCTTTGTGAATTAGTTCAGAGAATTTGGTGTTGGATCAAGACAACAATTTCAACCTAATAAGTTTGAGAATTCTCATTACCTTTTTCTTGTATGATTCATGGATATGATAAGGAAAAGTTACATGTTAATCACCTCTTGAAGTTAAAGGGTTAAGCGACTGTGACTGAGGTTTCAACAACCTGAGCAAAAGTCACCAAGACACTATGATAATGTCTTCTGCGTAAGTTATCAAAAAGTCAGTTGATGTCCAAGATAACAATCCTTTTCAAGACTTCCTTTGCCCTGACATCATATCACATGATCAACAGTCACACATGATTAGTAGAGACTTTTGTTCAAGCCCCAAAAGATTTATTGATGAGTTCATTTATCTGTTTCAAATTTTTCTTTATATTAGAGATACCATCAGTCATATACATTACCTGGCATCAATAGCCTTCCATCGTTTTAGTACTTTGGATTTAGCTGTTATTAGAATAGCAATCACTCCTTTGCATTCTTTACTCTTTAGCTGGTCAGTGACACTTGTGAGAACTTTCTGTCTACGTTTCCACTTATCCATCTCACTGAGTGGGCCAGCAAAAGGATCAAATCTACAAATACAATTGAACAATTAAAAACAGCACATAACCTTTTCCAGACATTCAATGAGAGGTGCCCCCCACCTTAAATTTTTAATTGATTAGTCAAGACAGAAGAATAGTAGATAACCCTTTAATTACCAAGATCTGATAGATAATTCTCCTTACTACCCACCACACAATTTTAGGCTATGACTCGGGGAATTTGGTATTGAATAGACTAATAATCCCCTAATTGATATTCTCATTCTCCTCACTTGTCTGCTTGAAATTGTATTGATATTGTAAGGAGAAATTCTGTATTGGTCACTCATGGGAGTTGAAGTATTAAAAAACTGCTCTTTGTTCTTTCCTCCTTGGTCAGTTTTATAGCCTTAAAAACTACAGAAAAAAGGACACTCTAATGAGGAGGTTGATGCCAAAACAACAGAGGGGTATCAAAGTAATTTGTGAGGAGGGAGAGAAGTCCCTTCCATCCAATCTCTGGTTAGATACTTTACCACTAAATAGCACAGAGCTTGCACGGGGTAATGGAGTTCTCATATACAAGCACAGTACATGAACAAACTTATCAAGGTACTTGGACAGAGTTGAGTCTAATTTTGCGAATACAGACCCAACATGTTCCTTTTATCATCACTTCTACTTTGGAAAATTTCATGGCACAGCTTATATTTTCAGCTGGCAGAAGAATGCAAGAAAGCATATGCTGAACAAAGCAAATTCATGATATTTTCAATACAGTGAATTCTCTGTTATCTTAAATATTTATATGCGTTGTCATCATCCCTATAGAAAGACCCAGTCTGCAGATTCTGGTGGGTGCACATACAAGTTCTTAGTCAAATGATCATTCAGCATGCCAGAATGAATTGTACCCACAAGATCTCCTTGAGTTCAGCCATACTCTGCACAATGGACGAAGACTGCATGTATAGCACAGTTCTGACACCATCAATGGCCAATTTAGTGACCACTGAATTAAAGGCAACATAAACTGCTCAGAGTTACCTTGGTAACCTACTGCAGTTGGAGACTGACTAGACAGGCACCTCCCCCTACCCTCTGCCCCCCTGAGCTCATTAATTCCATTTCAATCATGATCACCATTGCCCAAAATAACACTGAAAAATAAAAAAATCAGTACAGCAGAAAAAGTCATCCAATCCCAGCAATAGAAAATGATTGTATTTTGGTACCTTTCTTCCAGTCCATCAGTGAGTATATTTTCAATGGTCGCAATCCAATCCAAAACAAGATTCTCGTACTCCAGCAAAATGGAAGGATTCACTGCAGCTGCTCTGTTCTGTTTAAAGTCAGACGTGACTTGCGACTCTGGTTTTTTTAAAATCTGCTGAGGTGCAATTGTAGCAGTAGCATACTCACTCAAAGTGTTTGTGTACTTGTCTAACTGGTTTAAAAAGTGCGAAACTTCTTCCTCAGAAGAATGACCCCAATCTTTCTGTGCGTGTAGAATCGGAGAAAATATCTCAGAGAGCAACGAACTAAAATGAACCAAAGGATTCTCTTTGATCTCGCCACAAAACACCTCCTTCTCTACGCACGTAGGGTCGATGACGCGCTCCAAATTAGAACGAATGAAATACAAACAGATCGCCTCTCCATCCATGACTTCCTTAAGCTTTGCACACGAGCTAGCTATATTCATCTTTCTAGGCAAAAGACTATTCGGATCTGCTTTAGGGCAGTAGAAAAACAGCTTCGTATGCCCTTCTGGAGCCAAAAAGTCATTAATGTAGTCAAGAGTGGTTTGCTCTGCCATAAAATCCTCGAGCATCGTAGGGCTGTCATAGGGCCCGACATGAAAAGTTTCTTGCAGCTTTGTAGCAAACCACCAGTGTCTTTCATCCATATTTAGTCCGTATACTGTGTAATTGTTGAGTTACATTTAGTTCTCGTTATTTTGGAAATGTTCAAACGAAATTCCCTCCATTTTGTTGTCATCTGGTAGCCAAGCACTGAGCATCGAGGTCCCGGATGTGAGAGAAACTTTCCCCCACCAGGGTGGCCGGAGGTATGGCTCTATTGCTCAACAAGGCATTTTGTGGATTTTGCTTACACCAAACAAGAGTAAAAACTAAATATCACGAAAAGGAGTTAACTTTGTTCAGAGGAATGACTTAAGTTGATGAAAGAGTAAAACGATATGTGTGATTCAAGTACAGCGGAAGACCTCGTCAACTCTTGCAGACCTAGGTTTTACTGATTTAGTCTATTTTGCTCCGAAATGAAGTGATTATCAATATCGGTATCCCAACAACTGCGCACCAGCCCCTCCCCTCCCCGAACCCAACAACAGTCACCTCATAACAAGTTTGGGTTGACTAAGAAAACAAAAGGGCACTTTGTTGAGTTTATTAACTCGATATATTTAGCAAAGGCTGCAAATCAAATTTACAACAGACGAAAACAAATTTTGAAGGTGTCATCGCATTGACTCTGATGTCATTACTGCTGTTGTGATTTCTTTGGTTTGCGTTTTCGAAACCTGTGTGGAAACTGCTTTAAAAATGTTCAAAATCGCAAGGGGTCTTTCCCACCTAATCATGAGCTGATCACAGGAGAAAATTTATTGTTAACATTGGTGTAGCTAAAGAAAGATGGCTTGCAGATAGAGAACGGAATGTATTGAAAATTGCAAGAGAAGCAACTTTCAGACCCGTCCCGTTCCACGATTGAGTTTTAAAATGACTGTAAGAATGCTTATGTTTGAAACCCAACATTTCCTAAGAGAGCTGAAAAAAGCGCCATCAGCAGTCTCCTTCCATGTAATTTAACAGCAAAGATTTCTTTTATGCCCAAATCAGCACACAGTTCTCCAGAAACAAACAAACAAATGAACATGATAGACAAACAAACAAAGTTTTTTTTCTGTTTTCATTCTTGAAAATTTATAGTTTTCAAAGGAGAGGGACGAACAATCTCGGCTCAGTTTTTCTGCAAAGAAGGCCGAATCAATACTTTGTGAAGCGAGGGACAGGTTGTTTAAAAATTTCGATTCTGCCTTCTTACTACATGTACACCCGTAAGTAGAATGCGACAAGTTCAAGTTCCTGAGATGTAGGTAAGAGTTTATTTGGACATGAGCTGGCTGATAATTTCACAACTTGATATGGTACACAGGAAGTTGTTCAATCGCTAGTTAATGAAGATCAGTAACTCTGATGCAGATCACTAACTCTGATGCAGATCACTCTTGGGGCACTTTCCGATTAAGTGTCGTAAAACAAAAACCACAGAAAGTCAACGGCCAATCAGAGGGCAGGAAATACCTTTAAGAACCAGTGAGAACGACATAAAACCAAACAAACTGCTAAGGCGCGGGAAAAATACGAGCCACCATGTCGTGATTGGTTTGTTTTGCATCAGATTGATTGAGAGAGTGGACCAATCACAGAGCGTAGCAAAACAAAAACCAAAGCAATCCCAGATTATTTGCTACACTCAACTGAAAACTACTCTGTAAAATGCTCTGAGAAATTGTTTAGTCACAGAGGAAATCACACACCCAAGAAACCAAGTCTTGTTTTGTAAACTACCTCGCCTAAGTTGACACTGAAACGAGGCTACCAGCAAACAATGTCTATATTGTTACAGAAAATATATCAGTTATGTATGATTTCTTTTTTCTTATGTAACTGTTGTATAAAATGTCAGGTATACCATAAGAAAATTGCAACAGTTAAAACAACGAATTCAATATTGTACATCATTTTATTCCTTTAACCATGAGTGAGTTAATGAAATTAAACATATATTATTGTAACACGACATCTCATTCTTTCCATGCCTATATCCATGCAATAAACTAAACTATTTGTCTTTCTTATAACCTATCGTTCGAGAATGATAAATTTTGGATACTAATACTGGGTTGAATGGAATTACGATTTTTGGCTCATAAATATCCATTCCGTGATTAACGCGATATTATTTTTACTCTTCCCATCAACCTTCTTAGCGACATTTACATATTGACATTTCAACTTAGAGAGGATGTCAGTTTATAAGTTACCAAGTTTAGTATGAAATCAATAGACGGTTGAAACTGCCTTGACGACAATAATAAAAGAAAAAACGAAATTATTATTCTTAACATGTGGAAACAACTATTAGGACAAAGAAAGGTTCTTGTTATCAAAGTGCGTTGTTTTCTTTACCTCTAGTGCACAACGAAAAAAAAAGGGGTCACACTAGATTTCTCTTTCAAATTCACATTAAAACCCGGGAGTGAGAGCCAAAAATTTTGTATAATAAAAGTGAACATTCAATAATTTAAAGTTGTCTTTACAGTATACATACAGAAGATTTCGAGTCTGTTCCGGTTAAGACAAAGACTCAGGCGTGGGTGAAATGCGTCATAATAATTGGCAATGATTACAGGAATGCTTACAAAGCAAAACCCACTCTGATTTCAACACACGGGCGACTATCACCAAGTGAAGGGTCGTACGTGATGTTGGATATCCTACGCCTCGCCTGGAAACTTCCTTGAATTGTCGTAACAAAACCCTTGATTACATACCGCCACAAAATTTACAAGTTGGCCAAAAATATTGTAAATCCCTTAAACAAAAGCTTATATCGAGTTGGTGGACCTAGCCGGGAGGCAGTTGTCAAAACCACAGGATAAAGTGGTGTGAATAGAACTTGTTGCCAAGAATAACTTTGGTTTGCATGCTCATCGAAGGTTTTGGCCTAATTTTACTACATCGCCTACGTTAAACCCCGATTGATATGGAAATCCAAGTTGAACGTTTCGCCAGGACAAATGATAACATAGTGTAACAAGCCATGATCACGAAAACATAAGTGTCGCCTCAATATTTTAAGTCATAGAAATATTTAGAGGGCCATTAAAATACCCGGAAAATGCTGCGATGTTCTTCATTTTTAATTCGCCGGCATGAGGCCAAGGTCGATGGGATCACGGGTTATTTACACGTTCAAACCGCAGCTCCCCAAGCACATGCGTTTTCGGTGTTTTTTTGACGCCCTGGGTTTCCTGTAAAAAATTAATTGCCTTTCATCACCGATGTTGAATATACTTTGTCTCTTGAAGGTCTATAAATTGTTTTCATTGAAATTATAGAGAGCTATCCCTATTTTCTGTACAAGTCAGTTAGATCTCAAAGCTCCACTCAATGACTGGATTCAGTGCCTTTCCAAAGACATTGATTAATTCTTGCGACGTGTAATTTGTCCTCATTCAGTTTTTTGTCGCACGCGAATGAGGATTCCATGTTAGGTCAGGCGGAACCATTAGCATAGGGCTCAAGCTGAGCGATCCACGCAGATACTAGATGCTACAAAAACGCTCGCGCACCATTCACCATCTCAAGCGTTCGCGGCTTTTACTTCAAGTGTCCTCTCTGTGCTTTTTAATTGTTCGATTACATATCACAATGTCACAGTACTGCCATACAGGCCTTTTAAGTGTCGTGTAGCACCATGGCCGCGCGCGTTTACCACGAGGATTACGACAATAATTGTGTTTACCCAGTCCCTCTCTATTTTGGTTTCGAATTTTCCTCTCTTCGGGATCATGCGGCCATCTTTCATTCCATGGCTGGCACATGACGCCTTTCTCAGTGTAGTTAAGCTGTCCTCGGTATTCTCTTCCATCTCCCGATGTACTATTGAAGCACGTTTCTGAGGAACAAAGATGGTGTTATCTTCGTTAGCTTTGTACAACTTCCATAATTATTTTAGCTTCAGAGGCGTACAAAAGTGAAGTAGGTTACTGGGATAGAGATAGAGGAGATAGAGCTTAAGCCGATAATTTTATAGGACAAGAGAGATTTAAAAACAATCCAAAGCAATAAAATCAAGATTATTAGATCCTTCTGCACCATGGCATTTAGCGTTTTGCTTTGGAATAGCACACCACTCCTTACCACGCAAAATTACGTGAAATTTGAATTACTTCCATTGAATGATAACGTTATTAATTTAATTGTATTTTGCCTCATTCAACTTACTCGATTCCGTTGATGGTAATTTATTGCAATTGTACATGGCATGAACTTGTGCGACATCAATCCACGATAGACTCCTACGTTGTCCGATCTGGGCCCCAATCCTCCTTCCCTTTTTCCGAATTCTAATGGTTGCTTTTCCGTTTTTACTGAAAAACTTTGTTCCATAATGCATGATGGAGAAATAGTCATATTCGTAACCCATAGAATCCATTACCTTCCTTGGCATCTTATCTAGGAAAAAGGAAAGAAGTAATTTTAAGGTTTTTCACTTCAACTTACTTTGACCGGCAACTTAGGAGTTTATTAAAACCTTCAAACTCCCAGCTTGCAGAATTTGAATCTACTAGTGTTTTTAAGTCTAATTGTGTGAGAACATCAGTGTTATTGTCGACGTAGAAATGAATTTTGTTTATTTTAAACCCGTCGTTAAAAACACATGGCCAGTGACGCAGTTGTACTCAGATACTTGTGAGAGTTTTCGTATGATCCTTAGACAAGAGAACATCAGCCCTTACTAGCTCGTGCTACCGATTTTTACTTTGGAGTCTGTAGTTCCCTTAAATCAGTGGTAGAGGGGTACTTGATATAATCAGGATTCCATAGAGTTCGATTTTCAAATGCAAAACCAACACGATTAATGGAAGCAAAAGACTACAAATATTGCTCAAGATAACTCTAAATGTTGCTACTAATGGAGCTAATGATAAATATTATATTATTTTGAATGAGATAATTTGGATTTATCAGCTGAGTTGATGATGTAATCTGGTTTCCGTCAAGAGTTCCTAAAGCGTTAGCTCTTCGTCGCAGCAAATGAAAATGAACATCACTTACTAAACTGGTCAAACATGTCTGGCTGAATATTTTCCTTGAATATCCTGATGTAGTGATCACGGTCTTGCCTGCTCTGCTCGTGCCACAAACCTACAGCATGACCAATTTCGTGGATGATGGTTCCCATGAATTCACAACCAGAACCTACTGAAACTTTCTGTTCCCCTCCTGCCCGGCCCACGTACGACCAGCATCTGAAAACAAGTGGTCATGATTAGGAAAAAGGCGAACTCTGAAGCCTATTCTGGTTCTTGAGCATGGATTAGTACCCGGAGCATTTTTTTTCATCCACAGAAATGGGATGCCAATTCTTTGAAACTCATCTTGCAGTATTTCGTAAGGTTTGCTTGACGGCCAAAGTGCATTTTGATCGAGCATCGTAAAACCAACGCCAAAGGCAAAATTTTCACAAAAACAAACCAGAGCAGAGAAAATTATCCTATAGAATCTATGCCGGGAACGTAAAGTAAAAACTAGCAAACTGCTTGCAGTGCGGAAAAAACGCGTTTGAGTATCTCGCGATTGGTTCTTAATTTTGAATTTGTTTGGCTAAGAGAATGGAACCAGTTTGCTAAACCAAATCAATCGGGGATGGCTTTCAAGGCTCAATTGAAAATGGCTCTTTCTGGTGGGCAATCATTCTCCGGTTGAAGGAAGGTGAGAGTTAAGTATCTTGCTAAAGAACGCATCAAATTGATCCTGGCCAGCAATCGAACTAATACCGAAAGACTGTAAAAAGCTCACAAAACATTCACTGGTTGTGAAATTAAATTGGTAAAACCATAGTGAGTGAGTTAAGGTTGTGACTGTTGTCCCACTAATGCTCTACCCGTTTTTTAGATAAGCAGAGGTATTTAAGCGCAAGTTTGCATGGTTCTACGAGCCAACCAACGCTTGAAGAAGATTTATGAAAAAGTGATAAGAAATTGCAACTATATATCAATCACGACAACTTAAATGTTGTCAAACAACCGAGCGAACAAATCACTTACTCCACTAGCATAAAGGGTGTGGTCCTGGTGAAAACTAATTTCAAGATCCGCAGAAAAATGATTGCTTATAATTTCAAACAAAAGATGATGTGAAAAGGCTTGTCAACATCACGTAACCTCACGGAGAATGAATTGCAGTGAATCGCTCATTTAGTCTCAACGATGACAAGTCCTTAAAAATAGCACACGCAAAACTTTAGCATGCTTCTCGATTTCTCCGAACCCATGTCAAGTTCATTATGCTAACGGATCAGATTATTTTCTCATATTATGAAAAGAAACCACCATTTCACTGATATCTGTCTTTCATTTGACGAAGAATTTACTAGGACTAAAGTAAACGTCATGAACATTCATCGAGTGCACGAGGTGAATGCAAAGAACTCACGGATCGACAGCTGTTTGCCAGTAGACACAAACAAGCGGACATTGTTTTGAATTCAAGCGGACCTTTGACATATCGCCAAACAAAGCAAGATTTGGGCGAAAAGATACCAACTGATCTCCCAAAGGGTGCTCTTAAACATACGACCTCTAACACATTTGCACAGCCGGCATGGACTTAATGTTTTGAAAAAAAATGTTCGGGAGAAACTCTTACGCACTGAAACCTAAGGACAGATGGCAAAGGAAAGTCATACAGGAACTTATACGTGAACCGTCTGATAAAACTTATTACTCAACTTGTTAATTTTCGCAACAAATTAATTAAATTGTCAAGTTCATCTGTTTGCTTCAGCCGAAATAAGAGAGACTGTCAAGGCTAGGCCAGATAACCTATTGTCGTGGTTTGGATAGTTGCGATGGTTTTTACGCAGCGTTTAATATGCTGTCTTACTTTGTAAAATGCTAGTCGAAAACATTCATGGATCAGTTTACAAAACCAGCATGCCTAAACAAATTTTTTCGGTTCAGTTTGCTTTGAGTGTCTCGGCATTACCTGCAGAGAAGAGCCACGTTGCTCGGTGACGTATCTGAAAAGCAGGTTGGGACAATAGCGATGTTTTCGCTCTTTGGATGAGAGCCAATGGAGGCGACAATTTAGGGCGGGAATGACAAAAATTTATCCGAATTGCGAAATTCATCTCATTACGATTAAGATAAGGGTGAAGAGTTTGACGAAAGTAATTAGATATGGTTTCGACGAAGTGAAAACAATTGATTTTTCTTTCCAAGCGGTAAAAACAACTGATGAATAATTAAAACAACAAACGATCTTGTCACGAAGAAGATACTTTGCAGCTTTTATAGGCTTTAGAGTTAAAAAACATGACAATTATATTAGCATCTTGTGTTACTCACATATAAGCCAAAAAGAACTCCTTAATTAAAGAGTGGATTATTTTCGTGATTTCAAGCAGGCAGCAGGCGTTGTTTTTAGCCGAAAGCAGTATGATCAAGCAATCAGTGGTCACTCGCATCGCTGGCGTCTCCACGTGTACATCAGACAATACTTCACCGCAAGTTTGTTCAAGATAGGCGATTGGCTCGCTGGACATCTCAAGGAAGTAGGCCACAAAGCTGTTTACAAAGTTAAACTGTTACAGCTACTTCCCAATTTTTGCATAATATCAGCAATCCTTAATGTTTCAATGAAAAGAAAAAAAATAAAGTTTGGTCGATGGAAAAACACGGAAAAGCATACGAGAAGTGGGAACTACGTGTTCAAGACTTGATAACACTAATGGAGAAAAAGACCTTTTTAGGGAATTGTTTTCATTCCTGGCTTCATTGCAATAAATCATCGTTTTAAAGTCTCATGTCGAAGCTTACGACAAAATCTTGTTTTCAATGCGTCGGTGAACCACTCATCGCGTTCTATAGCATAGCGGTTGCACGGTCAAAGATGGTAAAAGGATGAAGGAAAATGTTTTCCAAGAGCGACGCGAAGAAAGCTCTTACATTTCTAGGCTGCCTTGATGTCAAAAGGTAATTTTAAGTCCTGATAAAACTTTTCATTATTATTGACATTTGTCAACAATAGAAAAACTGTCAAATGTTTGTTTGTAGTTAATTCCACAACCGGCCAGCAAATCACGGCCGTTCGCCATTCAAGGTTGGTTTTATCGCCTCGGCAATTAATCAAATCATTTCTTTATTTTGCTGTCTCTTCTGATGTTCGGCTATTGTAAGTATCCATTCATGTTTTCTTTTTTCTGTTTGCTTTGAAAGTAAGAAGGAAAACTAAGACAACACTACAATCAATACTCTTCCGGTATGTGCAGCGCACTGCCAGTAACCACGCTCGTTGCTGACCGCACTTGAATGAGTTAATTAACGATATAAATGTCATCGAGTTTCCGGACTCACTCCTTCTCTTAATGTCACCGAAGAAGAGTGTTAATGAGTTAGCAAATTAGAGTACTGAACCGCTTTTTGTGTGGTCCGCTTTTTGATGATTTTGATAGCAGGTACTTAGTGGTCTGAAGATATAAAAAGGTTTACAAAGGTTACAAAGAACCTGTTATGTCTAGAATGGCACAATAATCAGAAAAAAACGCGCTAAAACGTATTCAAAGGAAAAGTCACCCATAAAATTAGCCTACTTCCTCGCTCTTGCGGCTTTTACAATACCCTCTTTTATGTTGTCACATTTAGTAGGTAGCTGCTTGCGTGTGTTTCCCATTGTGAAAGTATTAAGAGTGACCGGAAAACACGGAATACATGAATATTTCAGTCAAAGTGAGAGGTACTAATAATCCTTACCCTCCTTCATAAACAAAGCGTATATAATCGACATCGCCGTCTCGCTTATGGCGGAAATGCAGGCACGTCCTTCTTCTCCAATGCTTGAGAGCTTTTTTAATTTCCCTCTTGGTTTTCGAGGCTATAAGAAAACAGCAACAAAGAGAAGGCGAAACGCATCATATTGAGTAGTTTTATATCGTAATTAAATTAAAATTGACGGCAATGAGGCCATTGTTGATAGAGAAGAATACAGCATCAATTAAAAGTGGACGTGGCTCCGCCTTCATGCATACACATCACTCTATGAAATTGGAACTGTGTGCTCTTCCACGGCTTCCCACTCATCCTATCGATCCTTTATCGCTTAAAATATTCAATGTCAGCACAAACTTCATTGAAAATTAAGCAGGACAATGACAGGCCATTGTCTAAACTTTAACCATCTCTACTTCGACATCCTAATGACTACATTACGTCGTGTGATTAATTGCTCAAGCTACCTATATCCACTACACATATTTACAGAGAAATGCATTCTGAGTTCTTTTGATGGCAAAAAATTCAATCTGTCGTACGCATTCTCGACGTTCATGTTTTTAAAACATTTTAGGTATGCCGCTTTTGAATTGATGACATGTTTGGAAGCAATGAAAAGCGAAGGTTCTAACTTGCTATGACTTGGCGAAAAAGGCCATAATTTACGAAGAAACATTCCCATAAGTCTTCTGTACATAACTTGTCGCGTGGGTTGAGGTTGCCCAGTAAACTCTTGGAGAATAGTAAAAATACAGTTATAATACTGGATCCCCATTCGCTCTGAGACTTGAAGTTGATTTGCGGGGGATTAAAATACTTCATTTACACTAAGAATTCTTAATAACATGGCAAAATCGTTCTCCTCCGCTTGAGACACTTGGTTCGGTTTGTTGTTTACTACAGATCTGGCTGAGTGGAACTTTCCTAGGCTCAAATTTTTGGCTAACGCCAACTTCGAAGTAATGTCAAGGGGACGAGTGTAAGGAACTAAAACATCGGTTTCAGCTTACCCAAGTTTCTGTCTACAACATAAGGTATCACTCCGTTTGGCCATCGCGATGTCTGTGATTTTTTAACAGCTCGTCTCCTTCGGATATGTCCTCCTTGGATAATAAGGCGCGTTTTCCAGTCTAAAACGATATCTCCCTGGTATAGAGTCCATCCGTCAAAAAAAGCCTTATTACCTGCAAATATTCCAGTTGGTTAGATATTACTTTAGAGGTTAATTAGGGCAGATAGTAAAGAAAAGAGCTCTTAAGTATGGATCCCGCTCTTTTTTCAAAAGCTATCAATTGCCCCAAACGTATTCCGCGGCGTTTGACACGGTCTACGCGCAATTTACTTTTGTGGTTAGCGTTAACGACGACGAGCGGCAAATCAAAGGATTTTCTGCAAGTATGGAGACATAAACACAGCTATTCAAAGAACGGACAGAAGCCGTGCACACCTTTACGGCCAATCACTTCTTGATTTACTTCCCAGGGCTCGAGACCAACCGAGCTATCGGCAAGACTAGAAGTTTTCTTTTTGTCGTCAAGGAGAATAGGAATTGCCGATAAGTAAACGATATGCGCAAACATTAAACCAAGACCAAAACGGTGAACCAACATGGCTCCTGTGCCTTACGGTAGCATATGGTACGCGTTCAAATCAATGAGAAAGGTTTGCGCCGTATTCAAGATTCAGTTTGCGTAGTGGCGTCACAGGCATTCCATTTAAATAGCTTCTATATAGAATCGGATGAGGGGGCGGTGTTACTAGTTAAACAGAAACACCACTGCCCGTCAGTCAAGCTGCGACTGGCTAATTGACAGTCAATTACAATTTACAGTTGGCTACGCTGGTTTTTCCCGACATGGAATTATGCTTCAGTCTTCTCACACGACTAGCAGCCGCTGTCTTTTAGCTTTCCGATGAACACATTGGTAAAACCCTTCAGCAATATAGAATCGAGACCTTGAAGATTGATTGATTTCTGGCATGGGATGGAAGTGATTTAACTGATTTCCTTGGATTAGAGAAGCCGATAAAGTCCTGTGGTGCTAACAGTGGAAACCCATTATCACTGCATAATACCAGCCTCGCGAAGTCCATGTTTTGCCAGCACGGTTTAAACTCCTGTGAGAGCTAAGCGGTTAGGATGTGTTCTTTTTGGTTTTACTTTCCTCGCCCGCATAAGGTTCTACGATAACCGCAAACGGACGCACGGTAGCGGAGGCACGGAACAACCTGCGCAATATCAAAAGGATTTTATCACCGGTCTCGAGAGCGAGTGGGAATGATTTTATCACAAGTTTAAAAACGGTCACTTTGGATAACATTTACTGTGACCACCAGAGTGTGGCGAGTTAGAGTAGTGCACCACGGGGACACAATAGTTGTAATTTTAAGATGACCTCCTTGTTTATATACTGCAGTGACAGTTGGACGACTAATAAAACACGCAAACCAATGGGCATTGTCAACAGCAATTACAGTTTATCTACGCTTGTATCGCTGGATGGTACACACTATTTCACCAGTTTGCGTCACTTTGGTGACTTGAAGTCTCGAGGGAAAAGTACATCAACAATTGTAAAGGAGAAAAAAACATAACGTGAGAGCTCACACGTGGTTTTAATTCCAAATTTTTCATGCTGTTAACTTCAGTACAAGGCCCCCCGCGTTAAACTCTTTATGTCCCCCTCTAACATTTTCAAGCTATTTCAACATGCAGGAATCGGAAATTTTTGCGTCCCCTCACGAAACGGCTAAGAAGGCTTATTCTGACTTAAGATTTTCGCAGCTTGAAGAAGTTGATTTACATTTACGTGCCAGAGGAATGTAACTAGCACTTGTGTTGATTTGCTTTTCTTTACACGGTAAGCTAGTTGTTCGGATGCGATATGAAATGCTCGGTCTCTCACGAAGACATATCCCCGCTATAAATTAACGAAGTTAGACCTAATCAAAGAGAATTGCCCTTGAAGAAAATGACTACTTTAGCAAGAAAGATGATCCGGAATCAGTGACTCGTAGAAGTGCTTTTGTTGTGTGGTCTTTACGTTCTTAGTGATTGACATAAGTATGTGATAAATTGCTGAAGTGTTGAGCTGTTAATGGATATGTAAATCGCCTTTCCAAAACGCACACTGACTGTTTCTTAAGTTGAACGTTTTACAGTAGTTATTGCCGGATTACTCTCGTTCAAATTTACATCTGAAACTTTTGCCTGATCAGTTTGCTTGAGAGATAAATCATCCACCCTCTTAGGGAATGAAATGATCGTGCAAATCATTCTACAAATACTTCATGTTCATGTATGTCTTATCAGTTCCGCACTTACGAAATCATTTCAGCAGGCAAAATAACTCAACAGATTACAAGCTTCAGATAGTAAAAGTGAGTCACGGAAATTTGAAATTTCCCAAAGATAAGAAGCTTTCAAATCTCGTTTCCTTTCATGCCGAGAGTAGAATTTTTGAAAGATTCTTTGAAAGTTTTTGCTTCCAATTTTCTCCAAAATGCAACCTTGCGAAGGTTCGAACGTTGCTCGTTTTAATTAATGTGCCATAATTGCTGTTGATTCTCGGTGCTTATTTACTAAAGACAGCAATAAATATTATCGAAATGGTTTAAGTTTTCATGTTAGTAAGGGTGAACAGCAGAAAAGTAATGAGATTTTAAGAGATCCAAAACTTAGCTGGATCAGGCTGCGATTTTTTTCCTGCTTAGCAAGCTTACTGATCCAAAGACGAAGAAACACTTGTGAAAACATATGGCAAGTATGTAATTCTAGAGGCCTTTGTATGTTTTGCTGCCTTGATTTGTAATTGTCATGTCAAAGAAGTATATTTTTGGTGGATTAGCCCTGTAGGCGCTTGGCAAGAGATTTCTTTTGTAAATATCAATTATTGAGCTATAAATGTCATCCAATGAAATGCGGGCTTCTCTTCGTATTATCCAGCTTTGCTGTTTGAGTAGTTTCGGATTCCCTTCTGTTACTAACATGTGCCATTATTATGGGGGATAATGATTTGCATTCAAGGTGCTTTGGTGAAAAGTTGTTTCGGCTAAAACGCTTTCCACGTGACAACAACGTGTTCGCTTATCTTTAAACTCCCTGCTGACTATCGTGTGTTAGTTTACCTCAAATTAATTTATCCGAGACAATTCACAGTTCCCAAGCAGAGGGAAGCTATTATTTTCCATACGGTTTTATCGCGCAGGGTAACAAAAGAGAGATTTTTAAAATCTCGTCGATCGATCCCCCGTTGTTGTGCCTGTAGAAGGTGGGTCACTCTCGAGAGTAGCGTTGCGGAATGCACGACTCGCCATGCTTTGACCATTTTGTCGTCGGCATTATCAGGGTTCGCGAAAACGACAAAGCGAGAAAGTCATATCTATCGGCATTGTAATCCAATTACTCACTAGTTTTCGTCGCATGAAGCGACGAAGACAATTGATAATTGCTTGTCCAACACCTTCATCCAACTTCCTCCTAACTATCTACTTTCTTGGCTTTAGATTTAAATTATTTCGCGGGATCAGTTTGCTAGGACATTATATTCCGCTGTCTTTTTTCATTGGTTGGGACTAAGAAAGATTTCAATACTGAGACCACGAATTTTCAAGGGCGCCTAGTTTACGTAATCATTGCTTTACTGAGATCAATCTTTTGTTACCTAAATAAAACATTTGAACGAGCAATAACAAAAATTTAGTAAAAGAGTAAAAGGATATTGGTGTTTCGCCCATGATAACAGTACAAACCCATATTTGAGCATAACCACTTCACAATGGAAGACCAGCAATAAAGTTTGCAATTTGCAACTTAAGATATCTGTTGTTTACATTCGTCGCTTTTCAGTCGCTAGATACACGAAGCAACTCGATTAGGACACTCGATAAATTTCCCTAAGGTTAAAAGGGTAAGAATTGTTTATTGATCACGTAACATCTCGAGAACTATCAGATTATTTCGATAACCTTCTCGTAAATTCCACGGATTTTTAGATGAGAAGATTTACGCTGGTATAATTGGATCATTCTTAGTTATGCAGTTGCCCCTGCATGATGGATCATGAACCAGCCACGCAGGATAGGAAGCTCTTTATACGTGACCATGTCCAAAATCGGGGTTAAGTCAGAAAAATTAGTAACAGGAAATCCAAAAATACCCATTAAATAATAAATGCGAGTGGCATTTCTCAGTTTTGCCCTCCCAATTGATTTACATAAAAAGCTGAGGTGGATAAAAAAAAGTTGTTAAATGAATTGAATCAATCACAAAACAATTGAACTCGATCCTTCTGGAAAATACGACTCTCATCCGACGACTTCCGCTGACATTGACTGGGGGTTTTCTCAAAAATTCGCTGCTCTTCGTTTTTCAAGGGAATATCTTTCATGCAGAGAATGATATTTAGAATGTACGAGCAAGACCATCCAAATTGCAGTATTTTGAATAAAAATGCGGAAAAGCAGTTTCTAAAGAAACATTCTTTTGTGTTCAAAATCCACGATAATTTGGTGTAAGTTTCTTAGGAGTATATCACCAGAACAAGTGTCTTCCACATTCTCCTCCTGCACTCTCACCAATGTCCACGAGGTTCAACTATAGTTTACTGAGTTACGTTTTTACAGCGCTGAAGTAATACTTGTAGCTACCAAACAAACCACTTTTTTATTTTTTTGCTTAATTTGTCATCTTTTGTTTTATGAAAAGTAAAGGTGCACGTAACGCTTAACAATTCCTGAAGATCTCTCCTTGGCAGAGATGAAAGATACGTCAGGTTGTCAGTTCAAACTATGGAATGGATTTGGCTCGAGTATCCAAAGTAAAAAAGAGCACCTTTGTAAAATGTTAGGGTTACTGGTATTTCACAGCTTAGAATGCCTATCTAACCGGCAGAAATATATTTTTTCCACTCACGAAAGGCAAATAGAGTTTTGGAACATTTGTACAATAAACATAATATTTCAGTTTTTACCATTGTCAGGAGACACCAAACTCTCTGAAAAGTTCTTGTGGTGTTTTAACTGCACTGTGTCAGAGAGGAGTCTTGAAATATTTATCGGAACGCTTGCTTCAAAGGAATTGTCGACTTTAGCGTGTACTTTAGTTCTCGAACGTTCATTTATTACAAAAGAAAATCATATCAGCGGAAGTCGTTTGAAAGTTCATCTAAGAGGACGTTTTGGCTCCGTCTGCTCTAACTTAAAACTAAAATATGCATGTTTAAACTCTTCCAAAGCTTATCAAGATAGTTTCAATTTCTAGTTTCTAGTCTTATTCTAAGGCGCAAATAGTCCAAACTAGAACAATAGCGCTTATTTTTATAACACGAAACTCATCCTTGAATAAACAGAGCGCTATCCTCGGCATAACCAATTCAAACAAAGGATCAACGGTGATGTTTTAATAAACCACGAGAGAAGACAGCCATGTCAGTATAATCCACGAATGAAGTTCTATTTTGGCAGCCTATTACAACTTCCTAAATTTATTTAGAGCATCCTCGACTACTGTTTTCTTTGGGATTCCGCTTCATTATATAAATGGCGGCTCATCCTTCCATGCTGTGGCGTTTTCTTGGTAATTTTCTAAAATCCTTTCACGAAACGTTAATACGTACCGTTTAAATGTCGGAATTAGAAGAAATTTCGGGAATGAGACATTCTTGTAAGTGTTAATCGATAAATATTCGTGCACTAATGATTCATTGTGGTGTGAAACAATTGAAAAATCGTCGGCTATTTTAAAGGAAAGTGCGATATCGCCTTCTTGGCAATTCATGTGGCCGCCATAAACTTTTTCGGAGGAAAAGTTAAAATGGC